TTCAGTAGGTACGTTTAACCATTTTTACATTTTCTACAAGGTATGTGTTGCAGGTTGATTTGATTATTCGAATTTTCGCAAAATACCTAGGGATATCGTGAAAACACGGACAAATGGTGAAAACATTTCTCAATCTAGTAAGATTCCAGTAGGAAAAAGATAGGGTTTTTGTAAAAACATGTTCTAACCTAATCTACCTACCGCCTTAGCCTTTTCTTCTTAGCCTTCTCAACCTGCGTTATCCAAGTCGGAACTGTCACGTTATCAAAAAATAAAACTTACCTAACCATTGTCTAACTATCCGTGTTGCAATGTCCCTAGGGTTTTCACGAAAATTCTAATTATCAAATCATCCTACGACATTATGTACATTGTACACACAATTCATAATTAGTAAAAAATATTTCAATGGCTTTTTTAATTAACTTATTAAATTAAATGTTCATGTTATGTTTAAAATTCTTTAAAGCTTTAATTTAGATAAATATGTACATATCGCTCATTTGCGACAAGAATGTATTATGTACTCAAAGTATCATTAGGGAATAATAGCGTAGATAAAAACGCCGAATCGCGCTCTATTTGCTACTAAAATGCGATATTTCGAATGTTTAAATTGACCTTGTTATGAAAAAAAAAGACAGCACATACCGTTTCAGCACTATCTCTATTTATCGCAAACTTTGTTTCAATATCGGTTCCAGTCAGTTGATCCGGCGTATTTGAAGAGGAACTATTAGTTTGTTTCTGGGTCAATAACAATTTGTTACGGTTTTGGTGTAAAAGTAAGTACTTGCAATTAAATTACTTTATACTGCTTAAATATGACATCGTCATTTATAGCACTTTTTCTGTAAGGTTCCTATTTCAATTATCAAAATATAGGCTACTATGAAACGTTATTGTTGGAAAAAAAAAATCTTTTAAAATAAACCAATGAGTAACTTTGCAGATGATAAAATTTTTTTATTAATTGCTTGGCTTAATATGACTTATCCGCATGAATGACATTTTTATAGAAAATTGACTATATTTCAGTACGTATAATACCTATATCAATTTGTTGCATTGTAATCGGTAAAATACTGGTATAATTATAGTTGATTTTTTCCAAAGAAGGTGGCCCTCCTACTATAAAGTGGTTTTAAGTTAATAATTATTAGAGTAGTGCGTGCTCTTTAAGTACTCCCTCAGAATATATGCACAATATATTGTATGATAAAGTAACTAAAAGTCTCAACTAAAGTAAGGACAGTTGTTTAAGTATATTTTATCTATAATGTTACTGATCTAATTCTACTATATAAGTGAATATGACCTTCACAGCTCTTTTGAGAGGTGTTTAATACAAAAAATATTTTCTAGGCAAGATTTCATTTAATTAGAGAGAGAAACGTTAGAAGGAAGCAATATAAGTTATGAAATTGGGAGACGTGGCCGAAATCAATGAAGAGGACATCACACAGACTTCAGGACGTGGCCCCAAGAGCGAAAAGAAACTGTGCAAGAGAATGACCAGGAATGTAGTAAGCCTATTCATAATTCCACTCATCATCATCTAGCTCATCGAGCAGTAGATTATAAGGACCTTCATGTTTTAAGGGTACAACAACTAGATGCTTACTGTACGTAGTGTTATTATCATTTGCCACTTTCGTTTCGACGAATATCGAATCTTAAATATTTGTATGATCTACAAAAATATTTATTTCAAGTCTGAATGTAAATTAGGATTATCTGTAAATCAATTAAATGCTAGAGCTAGTTAGGTTGACACTAGAAGTTTATATATCTCGATATCATTTTTTTTAAAAAGCGCTAAAGGAAACTAAAAATGTAGTAATACGTAAACGAAAGAATACTTAAAATGTAGTGAGCCTCATCACTATTCCACTAGTTCATTGGGTAGCAATTCATCAGGATCATCTTACTATTATGAATGGTAAGAGTATTTATTACGTTTACAATGATTATATTTACGGTAAAAAAAGATTATACCGGCAGGGGTGCTAATGAGATATTCAAGTCTGATTATATTATGCTGGTCTGGAACAAGTTTATGATTGTCATGTGCCTGTCCAAAAGTTTTCAATCTTCAACTATTCACTGGCCTTGAAAGTATTTTTGAGAAAAGCCAATGTTACTTTAAATAGCTATACTAGTAATATCAAAAAAGCATGCGAGAAGAGTAACCCATTTTTAGTAAATCAAATAGATCAATATGAGTTATGATTGAAAAAAAAGTTTGTAGTCTAATAGTCATTAATATAGAACAATAAGAGAGTGGACCAAGAAAAGTAGTAAGTATAATATTATAATAAAAGCTTTTTACCAAAAAAATAAAAACCGACTTAAAAAAACACTAAAAGGTAAAAAAAAACTGATTGGTAGTTTTCATTTACTATACAATATACATACCTAATCAAATATTTTCGAAGTCGGTGCCAGCCAGCCAGTACAACTTAGTTTTCTTACTTATCACGTTCTTGTCGCATATGAGCGCTATAACCTGGTCGAGTTGAATATATAAAAATCAATTTCTTTTATGAATATTTTTAACATTGAAAATGTTGTCTTTGTCGCTTTAGTATAGGCCCGATTTTCAGCGAAAGTGCGACATCGCCCTGGTGTCGTGGATGACGTTATAAGATGCGTCTGAATGAGGACTACAAAATGCAAAAAAAACATTTGAAAACACTAAAGGCTTTTTTTAAATCGAAAAAATGTGAAAAAAGCGGTCGCTTTTCGCTCGATTTCGGTCAGAAAAAAATAATCTTATCTCGAAATGAAATAAGAAATCGAAAAATAAAAAAAAAACCCTAGAGATATGACTTCGGACTACATTTAAAAAAATATTGGAGGTGCATATCACTGATGGGTTATTCAGAAGTTGTACCTTTGTGACGCTGAGTTTAAGCGAGGAGAGTGCGTGAGCGCGATAAAGTGATTCGTTGTGAATAAATAAATATGTATTTAAACTAATAAGTAACTAATATTTACACATATAATAAAACAGTAACTAAGCGAAATTTATACGTCAAATATATTTTCAAAACAATGACTGTAACGTATTGTGTCCTACAGACCCCAAAAAAATAGTTATGAAAAATTTTGTCTGTTTGTCTGTATGTCTGTTTGTCTGTTTGGGCGTGCGCGTTTCATGAAAAAAGTGCTGAACCGATTTTAACTAAATTTTATGACTTATTACTCGGCTTAGGATATTTAAGATATCTTTTACTGCAGGAAAATAAAAGAAAAGGGAGAGGAGAGGAGAGGAGCGAAGCGGAGAGAAGCAAGAAGAGAGGAGCCTGTTGTTGAGATTTGGCCTGTCTTTTGCAGTTCTTTTTCGCAAATCTTTTTCGCCTGTCTACTGCGCTTGTCTTCTTCGCCTGTCTTCTCCTCTCCTCTCCTCTAATCCTCTCTCGGCTCCTCTCCCCTCCTCCCCCTTTTCTCTTTAAAAAAACAAACAAACATTTATATTATATATTAATATTTATTTATTTGTTTGTTTGTGTAACTGTTTCTTTAACTGTGAATTTGCTTAAATGTCAGTTAATTTAATCTATTTCTCTTCTTACATCCCCCTGACTCGGTTTTTAGCATATTTTTTCTATGTACAAACATTCGACCTCTACGGTTTTATTATATGGAAAGAATATCTTTATGCATCTAAATACTTTTTTGTAGTCTGAAGGCGGGCAAAATCGGTTGTTCTACTACTAATTCATATGTTAAAAATTTAATTCAGTTCATTTGGCAGATTCATTTTCAATGTACTCTAAGGTCCTGGCAGGCACGAGATTTTAAAGGGAATTTTTAAAGGAATAGGGATCCTTGCCCATATTAGGATACTTATGTGATATAAAAAAAACTCGCCAACTATAAAAGTAAAATTGCCCTCTTATTATTACAAAGTAAATTTTTGCATTTTCATACGTTATGAATTAATACGTTTAATAAATTAGAATATAAGTTTAAAAACTAAAACCGACTACGGAAAATATTCTTCGAAATTCTTATCTATAACTTATATTATCTTATATTAACTATAACTTATATTATATTTATACTAACTATCATTTATTAATCGTCTATGTTCGTCATTAGTAAATGGGAACCAGGGACTAAGACTGATCGGTACTTAGCTTCTTCTCATCCATCGACCCCATCAACAGACCACTCTTCCCCACTGTATCTGATATTTGTAGCTTAATTATGTTTGAACTACGTTTAATCCAATATAATGATTATAATTTAACAAAAACAAAAAAAAAGTTTACCATTATTGGTCTACAGTCTACACTATAACCGATGATATAAAAATTTCAAAAAGAACTACAAATTATTTTCATAGTCTATCTCTATAATGTACTTAATGATATAAATACTCAAATTACTTAATGATATAAATACTCAAATTACTTAATGATATATATATACTCAAATATGTCCAGCCGTTTGAGCGTAAAGTACACACACACAATACGCACGCATGCACGAACGCACAAACACCCACACACATACCTGGCATTAACCATAGGTAATTTTTTTGTGAAAACTCGTTTTTTTCTTTCATTCTCCAATTTTTAAATACAATTTCATATGAAAATTAAACAGTTTATTTAACTGACTCCTCTGATATTAAACCTTAAACAGCCTAGCAGCAAATATTTACTTACTCTTTTAATTCAATTCTATTGTTCAGTCTCCTACAAGTGCCACTTAATTCACCAAAGTCGCGTAGAATGGAAAATCAATTACTGTATCGTGGCCATGGATGACAAATAAAAATCGTGGCAGCTGTAGTCTCCTTAATCTGTGGTGGCAGCATTCATAAATGTCATTTATTTGCCATACGTCCAGTGGCAAATGTAAGTTAGATATGACTGTCAGTGTCAACTGTCAATTGTCTAGTATCTAATTTAAAAATATCAGATATTATACATTGTACAATGACTGACGATTGATAACGAACTTATAAAGTCTTTCATGAGCTAATTATGTCTTCTACCACATCTAAATTAGTGTTGGGTCTATCATGTGCAGTAACTCTAGGAATAGTTTCATATGTACATATTAAACAACAAGCAGACAGGTATAACATATACGGAATATTCTTTTAAGATTAGTATAAAAACCATTACAAATTTGTTCTAGTTTAGATGAATGTATAATATTCTATAAAGTTTAGTTTATATAGTTTATATAAGTTTCTATTTTATTAAGACCTGTTATTTGCAAATCTTAAAATTTACTTTTTAGTCATAAAAATATCTTCATTACTTTGATGATGCATGGCAAACACAAATAAGTTCTTTAAGCATTTTTCATATTTTTCATAAATACTAGCCTAACTGTCACATCATATTTAGGTTGATATTGGGGCTTGTCTGCATCCTACTCACCAGTATCCTAAATGTTGCATTGAACATAGAGGATTAAGTGTGATTTCAAGCATATTCAGCCCACAGGCTCCTTATACATAGATAGTTTAAAGTAAGCATAAGTAAGTTACACATAATTAATTTTTGAATTTCTAGAGAGAAGATGCATGAAGGAGTCATACGAGATACAGAAAGACAACAGCGAAGAAAAATTGAAAACTTGTATATATTAGAAAAACAAAATGAATTAACGAAACAACTTAAAAAAGAAATAGAAAATTCATAATTAAACAATGTTTATTTCTATAGAATTATTTATTATACATTAGTCATTACTACTACATTATTAAATATAAATACATCTAAGCTACTTCTTTTCTTTAAGCCAAGCATCTAACATAACATCCTTAAGATTTAAATTTACTCCAGTTGGCTCTTTTTTATCAGTGGTATCAATGAATTTATCAAGGCGTAGTTTTTCTTTAGCTATAGCGGCCAGACACTGGAATGTTTGTGGTTCCCATGCTGCCAAATCTGATAGGGACTTTCGATCCAACATTATATTTGATCGATCTAATCCTTCTTTCAAAGAAAATGCTGTTAAATTGTGCTGTGCACAAGCTGCTGATATGCGAGTATCCCAAAGATCTTTCATATCTTCTTTTTTCAATTTTCGAGCTTTGGTAGCATAAACCAAAGCCCGGTGCACATTACGTACGGCAACAGAATAACAATTTCTTCGACGTCCAATATAATGTGCCGCCAATCTAAAAATCTTTCTCTTCCTCCAGAACTCATCAGGTCCTCGAGCTCGCACCAAATTGGCAACGGTTAAGAAAACCATTGTTGCCTAGAATTCAAAAAGAGTAAACATATATAACAATGCTATTTAATCAAATGTAAAAAATATAATATGTCGATAAATTATTCGAATAATTAATATCACAACATAACCTACAAAGTTACTAGTGACAGTGTGTGTGTGACAGCTCTGAGTCTGACTTCTTCCCTGTGCATCAAAGAGTATAGTTATAAACTGTGTACATTATACAATTTAACAATGTTGCCAACGGCAACATAATAGATACCTAACAATAATTTACTGTACAATGCAACTTGCAATTCACATGTCATGTAATGTAAAGAGAAGCAATTCTACACAAATTCACGTCCGCTTCTATTTACTATATTTCATTAAAATTAACGAGTTCAGCTCCGAACCCAAACTTTGCCTTCCAGGGTAATTTTATATAATAATATAACTTTACCATAAAATGTTCCAAAAAAACCACTATTAAATAAATGCTTAAGTATTAATAGATGTTTCGTAGTAGAAACGATTGATAGCTACTGAATTTAAATACTTTTGTTTATACTTTATACAAAGAAATCTTTCGTGATTTCCAATTAGAGCACTAAAGCGCATTATGCGGCATAATACTAATTTTGGATGTTCCAACTACAGCAACGCTCCGCTCAATCGAGCATTTTGAAAAGTACTGCTTTGGCGTGATACGCGCAAGGACACCAACTCAATAACAGAAAATATGAGAAGTGCTTTTTCTTAAAAGTGGCATTGATCATAATTTTATTTACATTATCGTTGTTAATATATTTGTTTATATTTTATTTATATGATTATATAATCAACTTAACTAGTTATATATTATTATATATCTATACTAATATTATAAAGAAGTAAAGTTTGTGAGCTAGTGACGTTGTAGAGAGTAATCTCTGGATCTACTGAACTGATTTAAATGGAATTTGGTAAGAAGATAATTTGAAACCCTGGTAAGGACATACGATAGTTTTATTCCGGAAAATATTAAGGGGGTGAAAATGGGGATGAAAGTTTGTATTTGGAAGCAAGCTAGGGACGAACCCGAGAGAAGCGAGGATGAGTCGCTAGTTTATTATATAATTTATAATATCTACGATATGTAATATTATATATTATATGCATATTAGTTATATTTTTTCTTTCAATACTGAACCTAGTGCCCTCTGTTGGTGCACTTGAAAACTAATTCACGTTCCAATTAAGCATTAGCACACTTCGGCATTGTGCGCCAAAGTACGGCATTATGCTCTGTAATTGGAAAAAGGACATGTCAGCAGGGTTTTAGTTTTGTATACCACTTACTGGGTATAGTTGTTCCTGGTGTATGCTGGGTATAGCTGTTTTAATGTCATTATTTTTAAACTTTTTTCTATAATCTATTTAAATTCGCCAAGTCAAGTAAAAAAGCCCTAATATCCTTTTCTCGAAGCCATTGACATTCAGGACCAGCGCTGCCAATTGGCGGGTAAATTACCCGAAGAGCGGGTAATTTTAGACGATTTTTGATGGCGGGTAATTTTGACGGGTATTTGCATTGAGCGGGGTCAAAGCAGATATTTTAGTTTAGCTGATTAATTTGATATTTATTATAATGTATAATTTATAATTAGTTTTTTTATGTTTGATTTAATCATTTAAAGCTGTTTAATTGAGAACTGATTACAATGACTTGTTTTTCTAACATTAGTACCTTACCTTTTATTCAAAACAAATCAAATGATGGCGCCGTCTTGACTGGCGCCGAATTGAAATAAACCGGGTATTTTGAGGTTTATTGGTCGGGTAAATATTTAATATTTCAGCAATGTGATATAGACATTTTTTCTGGCAGTTTTAATTTATTTAAAAAGAAAGTGTAATTAATTTAAATATTTAGATTAGATTTTTTTCTGCTTTTGTTTATTGTACAACTGAAATAGATCCTTATATATTCGTAAGTCGTAACCACACAAAATTTTAATGGAATACTTCTATAAAAAGCTGTGCATACTTTTAAATTAAATTTATATACAAATAGGTGTAACATTATAATGTTAAATACATGTTTTATGTAAATTTAGTAAGCCTTTATAATAAAAATAAAATAAATCAACGACTGTTATCTGGCAGCCCTATTCGGGAAATTTTAGAAGCGACGCCCCTGTAACTTCGTTGTGGAGGATAAACTATAAAGCTAGAAACTAGAATTTTCAATGATTTCAATTTCAAAAAACATTAAAATATACTTAAAGCTATATTGCAACACCTTTGAAAACAATTAGAGAAGTCGATTGCCAATTTTAAATCAATATATATTAGTGTAGCCCATAACTGAAGCTTAATATGACGTGTCCTATGCTAAAGAGTTAACCCCTTGACCAGTATTTACATATTATTGACTTTAATTTCCACAGTTCCTTCTGAGTTCATGTCCTAGATCGGGCCGAGTTTTTTTTAGTTATTAAGTCTTTGTGTTTCGAAAGTTCCAGTAACAACCCGGGAAAGTTTCGGTCCTGCGCCTGATCTTTCACCAGTCGTGTCGAATTATCGTCCCATCGGAATTTGATAGTGAAAGGAATACAGAGTGCACGGGGTATCTGCGCGTACACCTGAGTACTATAATGTCCTGCGCAGTTGTAGTCTCAATGAGAAATTGGCCGCCCAAACCGAAACCGATCAGGAGGATCAATTATTATTTAATATTGTATTATTTTAGGGGTTAAACGTTTTCGTTGAACAATATGACTTTGTATAAACTAAAAGCACCTAAAACTCCTTTTTTATGGGGACCACAGTTTAAGTAAGCAAAATAAATAAAATAAATGCAAATTACCTAAATCTAACATCAATTCTAGTAAGATAAATACGAGCCTTAATATAGCAAAAATATTATTTTTATTAAAGCTAAGTAATCATAAAATATAAATATTAAAAAAAACAATTAAACATTAATTGTAGATATAACTACATTTCAGCACCTCTAAGTTACTTATTGATTATCTTCAATATCACTTTCGTCATCATTCGTGTTATATGAAGCACTGGAGACTTCGTCGAAGTTATCATTTACCGACATTATATGTCTTATATTATATTGTTTACCCTCTTTATATTTGTTATAGTCAGTTGATGTAGTTTTATTCGCCATTATACATTTTAACATTAAAATCTAGAAAAATAAGCATAAAAGCACACCTGGAGCTACTTTATAAAATTATCTCGCAATAATAAAATTATATTATTGACGTCCTACTAAATGAAAATACCTGCGTGTTGCTTTAACAAACATTAGTAGAAGAGCCCAAGAGGGGATTTTGGGATTTACTCAAACGCGGCAGATTAATATAAGGAGGAACCTTGCACTCTGTTGGGTACCTCCACCATATACAATTTCTCTGTATAAGTTCGAACGCCCACCGACAGGTTAATCTGACGCGCTCAAGTATTTAGAACTTATCAAAATGTTTTTATAATAATTTGATCGGCTGCCCTAGACCCTTATGTTATCTGCGGCGCTTGAGTAAATCCCAAAAGCCCTTCTTGGGCTCCCCTACTATTGAACCTACTTTTTTTTCATTATCATTCAAAGAAAATTCTATAGAATATAGACTATGGAAAATATTTTATGTATAAAATCCAGAATAGTACATTTAAAAAGAAAAATAAGTTATATGTGTTCGCACTTTTATATAATAACTGGCGACTCACCCTCGCTTCGCCCGGGTTCTTCCCTAGGTTTATTCCAGATACAAACTTTCATCCCCATTTACACCCCCTTGAGGTATGATTTCCAGGATAAAAAGTATCCTATGTCCGTCCCAGGGTATCAAACTATCGTCTTACCAAATTTCATCTAAATCGGTTCAGTAGATCCAGAGATTACCCCCTACAATGTCACAAACTCACAATTCACTAACTTTACCTCTTTATTATATTAGTATAGATTAAAAATGATACATACCTCTAATATAATAACTATAACAAACATAATTAAATGTATGTACATTGAAATCTTAATAATACGGTATACTGAAATTCCACAACCATTTGTATGAATAGAATAAGTATCTAGCTCTTTTAAATAGTTTGATACACAAGATCCACTTTTACAGCAACTAAAAAGAATAAATAAAAAATGTTAACATGATAATAAAATGCTAAAAAAATGCAATTGTTATTTATTCCATAGAAAGATTGCTCTATATTTTTAACCTTCTGTTTGTTTGTCCTTCTGTCTGTTATAATTTACAATGTAATACGATCACTTTTAAAACAAAATTTGTTTATATTATAGTATACCTAGTATAGGGACAGTTAGGTTTATTAACATATACTCCCAGATCAAACCACTGAAGTTTGAATCAAGAGGTGCAAAATTTTGATTTTGTATAAGAAACCAACGATTTCTCACTACCGGCAAAAGTGGTATTTACGCTAAATGAGCGATCTCTTTCAAAGCCCATGGACATTTCACGATACGGTATCAATGACATGGGACAATCATAGTGACTTTTAAATGACATAAGCAATTTGTATGATAACGTAGCACTGATGAGTGCTGAGGACGGGCCTCCCTTTAATACGCGGGAGATCAGGCCATAGTCCACCAGGCTGCACTGGACAAGTGCGGTGTTTGAAGACTTCACATGTCTTTGGAAAACTTCCTAGTTTCTCTCAGACATGCAGGTTTCCTCGTGACTTTCTTTCACCGTTAGACAAGTAATACCTAATCATGTTGAAAATGATTCGCTTATAAAATTCTCTATCAAAGGTGCGAGACCCTAAATTTGAACACGCTTTACTTGGTTTCCAAAGCAAGTGCGTTACCACTGTGCAACCACTCCCTTGAGAACAACAACAACATACTTACCTAAAAGGCACGCTATCCGTTTCTACTTCTTTTGTTTTTGCATCCTTAAGACGAGTAGGATTCCATTCATAATCTCTTATCTTATCATGCCAGTCTTGTGTAAACCAATCTTTATAAGAATTTAACTTTAACAAAGATAATATATTTAATAATAGATACATATCTAGAAAAATATCTAAAATTATTTTACGAGTATAATAATAAAATCCTTACACCGCAACATCCCAAAGACCATTGAAGATTATCAATAAAATGCTTATGCTTAGGACATGTTCTATAGTGTTTCATACTTTTAGAAATAGAATTCATCGTATTTTCTTGACAAGAATAAAGTCTTCGAACACACAGAGATACTCCCACAGCATTTATAATTATAATCCAAACTATACACACCCAGAGACGGCAACACACAACTCTTGCTTTATGACTGTATTAATATAAAATACATATCAATTAAGTAAGTACTATAACAATGAAACAACAAGTGTATTTAAACAAAATATTAAAGAACCCCTGGACGAAATTCTTTGAAATTTAAACGTCAAATTGTATGAATATTTTCTAAACATTTACATTCAAATGATTTGAAAAAAAATCGTGCATGTGGCCCTTAAATAGATACGTAACTCAATTTTATATCTATATGCAATCGCATATAGTATGTATAGTTTAGTCGGTAGCATAATAATCCCCGAAAGTAATACAAGTGCGTTGACGAGGTCCGTGCCAGTTAAAAACAACATGTCTCCAACACCTGTTCCAGCATACACATAAAATTAGTTATTGACACCAATTTCTAGTATATTATTATATTAATATGATCTGTGCTCAGTTTACGATGAAGAATAATTAAAAAGTAGTCTCATTTTGGAAAGATATTGTTTTAATTATTGTATTTATTACTTACTAGCGCCTACCCTCGCTGCGCTCGGGTTCGTCCTTAGATTGATTCCCCATACAAACTTTCATCCCCATTTTCACACCCTTAAGGGATGATTTCCGGGATAAAAATATCCTATGTCCTTCCCAGGGTCTCAAACTATCTTCTTACCTTTCATCTAAATGGGTTCAGTAAATCCAGAGATTACCACCTACAACGTCACAAACTCACCATTGGTAATAAATCAATCATTTAAACTATTTAAACTAAAATCGATTGACAAATTCAACCACATAGCATATTTATTTTTAATGTTCTTCCATAAGATTATATCTAACTTATTATTTCTTATTTTCATATATATTCAAATTTATAAAAAATAGTATTGTAAGTCAATATACAATTTATATGTTGTATAGATAGTAAGAAGGCAACTTTCGGTTTGCGCCGTTTATCGCATTCTACCGACATTGATATATCGCAAATGTCATTTGATAAGCAAAAGGTCTCCGTTGTTCCAAATGTTATTATTATTTAACAATATTATTACATAAAATATGTGTCATAAATATAAATAGAGCAGCGTAGAGCAAAATTTTTTTCTCTGATACTCACTAAAGAACAATAGCAAAGACCACATCATAGCGAAGATTGAAATAAGCCATAACATGCAAGCTGCTAACACAACAAATGGACGATTAGGGCCTTTATAATACATTTATTTATAAAATTATATTTGAAAAGTTTCCAAAACATATGACAATGACGTTATTAAAAATCACTTTAGAAACAAAATGACGTACTAAATTGCATATATTTGCTCTTTAGTATCATAATAAAACCTCAATTTATAATTTAAGAAGTATTTATTAACAGTTGTAAAATATAAAAAGATGAAAATAGTATAAATATATTTTAGTTTAAAAAACTTTAACAAATATTACATAGCATGTTCCAATTTAAATGGAACAAAAGTCAGGTATTGGCCCGCACGTTCGTTTTCTCTCTTTGTCACTTTCATGACAGTATTTCGAAGTGCATTCTCTACGGCAATGGTTTTAGCTAGCCTTATCATGAAATACAAGCATTTCAAGAAATGTTCAGCCACATCATGAAATGATCAATTCTGACAAGATTTGGCCACAACATATACATACATATAATGCACATAAGCCATAAATTCTATAAAAAATAATGAACACATAGCTTAAAATTACATACTAATTGCTGTAGATATTAAAATATATTTGCTGTAATATACAATATTCTCTTTATACTTACATATATGTATAAAGAGAATATTGTATATTACTATTCAATAACTTCTCTATAAATATGTTTGTTCATAATGTCAATAAAAATGTTTCAATTATTTTTACGACTTTAAAAACGATTATTCAGTTCCAATTGCTATTCTCGAGTAAGAAAGGATATTCTTATTCCTTTATGTTATCTATTTCAGTTACATCACCCATTTTCTTAAGATTTGGTGAGACCTCAAATTCACATCCAGTACTAACTAATACATCTTCAATTTTAACACCATCAGCCAATTCAGTTAGAGTTAGTCCTTTTTCTTTGTCCACTTCAAATACACACTGAAATATAAGATTAAAAATAAAATTATAGACTTATATTAATCAATAGTTATTTATGTAGCAAAAAAATACATATAAAAACAGAAAACAAATAATTATTGTGTACGAAGGATGTCTATCTCTAAGAGATCTCTACAAAAAACCTCGAGCGTGAGAAAAAATAGTAATGAGGTGCGATGTAGGTACCGACTACATAGAAACATCAATATAAATATACAAACATACATACATACTTATATATGTACTTAAATATATTTTTTATTAATTAATACATAATTTCTCTATTCCTTAGTCTTTTTAGTTAGAAAGACCGTAGTCTGCCTCAATAAATAGGCTACAAAATATATAAAGATTTTTTTAATCTGACTGGTAGTTCCATATATTAAACAAAATCTTCATCTTTACATAGGGTATGAAATTCTTCATAAAAAGGGTGAAACTTTATATACTGTGTATGTATTCTATTTCCATTAAAAAATTGCTTATAGTAATTTATTTGGTTCTATAGTACTGGTAATGATTCCGGTCCTACCTTTAAATATTATAATGACATATTTCCTAACAAATAAAAAAACACTCCTATAAAATAGACATGTACATATTTAAGATTTATTCACTAATAAATTTAAATTGTTATTATTATAATATTTAAAAAAATATATTAAAAAAAAATTATTCATACCTTTTCAGTGATAATCATGTCCACACAATTCTTTCCAGTAAGTGGCAGAGTACACTTTGGTAATATTTTGTGGGCACCATTTTTAGCTGCGTGCTCCATAGTAATTACTACTTTTGTTCTTGGTGCGGATACTAAATCCATTGCACCACCCATCCCTTTTACCATTTTACCCTAAAATTAAAAAATATTAGGGTTAAAAAAATTGTTAAAAAATAAAGTAAAATATGGTCTAGTCAAAGAAGTTAATCCATATTAATATATAAATATAAATATTGTATGTTCCATAAGAAATTGGGTTATTCTGTGTAGATAGATACACAGGTGCATTCGAGGTGCTTTTTTTATTGCAAAATTAACGATTTTCATATGTGTTACTCTATATATAATATGTCCACCTACATACAACATTATGTAGCGGTCATAATGAAGTTTTTTAATGAATAATCCAAATAATAAATCTTAAAGGTTTGTTTACTTAAAGAGATTTCACTTTTAAGATTTTTTTTTAATATATTTGTGCTAAAATGTCATTATTATAACGCTGTATATTCTTACAGGGATCATCCAATTAGCTAAATCGCCATATTGAGACACTTGCATAGCTCCCAATATAGTCAAATCTATATGCCCCCCTCGGATCATCGCAAAGCTATCATCGGACGAGAAATACGAAGCACCTGCAAAACAAGCCATTTACTATTCAAATTAAATCTCGTTGAGGCAATTAATGAAAACCAGTTTATATTTGCGACATATTTTGTAATATCTTGTTTACTGAATATCATTTTATCAATATGTCATTTACACATAATGTTGAAGTAAATATTTTGTTGTACCATTTGTTTACGCCATCATACGTCGCACGTTCTGCATAACTTATTCTAAACTACATTATTACAATTATTGATAAATATATTCAATCTGGGCTATTGTTAACTCATAACTTATCTACTTTTTATTTACTTCTATGTTGCATACATTAGCCACTTATATAGAACTAGCGATTTACCTTCGCTTCTGGTTCGTCCCTAGACAAAAACAAATCTATCCCACGGGAACCGTACATTTTTCCTGGATAAAAAGTCACCAATGTGATATTCAAGACTATAATCTATCTCTGAGCCAAATTTCATTCAGATCCGTTCAGCCGTTTTGGCGTGAAAGAGTAACAAACATCCATCCATCCTCACAAACTTTCACATTTATTATAATATTATATAATTATAATTAAGGATTTTACGGTAAGTAGGTATCTAGGTACACATTTGTATTTATTTACATATTTTCATAATTAAATTGAGGAGACGTTGACAATACGACAAATAAAAGCAACAAGTGTGTATATCTCATAATACTTTTAAATATTCGTAGATAAGATAATTATAATGTATCACATGATAACTTAATAACTTATGGATTTGATTTGAGAAATTTATTTCTTCAAATTGTACAATACATAAATAGTTTTTGTATAATCATTATTGTTATAGCTATGTATATTAGAAGATTTTTTGCCGTTAATCTTGTTAATTAAAAATCAAATAACATGTAGTGAAAGGAGCCTATGCTTTGAAGACGGATGTGTATAGATCTCAACGAAATAAGACGAAAAGTAAGGATAAAATTTTTCGATATATCGCTTAGTTTTCAAGGTCGATATACAAAAATGGAAAAAAAAAATTTTTAATTTTTTTTGACGGAATTCGATAATACATAGGTATTTTTGAAAACTAAAACAAAAAATTAGAATAAAATGTTTCGATATATTGATTAGTTTTCGAGACGTCGATACCCGAAGATCTAAAAGAATGAAAATTTTATTTTCATTCGAGTGAGTATGCATTGAAGTATAACAGTAAAAGTAATATAGAAAGCACTTGTGTTTTTTTTTCATACACGCACTTTACCATATTATCTTCTGTAATCTCAGCGAGGTCATTATGTATACTAATATTATCTATTTTCTATACTAATATTATAAAGAGGAAAAATTTGATTTTTGTTTGTTTGTACTGAATAGGTTCCAAAACTACTGAACAGATTTAGAAGAAATTTGGTAAGAAAATACTTTGAGACCCTGGGAAGGACGTAGGATTTTTTATCCCGGAAATCATCCCTTAAAGGAGGTTAAAATCGGGATGAAAGTTTGTATGAGGTCATCTTTGTTGTATGAGGAATCAACCTAAGGACGCACCCGAGCGAAACGAGGGTGAGTCGATAGTCATTAGTACTTAACGAGTATCATACATACTCGTAAATATAACCCACACTTCTATGCTAAAAGGACATAGAGTAATGAAAAAGATAGATCTACCTGGTAGTACCGTAACGGTTTCCTTTCCTGCATTAATAAGATCTGCGTCCACTTCGTCTTCAGTAGGGAATGGGCCAAGTCCAAGAATACCATTTTCAGATTGCAATAGAACGTTTATATTTTTTGGTATGTAGTTACTTGCTAACATTGGCATTCCTAAAGTAAAAGATAAAATTTACTAACATAAGTGAGTACAAAGTACATCTTTACACATATACAAAAAGTTTGTCTGTACATATATGCGCATTAATCTCGTGAACTGTTAAGTATTGAACGAACTCAACGTTATGCGGTTTTTTGGTGTTATGATCTGAATTTCTGCAGAAAGATTTTAGTTTATTAATAATTTCTCGTTCACTTATAGGAGCTGAGCATTGAAAGTCGTAAATAAATGAAATCAATGTGTATGTGTATATGATGATATAAATAAATACATTTTGAAAAAAATTAAAATAATTCAAGCATTCAGCCATTACTAACAGTCCCACTGCAGGGAACGGGGATTACTTCAATGAGAGCCCTATCATTGAAGAGATTTCACCAGGCTATAATCACGCTGAACGAGTGGCGGAATTCACATATCTTGCGAAAAGTAATTAAATTCTCCAAGACAGGTTGTTCACGATATTTTCCTGAGCCATATTAGCAACTTAAAAAATCAAAATGTAAGAACTTGTTTTTTTTACGCAGGATTTATTATTTACATATAAAAATACACTTAGATCTTCTGTGAGTTAAACTTCACCATATTTCGAATGGTTTGCAGTATTTAAGTGAAAATATAAATAATCGTAGTTAGGCCACATTTTGATTTTTTTTTATATTGTATGTACGTATTTTATGATAACCGAGTATTATTTTTGTTTTAAAAAATATTTTTGTTTAAGTAAAGTTAACAAATGCTATTTGAAGTAAAAAAATACGAACCAACCGTACTTAAAACCGTAAATAAAAAAATTGTCCTTTACAGTGTAAAATAATAAAAAAATTAAATAAATCGCGACGAGCGCGCAACGCTATCTAGGGATGCGATAACGATTGCTAGTTACTAGAACCAACCTATATCATAAAAGAAATTTGATTTTGATGACTTTAAAATCATTTACTACCCTAATTCCTAGCACGTGAACCACTTATTATTTAGGTACAAACCCCTTAAATTATCCTAGGAAATATCTCAGCCATCTGTTACTGTATTAATAAAGGACAAACCAACAAAGCAAAAAACAGCCATGTGCGTAAAAATAAAATAATTATAAAAAATAAACATTACTTATATAAATATTGTTCAATTTTAAAATAACCAGAAAAACAAAACATAACCCAAGTGCAACTATCGACAGAAAAATGCTTACAACTCTGTTGGTACTTTTACGCACATGGCTGTTTTTTGCATAACTGGGTCCATTTTTGATATAAAATTTTACCACATTATTATTACATTCAGTAACGATTAATATCACTCACCAATTCCAAGGTTGGCATGCATCCCATCTTTGAACTCTAACGCAGCCCGTCTTATAATCCTCTCTCTCATATTATCCGATGATTTCTTCTCTTTCTGTTCCTTTGACTTACTTATAGTTTTTCTTTCAATCCGCTTCTCAAACTTGTCGCCTAATACAATTCTATGGACGTAAATTGACGGAACATGGACAAAATCTGGGTCAATTTCGTCAACAATTTCTTCGACCTCGGCTATAGTAACTCTGGCTGCTTTACACATAGCTGGATTGAAGTTGCGGGCACTTTTCCTAAATATTAAATTCCCATGTCTATCGGCTTTCCAGGCTTTAACTAACGCGAAATCACCAGTTATAGCTTCTTCCATAATGTAGTTAAGGCCGTTAAATTGTTGTGTATTGCGGGGGGAACTTGCAATGTCTATCTAAAGAAAGTAATTTGATACATAATTTTAAGTCTAAAAATATTTATTATTTTTTCTCTTTCGCACACTATCTTGCAAGCTATTTTATAGTAGTGTGAAGTGACTCCTACGGGATATTGGTCTATACTAAAGACTCTATAGTAAACATACTTATTGTAAGTAGCAAAGTTAGTTTTCATTGTTTCAAGATTTTCAAGATTTAACTTGGTTAGTTTTTACCAGTAAAACAAGTTTTTAGAAGAGAGAGACATGTTGACCTTACGATATAAAAACAGTGACTTGCGTATAGCATAAATAAGCTATAAGTGATAGCCTTTAATATTTTAGATTACTTTATTTTAGATAACTTGTATGTAAAAACTAACCAAGTCAAATCTTGAACTTCAATTTATCCTATGTTATCTACTCTGTGTAAATAATTCAAATGTTCAAATTTAAGAAATTCTATTTTAAAATAGCATACACTTTTGTAGCAGGAAAAACAAGAAATTGTGTTTTAAATTTATTTTAGACTCTTGTATGTTCTTATGAAAAAAAATCAGGATTATCTACAGAACTTGGCACCCATTTAGATCTCAATTCTTTTGTCGGTTAAGTTGACCATCACGCATATTCTTAATATTAAACTTGGCTCCCATTTTCACATTTATGTTTTTGATGGGATATCATGACATTTTTTAAAGAAACTATTATTATTAATAAATCGAAAGTGACATATAAAATCTTTTATTCATAATTTTGCGACTATTCGTTAGTGGATAAGGCGGAATAGGAAAATTATTGCTATTATATTTCAAAATGCTCTAGGTTTTAAGCTCTTGCTATTATGTTTTTAGATTATCTGGAAGGTGGTTAGGTTTATGTCAGTCAGTCAGTGATAAAAATGCCGATTTTTAGACGTTAATATCTCAATAACCGTTTGAGCTGTATTTATGAAATTAGGAATATAATAGTTAATCTAAGGAGATTAATTAATACATGAACCAAATTTCATGATCTCAAATAGATTTTGAGTTATTACGAGGTGAAAAGTGGCTCTAAATGGTTCGTGTAAATATACACACGGTGCTGCGTCGCCAGTTCCTTTGGCTTGGCTGGACACGCTACCGCGTGTCTTGATAAATAAGCATATTGTTACTGTTAGAAATAGTTCATAAGATACTACATGTTAAGGTTTGAATAGAAGGCTTATTATTATTATTATAATCGGTCAAAATAGACATTCACCCTTGCATAAATTCCCAAAAAGATAAAAATTTACATGAAAATTAGGGATACTTATTATAAAGAAATTGTGAAAAGTCCCCATCGATCCCTTAAGTGTAAAAAATTTTATGCAAGGTCAAAGTTCGCAAAAATGTTTTTTTTGGATTTTTCAACAAAATGGATAATTTTATGATCAAAATAGTGTAGAAGATACTTGTAGATCATACAATTATCTACAAAAATTGTCATTACACTTTTTTTCCAAAGAATCACCATTTCTGAGAAAAAGCGTTTCTAAAATGTACCCCTATTTTTTGGATGAACTTGACCAGGCTTTTGTTAAAGGAAAACAACCAATATCCAGTTACATTTTTTTTGACAATGTTGCACCTTACGAATACATAATATGAATATTTCATTTATTCATAATACTCAAAATTGTAAGAGTTAAACAAACAAATATTTAGCTTACCTTTCCATCTTTAGTGTATTTAATAGGGGAACCACCTTCATGAATTAGAGTTCCATATCCAGTTGGTGTGAAAAATGCAGGTATTCCAGCAGCGCCAGCCCTTATTCTTTCAGCTAAAGTTCCTTGTGGGGTTAGTTCCACCTGTAATAACATATCTATGAACAAACTTTATGTTTATACAAATAATAGTAATAGCATTTTAATCAACTGTTGAGATCTGGTGAAATAAAGTAGATTGTCAACATTTATTATAGATTAGCAACTCACCCTCATTTTGCTCAGGTTCATTCCTAGGTACAAAGCTTAGTACGGAATAGATCAACTTTATATACATAGGTATGTGGGTTTTATCCAACACTTATAAATATCACTCATATATAAATTATTGATTGTTCATACAAACTCCCACCCCTCTTTTCGCCCCCTCAGGCTTAGGGGAGTATTTCTAAGATAGTTTATCTTATGCCCTTCCCAGGGTCTAAAACTATCTCGATACTATTTTATCCAAATTGGTTCAGCAGATTAAATGAAAAGCTAACAGACAGACAGATTTTGTTGGTTTACATGCTAATCTCAGGAACTACTTCTGATTTGAAAAATTCTTTTTGCATTAGATAGCCCGTTTATGAAGGAAGGGTATATACTATGCTACCCAAGCAAGATGGCAAGGAAGAAGGGAGCAGCAATCATAAATGTCAACAAATCGGGGAGACTTTCATACATCATTGTAAAACTATATATAACAGGAACAAAACCCAAGCAAAGTGAGGGTGAGTCGCTAGTAAGAGTATATTATATATAGTAAAACAATATAAATAATTGCCATTAAAATTAAATCAAAGACTAAAATGTAAGTAAATATTTGTGAAGTTTATTTTTCTCTTTCTTATATAGAAAAAAAATGATATTCTGACTCTAAATAAATAGTCTTTGGAATTATCATGAAACAAAACATTAATAAATAGATGCTCTTTTATTTATGAATTTTTTTTATTAATAAATATTTTAGTACATACTTCCAGTTCACCATTTAAGAATTGTCTCTCAAATTCTGCATTTTCACCAACATATGATGAAATCATTCTTTTAATTTGTTTTTTCTTCAGTAAAATACCTAGTCCAAAGTCTTCCACTCCTAAATAGTTATAAAATATTTGAATAAATATTTGGAAATTGAAAATTTAAAGCAATTTGAAATAATTAGCACTAATTTGATAAAAAAAAACACACCAGCATTATTTGATACAACTGTAAGCCCTGATACAGATTTTGTATTTACTGCTTTTATAAGATTTTCTGGTATACCACATAAACCGAATCCTCCAACTAACAGTTTTGAACCATCTTTAATATCTTTTACAGCATCATTTATATCATTGAATATTTTGCTATTTTTAACAATGGTGCTGTATGATGCACACGTCAGTACCTAAGACAAGAACATGGAAATGTTTTTATTTCACCGAATATTTCATTAATTTGTATTAAATCATAAATTTCAACTTACCCTTGTAATCCCGGTAACTTTCGGATATGTAAAACTTTGAATCCTTAATAAAAACATTTTGCTGGTGGTTATGGTCATCTTACTCGGAAAAATATATGTATTCAGTTCTGACTGTAAGTGTATTTATTCATTAAAAAATAAAAATAATGCTAATTTCATTAGTTCTCTAATTTCAGTATATAAACACGAAACAACACATTCAAATTTTAGATACGAGATTAAGGCACAATAACTTCGTGTCAGGTTTGAATAAGATAACGTGTGATAACGAAATAAAGCCAAATATGTATTACAAACCCAACAAATACTACTTACGAGGTCAACCGGCTGCGGCTTCTATCTACATTCTACTCACAGAGTACATTGGTATATATTCTACTGTCTATTTATTACATATTCAATTATATATGCGTAGCATTTATATAAAGTTTTCGATATTAATCTTTGTAATCTGTATTATAAAATTTCATTGTTTGAATGACAGAAGAAGTAAATTTAAATACTTCGCGCTTTTTAGCATGGATGACAAAATATAAAACTTAGTAGTACACGTACAGATAAAAAACATTACAGACAGAAACGCAGTCTACAGACTCATATATCCACAATTTAAAGTCTAGCACACACCAGTCCGTACATACATCGAATTGGGTCTTCTTCGGATATCATGCTGTGTGGTCGCTCGTAGCCTCATCTGTTACGTCGCGTGAATATTTATAATCACGGAAGAGAAAAAACAAGGGAAGTGCCTTTTGAATACGTTTGTAACGGAACCTATGCAGACACTGGACAGGGCAGGGCAGGGCAGGTCAGGGCAGTGCACTGCAGTACAGTACAGGCAAACAGACACGCAGACAGACAGAAAAAAAGTGTTTTTCTCAAAAGTACCTTATATACTGTAATATTTTCTATGTATTTAGTAAAAAGCTTTTATTTCGATATTACAAACAGACACTTCAATTTTATTCTGGACATCATTTTGCAGAAAGTGATTTAAAAATTTTACCATACCATAGCACCTTGTAAAAATGTCACAAATCTTCAAATTATCATATCATTTCGTAAGTTTTATAATCTTTATTGTAAAATCAACCTTATATCAAAAACTATAATGCACTTTTTCACGTTCTTGCTTTGTGAGCTAAATCATTGTTTTTTTTTTTCTGTTTGCTTCTTTGAATGGGCGCGTATATTGCCCGACTTGGGCCAACGTTCTTAGCGGAAGTAAAATTGTTCATAATTTTACTTTTATATTATTTCGTAGGTTAAATCTTAAAATATTGACTTAATCTGTATTTACCGAAAATAAGACACTCAGTCTGAAAAATTTCTTAATCGCACATGATTTTGCAACTTTTCAATACATATTGCGGCATTGTAAACGTGTTTACGCTGGCAGTGTTTCAATAGAACTAATCGAAATATACGCTCACTTTGCAAGTGAGCTTATATTTACCGAGACGGATTTCTTACGACGACAACCCGATATCTAGTAATATTGTTGATTGTTGATCAAAATTGCCCATATAAACTTTATTACTGCCTTTTACCCCTATAAGGGATGAATTTCGAAAAATATCAATTAAATATAGTATTTCTTATTTTTATCTTAAAGTTAAACACCACTTCCACCAGTCAGTCAGGACCACTACCTAGGATGGACCTCTTTTCTCAATTCTTCCTACAATAAATACATTGCATTGGTAAATGATTGCACAAGATACGAACACAATAGAAGCAAAAACCAGGTACAAAAGAGATAAAATAATTGCTTAACCTCAGACTGAATGTAAATAGATCATATGTATAGCGCCCTCCTTTCTAGAAATCTTCCCAATTATTCAAATTTTCCTTTCTTAAGTCTTAAGCCTTAGAGTATACATAAGCTATAGAGCGCGCGTATCGCTCATTGTCCATTAGGAGAAATGTAAGCAGATGTGAGATGTCGATACCTATTGATACATACTTGTAGTGATGCGTCTAGTAAAACTTTTAGAATTTAATTAAAAAATAAGTATATTAACAGAACCATTTATTCACGGACATATAGACTTTATTATCTAAAATTACAGTATTTCAAATTAATATCTTTCATTTGTAAATCTATGAAGTAATAGTATTGCTTAATATTTTGATTTTTTTAAATATTAGTATACTAAATTAAAATTATATGTTACTTATTCTCTTTAACTTTTCACATTGATGCAAGAGACTAAATAATAAGGTCTTCTAAAAAATTGGAATAATTGTAATAATAACAGCTAAAATGAAATAAATAATATTCCATGTTATTAGAATTATAAAAATGTTTAAAATTAAAATTAAGTAATATTGTAAGGTACTTTGGTGCCACTAAAATTTAAAGGTTTTATTTTTGACAAATACAAAGACTCTTAATTTATAATACTATGGTTATATAAAATATTCGAGTAGTATAACTTGGTAAAACACTAGCTCTCTTAATGAGGGAAACTAAGAAGCGGGGGGTGCGGAAGCACGTGTTGTGTCGACCCGCCCGCGCGCCTCCGGCAACACCTACTCACGCCTGTGTAATTTTGTTAAAATCTGCGTTTTCTGATTAATACACTATTTACCGATGAAAAGAAATATCTTTGTTCGTTTTAGTTTGCTTTCGTAAATCATTTTTACAGCTTGGAACTGCATATTTCACCATGATTAATATACCGAATATAAAAATGACAGGTTTTCGAAGGCATCCATGCCATTTGGTTTGTGGTTGCGTGAAGCGACTTCGATCAGAAACTGAGAGAAGATAACACACAAAATAGACTTAGGAGTCCTTGATTCTCTTTGAAGATGTATGGCAGAGCAGGTAGATATGCGCTTTTTTATTTTTAGCTATAGGTATATGTAAAACAAGATTTCATCGGTACTTGACACTAATTAGACTACCATTATAAATAAGAAAGTTTGTACGTTTGTGTATATGTTTGTTGCTCCTTCACGCCGAAACTATTGGATCAATTCGAATAAAACTTAGTACACAGATAGACCTGGAGTACTTAACTTTCGCATTTAATATTAAGTAGTATAATCAACTTTGAGCACATGTCATGTCATCTAAATAAATACTGACGAGAGAAACGGTCAGCATGATTGACTTTCGTGACTAATAGCGTCGCCCTTAACATTTCGAGATTGTTCATTTCATACTCGTGCTTACAGTTCATACTTGCTAGCGCGCGCTCTATGGCTTATGTATACTCTAAGTCTTAATCTTAAATGACAGATAATCACAAACTTTAAAGAAATGCAGATATGTCACTCAAACACGCACTGCACCTAGCAACAGCTAATATAGTCTGGCACACGAAAGTTGAGCTAAGATTTAATAGAAACTTTTTACATGGAAACATTCTGTAAATGTCATAATATAATTTTAATTATGGTATGGTACACCGACTGCAGCGCCACCTACAGGGTCCATTTGTATTATCGAACCTTGCAACGACCGACATTAAACTCAACTCAATTAATTAACACTAAAATCGTCGCTGCCGCTTAGGAGATGATCAGTGGCACAATGACTGCAGCGCTACCTACCGGGTTCAATTGTATTTTCAAATCATCCAGGAGCCCATTTAAATATATAAGTACATTAAATTTCATCCAAATCCGTCGAGCCTTTTAGGAGAAGTAGGTTAGTTAATACACGTACAAAAGAATTATATAATAGACTAGCATTGCCCGCGGCTCCGCCCGCGTTCAGATAACCAAAAACCAAATTCTTAGGTTTTATATATTTTTGTATTTTTTCTCAAGAATGTGATATTCTCCCGCGGTAAAATATATCCTATATGTTGACCCGGATAACCAGCTATCACCATACCAAATTTCATCAAAATCCCGCCAGTGGTTTTTCTGTGATGCGGTAACAGGCAGACAGACAGACAAAAATTCTAAAAACTATAGATTTGGCCTCTGTATCGATAATAATGTCTATTTCATTATAATGTTTCAAAAAATATTTAATGTACAGATTCGGCTTAGTTACAATTTTATTATATGTATAGATAAAATAAATTAATATTTCAATTATCTGATATCAACAAAACATATTAGGTACTTAAATATTCGGTATCCGTCCAAATAGAATAATAGCCGGATCTTCATTGCAAGTTCAATATTAATCTGTTCTGCCTTTTGCGGCATCTTACTATTCTTCGCTCTCAAATTAATATTATAAAGTAACATAGTTTAAACTTTAAAGGATTCTATATAAAACTAGTATAGAATATAACGAATTTATGTAAAAATTAAACTTATTTTACGTGCGTATTTTGCTTAGGAAAATCATACCTAAACTTATTATTTGTTTATACATAACAAGAGAATTTATTAGTACTACTCTTAGTGTTACCATATGTATTATGTAGTTTTTTTTTTAATTTGCCCTGCTTTTTCAGGCTTAACTTTCACGTGCCAGACTTTATTAATGTTGATATCGATAGAATTGTAAAAGATAAATGAAGAATTAATTAAACTAAATTTAACATTATCGTTGTATTTTTAATTTTCCTCCAAAAAATGAAATAGCGGAGGTATTTATTTCTACGGCCCTCCAATATGTGTAGTGATTTATTTTGGCCCGCGATTGTATCTGGTCTCGGCAGGCCTGTTCTAGACACTCGTTTGTTAAAGGCTCCAAAAATATTGCAATACTTATTTCCAAGTAAGTACGTATATCATAAATGCTATAGGAATTAGCCATACAAAATAACTACATAACAATGATTTAGGAAAAAAAAGTTTTCTTTCTTCCGAACGTCCAAATTCTGAACCATGCATATCTAGTTGCAAAAATTAATTATTTGAGTTACTCATGTATAATGCTGTAACCAGTTTAAATTTAAATCCAAGATTATCTGCCTTTTGCCTCTCGATATTACCAAAACATAAACAGACGCAAATCTAGAATAAATTCCAATCCCATTTAAGTAAATTAAAATATTTTATATCCATAGAAACAAAATAAAACTTGATATATTATTTATTTAAATTAATGACTGTACAAATAGAAAAGGCACTCGTTTTTATTTATCGATCGATACTTATTTCTTATCTATATTTCATATAAAATTAATTATATGGAAGTACATAAATACGAACTCAACTTCAACTTGATAAATTTACAATTAGCACTAGTTTTTTGTATTCTAATATAATGATTTATAATTACATATTTAATTTTAATTAACACATAAGAACCATCGTAGTTATATATACCATGTGCCTGAATTGTACTGTGTAGTGGACCGTCTTATCTCGGTCTGGATAAATCAAAATCCATATAATCAACAATGTTTGAAGTCTCGACTATCGGCACTAGAGAAAATGAAAGACATAATGAAAACTTGTCTTCATATTTTCTCTGCTCTGCTACTACATCACAAGAAAAAAAGCCTAAAATAGCATCACCTTTTACGAAAATAAAATTTATAATTTTTACTTTCACAGTAAATTTTATATTATATTATTATGATATTTGATATCATTTCTACTGGACATCATGTATGCTTATAAAATAATAATTAAAGTTCTTTTATAATTTCCAAATTCTTCAATCTAAGCTAAAGATTTTACAATTTTAAGTATTCAATAAAATTATACAATACCTATCATTTATTTTATTATAATATATAAAATAAATTACTTATTACTTAGCTGTACATACATATTTGAAAGTATTAAAATTTCATACTTTGAAATATAGAATTATTGTTAGCTTTAGGTACCTACATAATTTAAACTTTTACAAAAAACCGAATTATATTATGGCAGGAATGTATACGCACTATTCGATTGATTTATTTTTTAAGAAACAATTATTATTTACTGATCGGTATATATGTCACATTATTTATTATATTGTAAATAATTTCGTTTAAAATTTAAATATTTTTTTGTTTTCACAAGTAATTGTTGAAAATGAATCTATGAACTAGTGACGTAGCGTTTTCATAATATTTTGTAATTTGTTGCACTGTCATCTTAACAAATAAATATTCATAATAATTACAAAAGTAAATTTACTAAAGTCTGCCAGATCTCACATCAGTTATAACGCCCCACAATTCTATTATAAATTCATCCGTAAATCCGAATTCTTGCAAGTCGCTGTTATCGATGGCCTCGGCAAGTTGCATTGAGTTTGCTTTACCGTCGGCGATATCCCACATTTGTGTTGCTAGTTCAGTATCGTTTATTCCCATGAATGATTCTAGTAGGGCATTTATTTTGTCTATACCAGCCTTTGACCTCTCGTCATGCTGAAATAAATATATTTACACATCTTATAAAATTGGGAGACAAAACATCGTAATAAAACAAATAATAAATTTAACAAATGATTCAAGTCGAAAGAAAGTAAGTAATTCAACTTTATGCTAATGTCTGATTTTATGATTACCTGTAGGTAAAATATTTATCTAATCATAAGCTCTATGAAAAATGGGAAGATAGCAATGTATATACGTGAGAAAGACAGATATAGGTACAATAATGCAAGCAAATATTGACATTTAGCAAAATTTGAGTGTAACCCCTAAATTTTTACACTAAAATAATAATCCATTTACAAAAACTTTTAAAATTACTAAAACTTCAGTTACTTTTTTTAGTTTTTAGTGCTTTTTTTGAAGTCGGTTTTTTTTAGTTTTTATTTGTCCCTTTTTAGTGTAGACATAGTAGTGGCAATGTAAGAAGACAGTATTAAATAAAATATTTGCTTAGGCCTATATAAGAACACTGACAAATTAAAAATCGCTTTTATTAGTAACACTAAAAATTCTGGATCTAAAATCCGATTCTAACGTATTAGGATTGTCATATCAAACAAAAGAAACCCAAACTCAAAGTATCTACTATTAGCCGTTGAAGAGTTCCACCTATCCACCTTCTGGCCTTACCATTAGATCAGGTCGACGATACCGAACCACTGCACTATCATTATATATGGCACAAGTTATATATAATATCATATGGTATTTTTATGAATCATAATTATACATTCTACATATTATTTTTATTTCCTTACCTCATTCTCTATCGTAGCTTGACCATTAGCTTTGAATCTAAGAGTCTCTTTGCCAGATCCATAATTTTGTTTTCTTCCAGATCTAGCGCTGCCCGTTTTAGGACCGATACTACCGAATCCATTTTTCAATGGTTCTACTAATCTAATTGTAAATGTAGTTCCCTTTGGGATTTCTTTTAACAACTTGGCCACTTCATAATGCCTTTTTCCGACCATATTCTCTTCATTTAATCGTTCAATATGATCGCCAACCTGAAGATACAATGAGAATGAAAGCTTAATATGATAATAGGTTATTTCCTACTAAATTGTAACGAGGCGAATGACCTGCCATAAGCCATTAAATATAGGGCAATATAGTCAATTTGACACGCTTGTTTTACTTTCAATAAAAGATTACACCGATTTTCTAGTTATGACCATTTTGCGTGATGCGCTTATGTAGATTAAATTTAGAATTAATGAGTAGTAATACATTTTCAATAGTTGTAAATAATTTTCAATAATGATGGATACAGGATTAATTATTTAATATAGACGAAATTATACTTTAGTGTAAACGGTTTGGATAATCACGTCTAGCTAATCTATCTATCTAACAATAAGTCCATGTTTTCACGTTTTGACAAATAGATAAAAAATATAAAAATTGTTACCTATTTCTATAAGTATAAATATTTTAGAATACTAGTACTATATAAATACTATATAAAATTAATTCAGACCTCTATATGGGGTATTCTTGCAACAATCGATCCTTCCTTTATTCGCTTAATGAAGGCATATCCTGCGCCATTGTCAGTAATCGTTAAGCCGAGCGAGTCCTCGGTTTTTACTATCTCTATTTCCTTCGGCCGACCTTTTCTGTGTGCGAATATGAAATCTTCTAATCCTATTTGACCACCGAGCAATTTCTTCATGTCAACTTTGTGAGTGTTTAGTGTGCAGAATAAAATCTGAAACCATAAAAATGAATGATAAATTATTTTTTTCGTTTAGGCTGATTAGTTCTTAGCACACCCTGACCCGACACGCTAAGGATTTTTGTTTGTTATTTAAAGACATTCCAGTCTAGCTTTAGTTTCGTACTACTTCTAAATTAGACAAATTGTTGAATTTTCTGATAAAATCCTAGTTAGAGACATCCCCTATTGTTATTGTCAGTCAATTAATTTAATTGGTTGTTTATTTTTTACGTAATACATAATATAATGAAAAACTATTAAAAAAAATAAAAACCGACTTCCAGGCACTAACATTAAAAAATAACTTCTTCTTCTCCCTGCCCATTTCCCAAATCACTTGGGGTCGGCGCAGTACATCTTCAGTGTACTGCTGATAGGATTTGGCAAAAGTTTTACGACCGGCCGCCTGCCTGACGTCAACCCTCCTTGGGAATAACATTAAAAAATAACTAAACGGAGGTTTTCATTTAGAAGATTTACCATACGTTAGTTTGCACATATTCATAAAATAAAACAGTTTAACTATTTGCGAATCAACGACATCTATTATCTATTCAATCAAACAAAAATAGCCCAAAGAATAGCCCGAATTAGTGCTTTTTATGGGATGAGGCATTTGCACTAGTATAAATTATGTGATCTGTGGTATTGTGTACTACAGAATATAGACCCCAAAACAATGGTTATTGGTTGGTAGGTATGAAGTGAATGTGAGTGATAAATAAAAACGATGAAGTTTGGCAAATTAGATATATTCATCATGGGGTCGGACATATTACCCTTTTTTTTTTTTTTTTTTTTTTTAACGTTGGGAAATGCATTTACGCACGAGGTGTGGGACTCACCGGCAAAGCCAGTACTACCCACTAAAACCCAACAAAGCCTTCCCCCGTCTTAATGGGGCGTCGCAGGATCGCTTACGCATTCAACTACGACGCCCCGACGGCAGGTCTGCCAAAGCAGACCACAACAACCACGGGGTTGCTCCAAGGTCCACTCTGCTATCAGAGAAGTACCAGGAGCAACCCGCATGGTACACCGCCCTCCGAAGAGGGCCATCTCCCACCGCCCACCGAAGTGGGCCACCTCCCTGTGCGTTTCTTGGCTTTGAGCCCGGTTGGGTTGCCGGGCACTACTGAGCCCCCCCACCACGACAAGGTGAACGCACGTTGGGGGGGACATATTGCCCTGCCTCGCTTAACACGTAAGCAGAGCTGAAGGTAAAAATTAGTGGGTCGATATCATCAAAAACCACGATTTTTAATTCTGCGACTTCCACATAATTACTGAAGTATATATACTACCACTCAAGGACGTGCCCAACTATGACAATAAATACGTCGTTTTACATATACTATTGCATTTAGAAAACATATTTAAAGAATAAAGACAAAATACTTTTAAATAAATTTGGAACCAGTTTGCAGTATTGGATATTAGAATGGACTTTATCAAACTTCTTCCAGAGGAAAATACGTATTCCACAAAAGTTAATACCTATTCCGTTTTGTTCCTACATAGTTGAATTTAGAAATGAAGGTATCCCATATGATCTTTGGATATTTAAATAAAATTATAAAAAAAATTATAAAACCCTAATCACCAATCGAACTAAAAAGATGCCGAGATTTTAAAGGGATAAAATCAAATGTTTTATCTATTTTAATTTGTTGTGTTTGTGATTTGTTGCATTCAAAAGATATCACAATCACCTCGTTCGAATCTTAAACAAAGAAGTCGACAGTTGTCTTGGCACACCGCTAGGAATAGGAATTGTCTTGAGTACTAGGGTATCATAAACAATAAGCATCAAGCAGCAACGTACAGTGCATTTATTGTGGCTATCGAAGAAGAAAAAGATGGAGGAACAAGTGGTGCTCTTAGTAAATAATAAAAAATATGACGGTCATAATATAATAACAGTCAAAATATTACTTTTTTCATCTAGCTTTCATTCGCCAAAATGCCGAGTATAAAGAGCGATAATGAACTTCGTTTCAAAAATCCATTTTTTTTTGTATGAAAGTAAACAGTGCTTAATATTTATTCAGATACATAATAAATATTTATAATGTGGAATGTCATACATATATATGTATACCTCACAAGTAACTAAAATACTTATTTTATGTCAAGGCGAAACAGATTGTGACAGAATTCATAAAGCGTTAATTTTTAAGAATTTTATCGTAAACATTCCGATCTACCTACTTTCTGTTACTTATTATTTTAGGTATAGTTTTAAAGAAGTAATTTTTCGTTTCATCATGGGTCATCTAAGCAGCATGAAATGATTCAACTGTTACCAAAATAGATATAAAATCCAGTTCAAATGAACAGCGATTAAAATTGCCATCCTAACCACATTGCATTGTCACAAAATTGGCAAAAAGTTAAAAAACTACACTCTCCCTGCAACCATGTAATACCATCCAATGATACTTTTATGTAGGTGGCGACAAGAATTATTATCAATATGGGTTTTAAACAAAATTTTATACTTATGTTTACAAATTTAAAAGGTATAACATAATTATGAATCTGGTTAATTTAAAGAGAGAAACTCTATTTTTATAAGAAGTAATTGATTATGTATATCAGACACTGGTAGTAAATGTCACCAACATATTTACATAACTTTCGACTTTCTGGAAATGCGAATACATAATAATATTGTTTGAATGTCTAATGACTAATCTTTCGTCCGGTCCTTGACCCGTGAACAGTAGGTCATCAAACAGCCATAAATAGTAGTACGCTTTCAACTTCAGAAACAATGAAAAATTAGCCTTAATTCCATAATCATAAAAAACATTTTGACAGAGTCTATGAGATACAGATTTATCCAGTCAAAAATAATCCGTAAAGCAGTTAACATAACCATCACAATTCACATTTAATAAAAGCATCATTGATAGCACATTTTAGGCAAAATGGTCGAGACTCGCGTCGATCACAACACATGAGATGGCTGCGCCCCGGGCCGTTCTACTTCCTGGCCATTCAGCCGCGCGTGCTTCCGCAATGACAGTTTTGAGCCAATTACATAAATATGAACAGTGTTATAACTTTCAATGTTTTATAATAAAATTTAACTAAAAATGTACTGTCTAGATATCATTTACGGCTGAAATATTAAATTACAAAGCCTTTCGGGTGCGAGTTACCACGCACTTGGAAGGTTTCAATATTTTACGGAAGCTCCTTAAATTGGCGTACTTACAAAGTAAATTGTAAAACAAATTAGTTTTACTTATCTTTATGTAGTTTTTATTTACTATGTAAAATATTACAAATATTGTCATTTTAGCAGTTATTTTGATAATAAAAAATACTTCATATTTTTCTATTTTTATTGTTTTGTATTGCTCACATCTTAAGAATTATAATAAAAGTGATTTAAGAGACTAGACTTATAATTTATTAACCAATAAATACAACATCTATAGCAATCGTTATTTTTAACCCCCGACGCAAAAAGAGGGGTGTTATAAGTTTCACGTCGATGTCTATCTGTCTGTGTCTGTGTGTCTGTCTGTGGCATCGTAGCTCTCAAACGGATGGACCGAATGGATTTTTTTCATTTGAAAGCCAGTTTCTTTGCGGTGGAATTGTTAGGTATGTTTGGTTAATATCGGTCCAGCAGTGTAACAGTATCAGCTCTTTTCCAAAATGATGTAAGGCATTTTGGCGTATGATTATTCGACTAAGTGCTTCACGCGTGCCAGTGTAATTGTTAAATGACAATTAGTTTGCGTAGGGGTTTTTTTAATTTTTTAATTTATTGTTACTCAAAAATTTAGTCTTATACGAGATCAGGCAGATAGCAGACTTGTACCTACCATACTCTATTTTCATTTGTTACAACATATAACAGATCGCTATAAGTGAAAAGAGCGCGACCTAATTATTTTTATTGGGGTAAAATATCAAGAAGTTGCTGATGTCATTTTCGCCAATGACCTTTACAGGCTAGGCATCAGGGTCGGCTTTTGTACCATGATAAAATATATTTTGAGTTCTGAAAGTAAAATGAAAATAATAACAAGATGAAACAAAAATTGGAAAAAATAAATAGATATGATCTGTACAAAGAGTGTCAACAAAAATACTTCAGAAATCAGAGAGAGATCTATGAACTATGCTACTGATCTATAACTCATCTGATAGTACGTATAACAATATAATTATAGATAACAATCAGACTTAATTGGAAACACAATACAATTAAAATGAAGATATTAAATATACGATGATACTAATAGATATCATAGGAAGTTTAGGTAGTAAGTAAGATATTTTTTAAAGTTAGATAGTCTTACTGCCACCTAAACAAGTAGGTATAAAATTATTATAAAAACAAAGATACACTCTACAATATCATTACCTATTATGAAAACACGCGGTTGGTTTCCAATTGTTATATTGATTACGTCGTATTGTTTAAAGAGTCTGCATATTACTCACTGTGACTGACACTAACAAAATCAATGTCATACGATTATTATACTCAAGTAAGTTAATTTTAACATGCTAGTTATTGTGCACAAATGACACTCCCAAGTCCCAGGAGTCATTGAAGAAAAAAAAAAGAATTGATAAGTTTATTGCATGGTTGAAAAGTGTTCTTTTTAAATTTTATTTTAGCATAAATTATGGCTTTACAAAAATTAAATGCTTATAATGATTATGAATCAATAATTAGCGTAATTGCTGGTAAATTGATCTCAAAGGAGGAATTCTGATAACAGATAATATGAAAGGTAAACAAACGAATACCAACATGATACATCATGCAATAATTTACGTATTATCTCATAGACATTAATTTTCCTCACATGCTATGAAAGGCATGTTTTAATTATAAATTATGTAATCACGTTACTCGCTGACTCTTTCTCTTACAATGCTTCTTAATAAATATAGTTGAATAAATGACTGCAGCTGTTCTTAAAGGTTAAATAGTAATATGAATACGTATCAAAAATAACAATAAATTAATCATTATATTATTGTCACTAGGTACTTAGAATGGATCGATTGTATTTATAAAGTACATTATTAATAATTTTGGGTTTATTGCAACAATAAAGTAGCCTTTGATATTAATATAAAAGTAGATATAGGAAGATAACATAATCGCTTACTTTTTATGATACTTTTCAGAGCGGTACCTAATCTAAATATGTAACTGGAAGTCCCATCAAAAATAATTTAGACAAATGCTGACATATAGAAATCATAAAAGTTACTAGCGTGTAAGTCATACACTGGCTAGTGGTTTTAGTTCTAAAATAAGATACACACCTATTATACCAATCTAGATATACGTAGTTGATAAATGTTAAGTCTAAAAACTATTTCTAACTACAACTAGGTACATTGGCTATCCAGGGATACAGGTTTATTAAAAACAAGTTATATTTCTCCTTATCGCGGTTGATTCCTATTAAGAATTAACAATGTGTATTTTAATTACGAATAAATGTTAAGTGTAAAATAAGTAACTTAAGATTGGATTCTAAACAATAGAAGGCGCACTATATAACAATAGTTAGTGGGTATTAGATTCATAATAGCAATTTTTATCTTTGCAAATATTATATAATTAATAGGAAAATATACCTATTATACATATAGTAGACTCATGACGTTCAGTAAAAAATTGTAATAATTTAATGCTGAATTAAATATATTGAATTTTGAATTTTTGAATTGAATTTTATAATATAGCGTCTCACTTTCGCTACGCTCGGGTTCGTCTCTAGATACCTACATTTTAACGGTTAGTATGGATATCCCACAGAAACCGTACATTTTTCCGGGATAAAAATAATCTATGTGTTATTCCAAGCAATAATCTATGTCTCTGCCAAATTTCATCCAGATCAGTTCAGCCGTTCTGGAGTAATTGAGTAACAAACATCCATCCATCCAAACTTTCGCATTTACATAGTAGTAAGATACTCGTAAGATTATTTATTATGTTTTCCCGTGGGAATGAAACATTTTCCTATAATAAAAGGTATCCTAAATGTTGACCCGAGTAATAAATTATCCACTACACAACATTTAGTTAAAATCAAATCAGTTCTTTTTGCGTGACCCGCGAACACCCAAACAGACAAACAGTTTTGAACAGAAAATTTTTATGAACTATTGTTTTGGGGTTACACAATATGTTACAGACATTGTTTAAAAAAATATTTCATACAGGTTTCGCTAAGTTACTGCTTTATTATAAGTATGTAGAGATCTCAGAATACGTTTGTTCTGTATTCTGAAGAATATATATGAGATTGATGATAATTTAAATTCACACACACGTGTTCAACACATCTAAGTATATTTTCAGCAATGACTACAATAAATTCCAATAAGATTATATGATTATCTTAAGATTTATCAAGATATCTAAATATTATGTATTATTATCATATGAAATTCCACAAATTTTATTAGCTTCTTTGGTAATTATTTAATGAACACTAGAAGATCATATAAACCTACTTCTAATTGTTGTAATAACTTGTACCTTTGTAAATGTATAGTAGTCTAATAGTATATCCATACAAATATTATAAAAAGGTAAAGTTTGTGAGTTTGTGAGATTGTGACGTTGTAGGGGTTAATCTCTGGATCTACTGAACCGGTATAGATGAAATTCGGTAAGAAGACAGTTTGAGATCCTGGGAAGGACAAAGGATAATTTTTATCCCGGAAATCATCCCTTAAGAGCGTGAAAATGTGGATTAAAATTTGTATGGGAAATCAAGCTAAGGACGAACCCGAATAAATAACCCGAAAATATAAAATAGTCGTAGTATGTGAAATGCAAAAGACAATACAATAATTTAACAACTTTTTATTCGCTACTAGTAAAACATACCTACAAGTTATTCGAATTACGTATTTAAAAAAAAAATAATTAAATAAATTTAATTAAAAAAATTACAAATACAATTTTAAATCTTTTTAAATATAATATTATACTTAATAATATTTCAATGAAGTATTTAAATTAAATAGTCATAATATTTTCAATCAGTTACCTTTTCATGGCCAAACACAATACAATCAGTGACACGAGATACTTTTCATCACAAAAAAAATATTTACAAAAATTGAAAAACCCGACGCGCATAAAGCGAATTAAAAAGAAGAGAACAAGTTGACGAAGGAACATAGCATTATGCATTCGAAGACATACACACGCAGCTATTCTAAAACATGTATGTATGTATATAATATCTGACATGAAAACATGTATGTATGTATATAATATAAGACTGCATGATATTGTTCCTTCGTCAACTTGTTCTTTTCTTTTTATTTTTAGTTCGCTTTTTAAGCAGTCGGATTTTTTATTTTTTTTAAATATTTATTTATTTACAGCTTTTTAGTGTTGGTCAGTTAGACATTATCAGCTTTATTTAACAATTTATTATCCTAAATTACTTTTAAAACATTTAAGTTGTATATATTTTATGAATTAATCGCCTCTAAAAACCTGTATTTTGAACTTGTATATTTATTCAGGCGATTTTTTTATACCCGACAAATTGGCGCTTAGGATCCGCTATTTTGATTTTAATGATATCTATATAGTATATACCCTATGACACTCGCGATAACAAGACGAATCGAATGACGTGGAAAAAGGATCGGACATACGTACATACACACTCACACACAGAGAGAGACACACCCCCACATATATACATACATACAGATCAAACACGTAACCCTCCTTTTGGTTTCGCCACAGTCGAGTAAAAAGACGACAAATACTTCGCCAAAATCAAAATTATAAGTACAAATCAATAAAATGATTAGGTATTTGTATTTTCAGCTCAGTAAAGAATAAGGAAAATGTACTATACAGGTAGTACAAGTAGGAAATACGTTGGTATTAGATGCAGAATAAAATTTTAGTAGGTAATGTACTGCAGATAATTAAGTAACTGTATGTATGGTCATTGGTGATAAAGATCTATGTTACAATGTAACAGATACATATTCACATTAATACCCTTTGAACGAAAAAGAATGCATTATTGTACACATCACTATTGATTTTTAAGAGCGGTCCCATAATATACCCTCGGGTACTCCAGTCATATCATTGTAAATTCTATAACAGTAGTCAATGGAAAGCGGTAAATCGTCAATTTAGAAATCGTACACCTTTCACAGTGATAAAATTTTAACATTGCTGAATAGATTTCTGGGACATCTCAATGTACATGATTTTACTTCTTAAAAAGTGTCTATCTATAATAATTTATCTGTATACGTAATACGTTTACATAATTAATCAAACGAAATTCCACTTGAACCAATTGTTTACATGAAACTAAAAACTTTTGTGCGGTGTTTACCCTATATTAAACTGATCATTATGACTCATAATCAACCAATATTCTTAGTTTTTGTACCGTTTATTGTGTATCATTGATAGCAGATATTCATAAGTAGGCAAAGGTATGCTTTAAAGATATTACGAGTATACTTATATATAGCAATGACGAGTTATAGAATTATTACGTAACGCAATTATTTCTTTTTGTCACCACAATAAAGAAAAAATAAAATATTAGTAATTGATATATTAAGTACCTAATAATGGCTTAACCTCGTTTTGCTCGGGTGCAGCCCCAAGTGCCTAACAATAGCCTATGTGTTACTCTACGATACTCTCTTTGTGTACGAAATTTTAATCCAAATCCGTCCAGCCGTTTCAGAATAAAGGAGTAACTACAATATGTGTGTATTTTAGTACATGCATACAAACTTTCGTCTTGCTTCTGACTCGTCATTGCCTCGAACAAAACGATGGACCTGCGAAAGGCTGAAATTTTGACAACCTATAAAATAGCACCATCCACCAACGAGAAACGATTGTCTAAAATTTTATTTAAAGTGTTTGTATGGAGATCAATATTTTTGGATCAAATAAAAAAAATCTGGAGAAGACGTGTCTGGCTGCTATATAACGCATACCTACTATATTTTTCCTAAAAGTTATGCAAGTAACTAATGGTAGATAGGTACAAGTTATCTTCTAATAGTTATTAATTACCAATAATAATGATCATTGATCATTAATAATTGCCAAGTGAAAACTATTAGGAACTTACATGTAAATTTTATTTATAGTGATTAATAATATGAGTATTTAATAAAATAATTATACCTAGTCTTTTTAAGCGGCTCTCCGCTCTATTACCGGATATTTAATACTGATAACATTTTTTATGCTCTGACATGACATTGTAAACGATTCACTATTTATTGGAATATTTACCTAACATACTCATTATTAAAGTATAAATTAAGAAATGCTAAATGAAGTATGCACGATTATTACTCACATCTTCTGGTGGGAAGTCGTAACATTCCGCAATTTTTTCATACAGTTCTTTAATGTTTGAAAATCCGGATATGAGTCCTAAAGGGCTACCTTGAGCCTGTTGACAGTGGAACACTAGTTGGGACTTTTGAGCCCCGTTGTTATTATCTACACCGTTAGATTGACGAGACTGCACATCCTCTGCAGGTGGTGGAGGCACAGGCGGCGCAGAATATTTTGGCGCCTTCTTCTTGAACAAAGACATCACGAGTATCACTTAATCACTAAATAACGATACAAAATAAGTTTCCTATAGTGTAAAAGTTAACACGCACTCATTACACTCGCCTACTGCAAAATTAATCACAACCAAGACACAACTTGCGAGAATTTTACTTAAATGTAAACGTCACTGCGTCATTGCTCACGATAACTTATCACTCAATGACGATATCGGATAAGATTATGTGTATAGAAGTGAAGTTTTGAAGGTTTCACTTATAAACGAACACTTTGTTCAATTATCAATAACAAACGTTCAATCGACTACAAGCCCGCTGGCAGACTGAGGACTGAGGCAGTGAGGAGTGAGGCCGGAGGTACGGGTGAAGGGAGTAAAGAGTACGATAATACCGCCTATTTCGAATTTCACGTCACTTTGTACGGTTTTTTACTCTCTATATTATTGTGTATTTAATGTTTCACAAGAAATGTTGGTTAAATTAATAAATAATATGTATATAAGTAGGTATAAGCTATTAAGTAATTAGTTATTATAAGATTTAAATATACCTATATTAATAATACATATAAATACATATCTATTATTCTACACATATAATAAAATAGTAATAAAGCCAAAACCGTATAAATATTTTTTTTAAACAATGACTGTTACGTATAGTGTACAGAATTATATACGGTATTAATAAGAAAAACACAATTTTTAAAATTTTTATCTGTGTATCTGTTTGTTCCGGCTAATCTCCGAAACGGCCGCGCCCATTATAACGGGACTTTCACTGGCAGGTAGTTGATGTTATAAGGAGTAACTTAAACTACTATTATTTCAGTACAAGAATTACGCTCAAAAAAAATTAAATGTACCTACCTAGGAACGAACCCGAGCTAAGCGAGGATGAGAAGCTAGTTTTTCACTATTTTTATTCCTTACTTATGGTAATACATCTGGCTGTTACAGCCAAGTGCGCGGAGATTGACGGCAGCCACATACATTCGCCTACACTCGCTCTGGCTGCGATCAGCCTATGGGCTGCCGTGCAATCAAGCGCGTTAATGACTGCAGCAGCTTGGCAGCCGTGGCTGCTTAGTGCGCGGGTTCCCATACGCCATCATATGTCCGACTGGCTGCCGCAGCCAGGCTACTTAGTGCGCGGGGGCTCTTACTATCGGACTGTTATTTAAGTATATGTTTGTGTTTAGTATTTCTTCACTCTGAAATGGCTTGACGGGATTTGGATGAAATTTAATTGAAATTTATTGAAATTCTGCAATTTTAAAAAACAATTTGCATATACCAATTCCTAGAAAATTAATTTCTTCTCTTTCTTTATTTAAATTATGTGTGAATAACTATAAACATTAGATGATGAACTAGGAGGTACGAGGTTGTTCTGAAAAGTGAGTTATTATGTATTATAACTGTGCGCTCAGAGTAATTCAGACATCTTTAGTGTTGATTATAGAAACAAAATCTATCTAGACTGAATAAGACGTTATAGACAAACTAAATAAACACAGGTTGCCCAGTTTTATTTGAAATGGCCATAAAATGGATACAAAAATACGAGTTTCCTGTACGCGCTCCCAAAGCAAGGATCCTTTGATTGTTGTTGGCTTGATAGCCAAAATTAAAACCTATCTTGCATTGTTTTGTTGTTCAAATATAGATATTTAACGTTAGAGCCTTTTTTTACCCAACTGCGAAAAGCTCAAAGGAGCATTATGTGTTCGACCTGTATCTCCGATCCTATGTTTCCTCATAATTACTACATACTTTAATCTACTTTAACGAATACGTCGTTAGATTCGCCTCGATAATGCAAGTCTCTAAAGATATATTAAAAGCTGTAAATAAAAAATAGTTTACGGAAATTAAAAAACACGCCTCTCCAAAAGGCGAACTAAAAAGATGAAAACAATTACATATTGTAGGAACATTATTATTATATTTATTGGGTGTGGTGCCGAGGTCGGCCCTAGCTACGTCGACTAGTTATGGTCCATTGTAGCTCTTGTAGGAACATACTCGTATTGACAATAGGGTCTCATCAGGAACAAAGAAAAATTAGTTCAAATAAATGTCAATAGATGGCGTTATACATATCGATTTGTTGTTGAAGTTTGTGTAAAATTAACAAAAGATAAATATGATATGGTCTTGAATTAGTTTTTAATGTGTTTAATTTTTAATAAAACTTACAATAATTGTCACACTGTAAACATTAGAAACACTGGTTTGAATTGAGCGACAAGTGTGCAGGTTATGACTAATAGCTTATTTTCATCTTCTGTTTCAATAACATCTAAAACATGACCTGATTCAAATAATTTTTGGCCTTTTTTATCGTTTTGACCTCTAATCCGATCATTTCTTTCGCTAAAAAACAATATTTTTTTGCATTATTTAGGTATATCTAATAATCCATACATATAATAAAATTCTAACTAAACTAAATCTGTACATTAAAAAATTTTTGAAAAATCTTATTGAAATAGACTTTATTATCGATACAGAGGCCGAATCTATAGTTTTTAGAATTTTTGTCTGTCTGTCTGTTACCGCATCACAGAAAAACCACTGGAGAGATTTTGATGAAATTTGGTATGTTGATAGCTGATTGTCCGGATCAACATATATAATACTTTTTATCGCGGGAAAATGTCTCATTTCTGAGAAAAAATACAAAAACTGCATGTAAGAGTATACTAATATGTAAAACCTAAGAATTTGGTTTTAGGTAATCTGAACGCGGGCGGAGCCGCGGGCAATGCTAGTATTATATATTACACAGCTTACATCACTATGTTTTTCTTATTTAACACCAGGGCGCTCTACTTTCGACAAAACTGCTGCCTTTTATAGTTCGCGCACACTCACGGAAGAATTTTGCCATTTCTCCCGCCAGATTTCGCGATCTTTATAGCCCTCAGTATATTGTAACGCTCTAGCATGAAGATTTTTTTCTTTAAATTAATTAAAATAGATATCATTTGTTCCCAAAAGACAAAAACTAAAGAAATTGTGGGTTAAAGCAACAAAACGACCAAAATTGGCGAAATCACAATCTTCTTAATTTAAGGCTATGTGGACATCATAATAAGAGATTTTAAAACTTAAATCGTCTACAGATGTTTTTTTTGTACTTTTTTCATATTAATTACAGATTTTCTTACGAACTTTCATCCCCCATTTTACCCCCTTATGGGGTTGAATTTCGAAAAATGCTAAAACACGTATTTATTTGATTGTATTGAAGAGCATTAATACCAAGTTTCAAATGATTCTTTGCCCATATAAACTTTAGTACAAATTTATTCTCTAATGAGTTATTACATATTCCTTTCTTTTTTATTATGTTATGATGCTCTCCTTGCCGATTCCGGCCACGGCGGCCAATCTCATTGAGACTAGCCAACTGCGCAGAGATATTATAGTGCACAAGTGTACGCACAGACACAAGTGCACTCTCTATTCCTGTCACTCTCATACTCTGGTGGGACCACCACTCGACACAACCAGTGAGTCGAGTGAGTGAGTGAATTTAAAAACGGAAATCAAACAGAAACTAGTTTTAAATTTTTTTTATTGACATTAGGCAATAAGTCTATGAGGAAGCAACTGCTTTCTTAGGTGTGGGTTTGCCTTCCTTAAAACCGTTCCTGAATCGCCGTCTGACAATTTTAAGATGACGCATGCGGCCAGTGCCTGTGGTCTTCCTGCGCTTAGCTTTCACTGACCAGTGATCTAGAACAAAAAAATTTAATTAGAACAATCCATGAAAATATTCTGCAACAATTTTTTGTGGAAAGATAGGACAGACATTTACAGGCTACATATTAACTACATAAACAACATATTAACTGAAATATAAGTTTCTTTTAAAAATAAAATATAATATTGATCTTTTATATTTTACTTCAAATTGTTATTCATTTTTAACTCTGCTAAGGGGCCGTTCATATCAGCAAAATTTTACCTTTTTAGGCTCTCTCCCCTCCCTTTGTCACACTATGTTAAATTTTCTGTGATGCAGAAGTATGTAATACATAGAAGTATTTATATATCTATACTTTTAAAAAGTTATGTTAATTTACCTACCTAACCTAGGGACGAACCCGAGCAGAGTGATGGTTAGTCAATAGTTTACAAATTACAAATTATTGACTTTCTATCGTAACAAAAATAAATTTAAAAAAATTAAAGAAAAATTGCAAAACGTTTCATTTTAGAGCTGCAAACATCACATTTTCTTAGACCACCTAGTAGTTTATGGTTGTGCATAACCAAACATGGTGTTTTGTTTGTTTGTGAAATATTTATACTTGTTTCTATTTTATAATATTCTGTCAATTATATGGTTTCTAAAATGCATAAGTCAAAATTTATTAAAATGATTCAATATCACAATTAAAGTTTTTAAATAATTTTGTTTCATATACATACATGCACTATCTGCATCAATTGGAAAATTAAGTAATACCAACTTTTTTTTTCATTTGGCCATATAAATTTCAAAAAAACATCTTGAAGGGGGATTATTTATTTTAGGTGATTTCAAAGTTGTACCTATTTTGTTGTTCCCAGAGTAATTGTTGGTATGATTTACATTATTGTGATTAATATTTGTTGGATTAAAGTTATATACATTTGCCACATAACTTGAAGGTCACTATTTGTTTACAGAAATAATTTAAATTGAATATTTCCTGAAGATGCTGTGGTAAGAAATAATCAGTAATGATCCTCTTTAAATATGGTGCCTTTACCGTGGTATTATTTTTAAATGACAATAGTTTGACTTTTAGTATTCTTTTAAATGCAATTTTGTAACTTTATAAACATATCTATAACATTTTTAGTAAATATTAGAATGTACTATCTATAAAAGTTATTCCTAGGACGAGTATTTTATTATAGGGTAATAAAACAAGGCACAATAATAATTGGTCACTTCATATATTATGAATGCTATAAAGTAGGGTTAAATAGTATAAATAATATAATTAATCGAATCTGTATTATAAATTATAATACATCAAACTTCCGTAACTAGGTGTATAAAATATATGGATTTTGTTTCTAATATCCAAGGTGGCATGTACTTAACAAATATACAGCCAAATTGTTGAATATTTTACATAATTTACCTACATATACAAAGAAATATTCTATATTAAATATCCCTTCAATCATTGTAGGCAATTTCTACATATAATAAATAATTTTTAATAAGATGCGAAATAATAACATCCTAAGATAACCTTATAAAATAACCATAAAGCATACTTACAAGACCGCAATTTCGCTGCAGGATATCCACATTGGGCACATTTAGATTTTTGGATGTGATATGAGGATCTTCCACATCTTCTACACAATGTATGTGTCTTATTTCGGCGTTTACCGAAGCTTGATGTACCCTTCGTCTGAAATATTTATCAATAGGTTATATAAAGCACCTCACTAAATTTTCTGTAAATATACTATTTTATCAATTAATTAGATGTTAAATATTGGTTTTACACAAAAAAATTATAATTTTTTTTATCAATTTCTTTGATATTTTAAGATTTAAAACATATATTTCAAATTACACTACCATTTTCACGAAATTTGACAATCAAAGGACGATATTAGAATCGCGGTGTTGCTACATTACTAAATGAGTGTTACCAAGTTACACAGTACAGTGTAGTTACACTCATGACTTATTTATAAATATTATGTACTTTTTTATTATAATAGTAGTATTCATGAAATCAGTAACTACACTTGCTTAGATTTTAAACTTATTATTTTAACGTATATTTATGAAATTAATAAAGTAATACAAAAAAAAAGTTTTGAGAAAAAGCAGCATTTTAGTTTTGCCCCCCTCTAAGTTGACCAAAACTTCTTTGGAGAGCTTATTTAACTTTTTAACATGCATAAAATACTTTTGAAGTTATACTTCTTTTGGCACGTTTAGAAAAAAATATGAGAGTAAAACTTTACGATGCGCGCGCACACCGATAGCCAAAAAGCGACTTGATGAAGTTAGCTGAAAGCGACATGATGAAGTTAGCTGCACTCCTTTTTCAAACAGAATTGCAAGTAGTGGTTGAAATCTTTAGCTATTATTATTCTGTTACACCAAAGATGTCTAACTTCTTACGTGTACACACACACGTTTTTTTAGATTTCACCTATCATAATTATTTAAAACATAAATTGAATTTCATAAAGAACACCAATTTCTTACAGAAGTTTTACTTCTTGCGCGTGTACACATTCATACACGCATTCTTTAATTTTTTTAAAGCTAAAACAATTTTATAAAAATGAAAACTATTAAATATTATGTGTTACAGATATTAAATTTTTAGTCAAAATATTTTATAATTTATAATATATACATATTTATGTATATTTAACAAAATATGACGTACAAACATAACATTTTCTTTGAAAAAGAAAGAAATATGATCAACTATAAATGATTACGTTTTGATTAAGCTAAATGTTTTTTATCTCGTAAAAAACTTCGCTCATTTAGAGAAATTCTATGGAAGTATGGACTGGTGTGTGCTGGCCATTAACATTATGTATTAATATTCATCTATGCATTGTATACATAACATGGATGACAAAACATTTTAATATATTTGCGTAGTTTGTCACATGGATGACAATTGACAAATGGTTTGTCATCGTAGCATTTCTATAGTTTGTGATTTAATCTGTGAAAAATTGAAAATATTAAATATCGTACCTACTACCTAGTACCTACACCTAGTACCTACTACCTACATAGGAGTATGATATATTCAGATTTTCTGCGTAGCATCTCTGATTCTCTTTCTCTGTAGAGTTTTTGAGATTTTCTGATATCTCGGAAGTCCGAGTCTGCTTAGGTATTTATCTTTTATCATCCATACAGTTTTACATTTTGCTTAAGGCTAGTGAGGAGAATAATTCATAACATAATAGGAACTAAGGAATAATTAATTTTCTATACAGAAAAATAATTAAAATTATTGAAATAACACTTGATAACATAAAGTAAGTAATAACTTTAATTAATATTCCTCAGTTTATAATAACATTCTCAAATTGATCTTAGGGTGGAGTAATTTATCCTATTAGACTTTTTTCGTGAATTTTATCTTGAGAAGAAACGGTTTAGAGTAAATTACAAACTTAAAAGAAATAAGTATTACGCATTAGTAAATACTTTTTAAAAATAAAAGCCTAAAGTGAATTATACAGATACTTTAAAATAAACTGCAGCGAAAAGAAAGTTATAATTTATGACATATTTGAAGAAGAGTTTCTTAGAATTGTGCCATAATATTTTGTAGTTTATAAATCTTGTAGTCTAAATTATGTTATAACTCAGTAACTACTAACAAAGTACTAAAAAATATTTTTAATTTCTGTCTAGCAAAAGAAAAGATTCAATGAATTAGGTAGATGATAGAGAATCTTTTTTTATTTACAGAATAAGAACAATTATTATTTTATAGTTAGAAAAACACCATATAGTCTTATATAGGTATCTGATTAATTTAGAAATGGAATTATTAGATGTTATGAAAAATTTAACAATTAAACATACAGAAAGTACAAGTGAGCAAAAATTATTCAAATCAATTGCTGCTGATATTGATGATGTACCTACAGAAATTGTTATTGCAAACTATACTGACAAAACATTGTTAATTGTCTCCCAATACCAAAAAATTGGCAGTATGATGACAATTCAACGAGATCAGGTTCATAATCCTTTAGGCACGGATAATATTTATACAACAAAAGTTATTTTCGGTGCTACAGGAGAAGAACAACAAGTTGCTGCAAGATATTTGGCAGAGGCAATAAATATAACAAAACCATTGTGCATCTTTATAAATTTGAAATCATATGATATAGAAACAGTAAAGGCTTGTAAAGATATTATTTTAGATCTAAAAGGGGAAGAAAGTTTGTAAAATGTCAGAAATAGCATTAAATAAATTTAAAACATCAAATAAATATTATGGTCAGTTAATACTTGGTCCACCTGGTGCAGGCAAAACCACATATTGTAATGAAATGTCTAAATTATTGAAAAGTAATGGAAGAAAAGTTGTACTTATAAACTTGGATCCTGCAAATGATTGCATTTCTTATAAGCCCAATATAGACATTAGAAGTTTAATTATTTTAGAAGATGTTATGGATCAACATAATTTAGGACCAAATGGGGCTTTAATGTATTGCATGGAATATTTAGAAAAAAATATTGATTGGTTGACAAGCCAAATTAAAGGCGAACACTCAACAACCTTTATTTTTGATCTGCCTGGTCAAGTCGAGCTATATAGTCATCATGAATCACTGAGTAATATATTTAATAAGCTTACAACTGAAGGAAACATACAATTGTGTGTTGTTCATTTAATTGATTCTCATCATTGCTCCGATGCTGGAAAGTTTATAGCAGCATTAATTTTATCTTTAAATGCTATGTTAAAAATTGGCTTACCACATATCAACCTTTTAACCAAAGTTGATTTATTAAAGAAACATGCAGATAAGTTGGAATTTGGCATTGATTTTTATACTGAGGTTTTAGATTTAAACTATTTACTGGAAAGTTTGGATAATGATAAATTTACACATAAATTTATGAAACTCAATAAAGCTTTGATATCTATTATTGAAGATTATAGCTTAGTTACTTTTCAAGTTGTGGATATGTATAAGGAACAAAGTCTCAGAAATGTGAAAAATTTAGTGGATAAAGCAAGTGGATATGTTTTTAAATCTGAAGAAGGAAGACATATTAATAGTATGTTAGCTTGTGCAATGGGTGTTAACAGTGAATTTGATTCGAATGACTATGAATAAAAAATATTCTTACATTTTTGTATTTTTTTTGTGCCTTCTTATAATTTAAACAGTAAATAGATGTTTGCAACATTTAATGATAATTATCATTTATATATTATGTATCTAATGACTAACATTTAATTCATCAATGCCCAACTAAACCAGCTGAATTTTGAGATTATATTGATACAATATAGACAGTAACCACTGCCAGAAATAAATCTTTTTAATCAAAAAAAGAGACACCTGTATGGGAAATGATTATAAGTGTAAAATGAAATTAAGAGATAGGTGAAGCCCTAAGCCAATTTACATTTGTTGTGGTCCCATAAATATTATAAATGCGAAAATTTGGATGGTTTGATGGTTGTTACTCAATCACGCCCGGAATGGCTGAACGCATCTATGAAATTTGATACATAGATAGATTTTAGTCTGGAATAACATAGGTTACTTTTTATCCCGGAAAAATGTATGGTTCCTGTGGGATATCTATACTAAACGTTAAAACGTACCTAGTGCACTAGTATAAAATATTTTTAAATACATGCTACTCAAAGTTTGAATAAAATCCACACTTGTTATTATATATGCGAAAGTAACTGTTAGTTAACTTTTTACGTCGTAAATGGCTGAAACGATTTAGATGAAAACTGTTAAGGAGGTAGTTTGAGACCCTGGGAAGGACAGAACATAAGTTTTTATCCCAGAAATCATCCCATAAGGGAGTAAAGTCTGTACATGGGGAATAAATTATTTCTCAAGGGATATAAAACTCATCATACTTATGTATATATGACTATATTATATCTATTCTATACTAACCGTCAAAATGTACGACCCCGAGTGAAGCGAGGAGTCTCTAGAAATACTTTAAATTATGGTATTATGTGAGACCATCACCCGAAACCTCTGGACAGATTGGAATGAAATTTATTTATTTCGTATATGTAGTGTGAATGTGCAAAGCTTATTATGATGTAAATTTTATAGCAATTAGATTCTGTATATAGCAGATACCAAGATAATCTGTTAGCTACTGCAAATCTAATAGTTGTGATGATTTTTTTTGCAATATATCTCAATGTATATCGTTATGTCGAGAACATTTTAATACCACTAATATACGATATTATTATATTATTTTAAAATTGACTAAATTAGATTGTATAAGATATTTTTCATAATTTCAGATGTCTAAGAATGATCAAGCATTATATATGAAACTTTTAGAAATGGAAAACAAACTTGATCAGTTGCTACACCATGAAACCACTAAGCCCATTCAAGTGAAACTTTTACATCAATATAATGACATTAAAGATGCAACTCAAATTATCATAAATCATATTGCAAACATAGAAGGTACTTCAGTTTCAGAAATTCATAAGCGGTTAGAATTAAAAGATTGAAATAAAACAATTATAAATAATGGAACGTTTTATTTGAAGACAAATACAACTCTTTACAATTTATATTCAACCAATATTTTTTTGTGTTCATGAACTAAAATAGTAATATGAACATTTTCAGAGTTTCATATACTTAGCAGTTTTATGTATTTAAGTTATAAGTGTTTTCAAAAAAGCCACAGTTCCATGTTGCTACTTCAATTACGAAAAGTGTTATGTATTACATGACAAATATTTTCTAATATATTTATTATACGTTGACAATATTAAGAGACCATTGTCAGCAAACAAGTTATAAAATGGAGTAAAGGTATTACACTGTTGAATATTCTAAAACTATAGTGAATAATGGTTTTAAAGAGAAAAAAAAATCTACTTCCTTCTCGGAATTATCTAATATTACATTTTAAAATATGTAAAAAGTATATATTTAAGCAGCAAAATACAGTATTACAGTAACGTAAAAGGCATTTCATATATTAAACATCGAGAACGGTAAATTTAAATAGTGCCTTTTAGTTAGAAACCGACCAATATAAAATCTCGATCACTTCGAGTTAACCAAACCTCTAAACATGCTTTACCGTCGTTACACATAATTCTTAATCAAATCAAAATACATTGAAGTTAAAATTCTAACGCTACACATTGTGTTTATTCAATAAGCAAGCAATAATATATGTTTTATAATAAGAGTCGCGCGTTTGCGTCGACGTCCGCTACGGCGCTAGTGCGCGCGGCGCTGTACGAAGTCAGATGCCCGATGCATTACGTTACGTTTGGCGACAGCTCGAGACGGCCGTGGGGCATGTCGCGGCTGAGCTCACAAGTTCTGATCATGTTTCTTGTTTAAATCAATCAATATGTTATTGTGGCAACATATTTGTCTATGTTTCGGCCAGGGTACAAGCAAATTGTAAAGTCTTCATTATGTTCCATTCTCTACTGGTGTCGACTGTTCGAGTTCGAACGTTATTTATTGAAATGGAATGTAACGCGTGCTGATAGTTCGACAGTTCATCACCAATTGAGTATATCAAGACTTTGTCTCAATTGTTTTTGTTAGTCATTCCAGCTTAATTTAAGTATAACAATATAACAAATTTACAAAAATACATATAAAGTGAAGAACATTCGCAGTTTTGAGATTCCTAAAATGCATATAAATATATCACTAACGAATCTACGATATTCTATCGAAATAATACCCTATAGGATGTGGAAAGCTCAACACGCGAATGTTCGTCCAGTTTCATTAAACGTCTATCGTTAGACTTAAATCTATGAGTTTCAGACTCGTTTCAGGCAGTCCAAGGGACTAAATTTCAAAGCACCACCATCATTCAATAAATGCAATTTCTATGCTAATCTTATCACCTTTGCTACCCTAAGGTATAAAAAATCCGACATATCACGTGCTTACCAAAATAGTTCAATAATAAAACGCATTCAAAAGGTCTTAGACGATTTAACAATTGGCCCAAATATGATTTGCACTGCTATCTGCTGGCGACCACAGCTGCTGACTTGAACGGTCACTCGAAAGATGGTACTTATTTGTTAAAGCCTTTGATTAGTTCCGCTAGCAGGATAGCAGTCCATACGTTAGCCGGATACTACAGAACACTCACACACAATCAATAAAGCCTAAATATACAACAAGAAATCCTAAAAACAAGTCTGAATACGATCGGTTTAGCCTACATAATCGGGAAAGCAGATCGCAAACGTTCGACACATAAAAAACTTCGAGAACTTAAAAAAATGTCTCGTTTGAAACGAAAATAGATTACATAGGCCAAACCAAACTTAGAAATAAAACAATAATTTGGTAAATTGTAAATATACTATGTGTAAATAAATAATGCTGACTCAGTTACCATATTATGCTAAACTAAACATATTCCCCGTTAAGTCATCTCACTTTAATAAAATGTGACTTAACAACCAACATGTTAATTTTAATATATACTTTCTAACTATCACTCGTCAGATAGAAGATGTTACATGTCCTTTTTTCATATGAAGTGTATACTACTCGAAGTAGTGGTAGAAATCGACTCTGGATGTTTTGTTGCTTGCTTCGAGATCGGGGAACTTACATTGTAACATATATCATATTCTTGGAAGCACATCACAAAATATTCAGAGGGACTTTCGTCGCGTTAGGGATGAAGCGTTACGCTTCAGGTTTTTAACCTCGTCTCGAATATAAATTAGCACGCTCATGCCGATTTAATTAATACAAAATCAGTCTCTCGTTGGGAAGTCTCTTAGATGTCGAGGCACGTTACGCCGGCCGGTAAATATACGCAGCCGTCATCATTACAAGTATTGCTTCCTTATTACACAAATACACTTAATGCGCACAATGCGACCTCAGAACAAATACGTGCTATATTATCATCTATCAGATGTTGTATCCCATGTTAGTTTAGATCATTCACAAAGTTACTGTTCAAATGTGTGAATGAATATCGTACTTACTGATGTTTAAAATATTAAAAATGGTTTAAAATTCACTAGAATTTCATAAAAGTGTGTTTAAATATAGCTTTCCTCAAAAAAGATTAAAATTAAATAGACTACCATTAAACCGAAACGGGAAACCTAACTACCAATGTAATATATATGAGTTTACCTTTGGGATATAGATAATTTAATTACTGACAGGGGCATCGCCTTGACCAAAGTGATCTCGATCAGAACTATGACTAAGTCCCGCCACCTAGAAATACGGTACAAATTAACATTTGATAAGAGAAGACGACCGTGATGACCGGACGAGGAAAGCCGTATATCGCAAGGTAACAACATGTCGGAATTTATTCTGCGGTCACCTTGTTCTTATCTAGTGGTCCATTCGCTTCCAAACTCTGAGCTACATCAGTCTTCGGGTTGGTGCTCTTTTTTTTACCTTTCCCTAAATTCTTCTTAATGTTTTTTCCAGTCTTTGTTTTCTGAGGTTGAGTCCCTGTAAAATTAAATGTATTCTTTTATGATGGCATTTTCTTCTCGTGTTGTTATGTTTATAGGCACTAAGGTTCTCTCAAAAGGTACCTTCACCGTCATTTTCAGGCTGGGAGCTATCTTCAGGGGCACTGCCGTCATCGGCGGGCGGACTCATTTCGTCCGACCTAACGGTTTTTCTGAAACAAATAAAATGCTGTTATTATTTATTTTCTTAACAAATAACATGTAAGTTCTTAAGATTGTTATATTTTTTACGATACTCAACCGACTTCAAAAAGGAGGAGGTTCTCAATTCGACTGTGTGTTTTTTTTTATGTTTGTTACCTCAGAACTCCGTCATTTATTAACCGATTTGGACAATTTTTGTTTTGTTTGAAAGGGTATACTTCCAGATTGGTCCCATTTAAATTTAAAAAAAAAATACCACCCCTAAGGGTGGAAAAACAACTAATGATGAATTTTTGTTTGATTTGACAAGCCTAATACGTTAGAATTCTTACTAATTTTTTTTTTATTACTTATTTGATGCTTTGTACTGTTTTTAGGGCCCAAATACGCTAGGATTAATTTGAATGAATAAGTCTATCGCAAAATTTTTAAGGTTTAAGATGACAATATTTATAGAAAACATTTGTCTTAATATTACTTAATCCATACATATAATAAAATTGTAACTAAATCTTATTGAAATAAACATTATTATCGGTATAGAGGTCGAATCTATAGTTTTTTGAATTTTTGTCTGTCTGGTACCGCATCACAGAAAAACTACTGGAGGGACTTTTTACCGCGGGAAAATATGTCATTTCTAAGAAAAAATACAAAAACTGCAATGTAAGAGTATACTAATATTAATATACTCTTACATTGTCTCTTACATTACACCAAATTGGTTTTTCGTTATCTGAATAAGGGTGGAGCCGCGGGCAATGCTAGTAATCTATATGTTAACACGCGTGCTTTAGTTGTGTCGTATTTACTAAAAAAAGTAGTATGAACAGGTGCAATAATAATAATCGGACTACTACAGATGTATTACAAATACGAAAGTTGGTATGTGTGTATGTTTATTACTCCCTCACTCTGAAACCGCTGCATTCAGCATTCCTAATCCATTGATAAGGAAAAAATTAAGTTAGTAAACTATGATTACTATTAGTTTTATATCTTTACTATTATAAAATATATGAAGGTTATAAATAATACCTAATAAACCCGTAATTATAGTAACTATTGGGATCTACAAATATTACAGTTTTTTTAATTAAGATTTCATACCTACTTAGACTTAGCTTAATTTTACTTTCAGTGCATACATATTTATTTTTAGCATAGGCAAAATAATAGTAAAGCACCTAGAGACGCACCTGAGCAAAACCACTCTCGCTTATGAAAATATAAATTATATACCCGTTTATAGTGAGTGTAGCAGGTTTAGCCGGTTCGTGGTGTCGCGGGCGGCGAGCGCGTGCCGCGCCGCGGGCCGGCGGGGCGGCGCCGCGGCCGCGCCCGCGCCCGCGCGCGCCGCGCCAGCTGCGCCCGCCGTACGCGTTGCGCGGCGTCGGCGTGTAGCCCACGTAGCTCACCTATGTGAATTCATTGTTATCTATACTAATATTATAAAGAGGTAAAGTTTGTGATTTTGTGACGTTGTATGGGGTAACCTCTGGATCTACTGAACCGATTTAGATGAAATTTGGTAAGAAGATAGTTTGAGTCCCTGGGAAGGACGTAGGATACTTTTTATCCCGGAAATCATCCCTTAAGGGTGTAAAAATGGACATGAAAGTTTGTATTGGAAATAAAGCTAGGAACGAATTCTAATTTATCGAGGAAAAAAAATGAATTAAAACAATATAATGACCTCCAGACCGACTTCGGCTCCGGCCGCCAGCCTCATCGAGACTAGTCATCTGGGCAGGAGATATAAAGTGCACAAGTGTATGCGCAGACACAAGTGTCTCTTTATCCTGTCACTCTCATACTATGGTGGGATGACACGAGACACGACCGGTGAGAGTTAAGGCGCAGTACCGACGGCTTTACGTGCTCTGCCTCGGGCCTCGGCACGGGAGTGAAACATCGTCAACTTCCCAAATCCGGGCTGTTACTGAGACTTACTAAACAGAAAAACTCAATAACAAAACTTGGCCCAACTCGGGACTCGAACCTAGGACCTCTCGATGTGCAGCCGTACTTGCTAGCCACTACACCACCAAGGCAACTGTAATTAAAGCAGTAACGATATAACACTGGTACCTGCGGGTATCGAGGCGCGCGCGGGTGCGTGGGGTAGGAGCCGCCGCCCCACTGGCCCACTACGACGCCGGCGATTTCGAGGCGCGCGCCGCGGCCGCGCCCGCGCCACGCCAGCGGCTCGCCCACCACGCCCACCAGCGGCAGCGGCGGCATCGCGAACTCTACCTCCAGACCCTCGAGGATCGCTTTGCGCATGCGCTCCACCTGTACACATACATATATAACTACCTTACTAATTAAATATTATATTACTACTAGCGGCTCACCTTCGCTCCGTTCGGGTTCGTTCCTATGTATGTATTTTTTAAGCAGTCATAAAAAATTGTCTAAAAAATAAAAAAATATATTTTTTGGGGTGATCCACCCTAATCACTTAGGGGTATGAAAATAGTTTATGTCCTATACTCAGACCTACTGAATATACACACCATATTTCATAAGGATCGGTCAAGCCATTTCAGAGGAGTTTTTTTACAAACACTGTGACACAAGAATTTTATATATTAGGTATAATATTTTATATAGTAGGTATGCTCTATTACTATCTTTCTATATGGTATTGGAGTTGATAGCTGATACTCGTTCGACGAGTTTTTATAAGATACAAACGCAAGCAGTCATTATTATTTTTTTATTTTATGAGCACAAAATATGCACAATGTACATACGTGTCGTACGTTTATGACGTTTATGATATGCGCATCGTCGGCACCATAATAAAACGTGTGTGCGAATGCACACATGTTTTATAATGGGTTTCCCTTTTAAGTAAATCACAAGCAACGCGCGTCCACGGCGTGTTAAAAAGTCATCGTGTGCAGACTCCCCTAATATGTATTTAACAACACATCCGTTAAAATGACTGGGCGATCGTCTATAATTGTATATAGTGTGTGGATGTTTATAGTGTGGTATAAACATAGCATCATATGTTTACCTTGACGACGGTGTCGAGATGGTTGTCGCAGAGCTGCGCGAGGTGCTTGCAGTGCGCGGCGCGGTGCAGGTTGCGCTGCAGCAGCTTGCCGTCGAAGTAGAGCCAGGGCGCGGCCACGAGCCAGGGCACGGGCGCGCCGCACGCGTCGTTGGCCACCAGCGCCGCCTCCGCGCCCGCCATCACCAGCGCGCCCAGCTGCACGCCGCGCGAGCTCATGCCTTGCACCTGGACAATATATCGATGTTACAGCGCTCGGGTGCGACCCTACCCATACCCTAGGGCATCGACCTAACCGTCTACTTGTGTACTAAATTCCATTTAAATCCATCTCGCCATATACACACATACAAACTTTCATATTTATAAATCTTGATGGACTATTTCCATAGCAACTTATCAGAAATAACTACAGTAGTTTAACAGTAAAAGTACTTAAACATCTGTATATACTTAAATCTGTACTTTTGTAGTGAACCATGTCATTTCTATGACTTGATCAAAGATGCACCAAAGTTGCACTAAATAATTTTAGATTTATAAGCTCAAATACCTCAAATTAGAAGTAGGTACATGTTAAATTATTATGTAATTGGTTTCCGCTTAAGCACAGCCAATGCATACTAACATTGCTTGTTTTATATGAACGGTACAGGCAAAGAACAGTAACTGTCCTAATGAATATATTATGAGAAAAAAGCGATTTAAAGTTTAGAAGCCCAAATAAATATTATAATCCAAATAATATTTTTATTTAAATCAAAGTAAGCAGTAACTTTTAACTGTGTACATTTTTGGACAATCTTCCTTCTTTACCAGTATGTCATGGACATTCACTGTTCTTTGCCTGTACCCTTCATATAGCCTTGTATTTTTTTACACTTAAGTTTTTACAATTCCTATTCATACTACAGAATGTAAACTTACTTTATTTTAAATACCTACATTTCTATGAATGAACTTACTGTCATTTCTTGTAGGTGAAGGGCATTCATGAGATCATTTGAGAAAGCTGTAGCCAAGAACGCATCGAGCTCTTGTCGCCTCAATATTTGAATTTGAGAAGTCATAATGAACCTAAAAGTTTAAATGAAATGTTACAAATACATACAATGCAAGCCCTTGTACTACCATAAGTTAATAATTATAATGTTATAAACCTACAAACACGCATGTGTTTATAAAATGATAATTTCTCAGCAAAATCAATATAATAAAAAGTGTCAGTTTTCAAAAACGAATTTATAATGCCTATAATTAAGATAACATACTCATACCCAAGTTACTTATATGCTTTAAGATATTAAAAATATGAATAAGAATACTGTTAATAAAAATGTTGATTAATGGATTGAAAATCTTCTAATTTAAATAAATAAAGACTTAACAAATATAATATGTATATGGATAATAATAATAATTGTCTTACCTTAAAACAGTAGCTAAAATGAGCAGATGTTGTGGCACATATGATGTGTTTAACATGAGTGGAGTATCAGATCGCATGCAGGAGAGGAATGCACGCATACGACGACATTTATCATCTTGTGCTGTTCTGTAAGGAAATAAAATCAATTAAAAACATTACTATTCACAATACAATGTTTTATTACCGTTTCCTTAAATTACTTAAATATCGATATTAAATGATAAGACTCATTAAAATAAAAAAGTTAAAATTATTGATTGAAAGGTAAATATTATTGCATCTCTTAACACTAAAAAAATAACATTTTTTTATATTTTTATAATGTCTCAAAGTAAGATCTGAATCTTTTATACATATTATTATTGTATGTATGTATTCAGCCCTTTTTAACGTCCCACTGCTGGGCACGGGCCTCCCTTCAATACGAGGGGGATCAGGCCATAGTCCACCACGCTGGCCAAGTGCTGGTTGGCGGACTTCACATGTCTTTCGAAAACTTGCTAGGTTCTCTCAGACATGCAGGTTTCCTCACGATGTTTTTCCTTCACCGTAAGCCAATTATATTATTGTATAGTGACGAATAAATCAATTCAGACTGACCCAAACCAAAGCCTTTGCACTGTCGGCACTGGCCAATCCAATACAACACCAGACACAATCTCCGGACTCTTCCCAGGATTGACACGGGAATATATCCACTCTGCCACTTGTACTGTGCATGGACGATCGTTGCTCGTCGACGTACTAGCTGTGCCTTCATCTAGAATATTACAATATTTTAACTAATGTATGTATTCAGCCCTTGTTTTCTGGTGGGTGGGCACGGGCCTCCCTTCGACGCGAGAGGGATCAGGTCATAGTCCACCACGCGGCCAAGTGCGGGTTGACGGACTTCACAAGTCTTTCAAAAACTAGATTCTCTCACAGATTCTGGTTTCCTCATGATGTTTTCCTTCACCGTAAGGCAAGTAATTACGTTAGAAATTATTTGCACGTGAAAATATAAGAGGCGCGAAATCCGGGATTTGAACCCGCTTCACTCAGTTTCCCAAGCGAGCGCGTTACGACTGGGCTGCCACTGCCTACTTTTAATAATGAACAAAACAAAATAACATCGCAGAGCAAGACTTGATATTTAAATGATGCTTTATCTTTGTTAAAACATATGCTAGGACGCCATTCATTGAAGTTTTTGCCTAAAAGTAACTAGAGATTAAAAAAACGTTAATACGTTGGGATCCCATTTGAGTTGTTTGTTAGCCATATTATATTCGGGTTGCCATAGCCATATTATATCAGTGTTATTTTTTTTAATTACATAATTTTTAGATATATATTTCATAGGTTGATGTTAAATAACTACTAGTTCCTGAATAAATTAGGTATAAAATACAAAAAGAACATTACAAATCTATATGGTATTTTAAGAAGTTAATGCACTCAAACATACAAAATACATATAGATTTTCACAACTGTTAAATTGATTAATTAAACTTAAAAAAGAATACTTATTATATCTATAAAAGTTCTATTCATGACTTCACCTTTAGCTTTCTGTGCCATAAAACGATGATGATGCATGTTATACAAGATAGCATATACATTCTGTCGGATTGGTCTGAAGAAGTGATGTATAGAAGGTATTTCACGGTGATTGTCATCTTCCATGAGAACTGGTAGTGTTATTTGGCGGTGTGTGAGAATTGAAAGCAGTTGAGGGTGCATGAGTCCACGAGTGTGACGTTCGGCGCACGTTCGTAGCACTTCTGCGGGTGCGGGCGGGCAGTTGTCGTCGCCCAGCGCTTGTTTGTTCACACACGCTGTCGCCTGAAAATAACTTTTATTTACATACTATCCAATGTAACAGTAATCGTTAGCATGTAGTTTTTATAAATTTCTGTGACACTTTAAAATTGTACTAAACATCGATGCGAATTAATAAATGGAAATAAAATGTAGTGTGAAATTAGGTTTGTGAAACTATTTTTAATAACTTTAATAATATTGATATAAATATGACAATTTTAAAGTATACTCAATATAAGTAAATGGATACGTCTATTGACGTGTCCATCCATTCCATCATTGTACTATAAATGATAATAATATGGCTATCGTAAGACACATCGCCCAAACTGACAATGAAACAAGATAAATAATATTAACTACCATAAAAACAAATACACACAGTATTTCATGGCATTAGTAAACTTTGGATTAGAAAATTATACCAAAAATATTTAATACGAAATTAAAAATAAATAAGTTATAATTTGTAAACACTTAAAATTGCAATAACGAAAATAAAAAAAAGAAGTGAATATTAACTTTACTCTGACATCTGAATTTAAAAAAGTGTTTAAAAAAAACAAGCTACCAAAGAGCCCACAACAAAATTACGTGATATAATAGCAGACCTCTCTCGGTGGCGGTTTTTCGGTTTTGTCGGTCGGTTTAGAGGGCTGGTGGGTGGGTTTGGGCGCTTCGTCCAGCGCCAGCGACGCGACGCCGTGGCTCAAGTCGTGACACGGCTCCTCCATACTAAAGTCCGCGTTAATGGACGCGTTCGCCGTAGCCAATTTGTAATCTTCCAAGCCTTTTTGCTGTAATTGATCGATTTACCAATCTTTCACTACTTCCAAGTGCTCAATCCGAGAATAAAATCATAATCATTAGAAAACAAACCAAATGATAATAAAACAACTTATAAATGACAAATTAAATAATAATGAAAGGAAAATGAACTTAAAACCCGGCACATGGAGTATTTTTTTTGTTTCGTTTTTGTAACATGCATTTTGTAAATCTAATTGCCAATGGATGCCAATGTGTGTTGATGTAAAAGGCGTGGATGACCTTAGCGATAGTTTGGTTTAAATCAAATGTAAAACCTCATGCTCAGAAGATTCGGACGCAAGCTTCGATGTGTCGAGGTCGGCTGATGTCGACTGAGGGCTGATTTCAGGTCTCTGATTCTTTTTGTTACTTTTGGGGCGACGACCTTAAATTAGTAAGGAAAATTGAAATAAATGACCATAATATACATATGTATTAATGGTCTTAATCTTTAAATTCATGGCCTTCTATATTTTAGATTAAAAATAACATAACTCAGATCATATAAAATAAATGATTCTTATAAATAATGGAGAAGATTTTTTTGTCAGAAAGTTATAATTATATAACACTTAAATATAGATCTCAACTGACGCATTTGTCGTTCTCTTTTTATTAAGATATTTCAAAAACAACAAAGTTACAAAGAAATCAAAGTAGTTGTAGTTGAGTGCAAAATAATCAGTGTGATGATGTCATCATCCTGTATGACTACATATAATTGGAGCTATTTATTTATATATAAATATTTCGGAATTTTGAGAGTTTAATCATTATGGAGAAAGAAGTGAACCGTCTAAATTAACAAATCCATAGAACAAAAAGAATAGATTTTTCGAATTCAGTATTACTTTGATTAACTATATTTAGTTTAGTTTATTTAATACATATAATAATTTAACTTATTCAATTGAATCCGTAGTAATAAAATTATATTTATAGCCTTAGGCACATGAATACTTCTTTTAGTGTTATTTGTAGTTTTAACATGCACTTAGTTATTATACAGTATTTAATACAGAAATACACAGGCGCGGGCGAAACCGGTACGCTATCGTCATCGACGGCCAAACACTAATATGTTAGAACTCACTTTTTAAATTCCTATATAACTTAATTTTTTGCTATGTCAAAAAGAAATATATCATTTTTTTCCTTGAGATTTCTCCATTGTGATTCTTCACATATATTTATGAAGATAACTTATTAAGATTTTTTATGTGAAACCTAATTTACTTACCAGAAGCTGTTCTATATTTAAGGAAGCCATCTTTGGTACCATTAAGATAATATTGTACAGCCTGTTTCAGTTTGGCAGCACGGAGGTCATTGAGGTCACCAAATATTTCAATACATGCTGCATCTATGTCTGACGAGGGCAGATCGCGTACAAATTGACCAACTGTTTTGATAAGTGTTTCAGGTGGTATTTGTTGCTGAAAATAAACAGAATATTTATTTAATAAACATATTTAAACAAAAAAAATAGTATTGTCACTGTCAATATCATGGGAAAGAGCTAGCAGGAAAGAGTTGGATATATGTACTTATATTTTTATATTTATTTATTTTATAAAATCATAATATTTAAAAGTAATTCACATGATAAATTCTAAACAAACAGTAAATATTTTCAAAACAAATAAATACCTTCTTTTGAGCGATTCCTAAACGTTTATAAAAATCAGTGAGGCTCTGTTCTGATAAAATAACTCCTCCAAGTAGTGCAGCCAAGAGACAGAGTCTATCTTGCGGTACATCTAACAACTTTGGTAATTCATGTACCATATATTCTTTGGTTTCCAAGGATGACTACAAACAAAAGAACAATTAATTTGTTTCAATATTTCAATGGATTAGTAAATCATAAGCCTCTAAAAACAAAAAATAGCTAAAATAATTTAATATTTGTTGAAAATATGTTTTGTTATTGCTGCACATGTACTTGACCAAGATGAGAAATAACTAATGTAATCTAAGACAGCATAAATTATACTTGTATAATTATATAATTACATAATGTTAGGTCATATATTATTTTATATCATTAAGGTCATATATTAAAATGACACACAGGTGAAACAGAAAACAATTGCAGATAAATAAAAAATCTTATTCTGCAATTCTTAATATAAATGTTATTGTATGAAAGTCAGATTATTTGTTTCTAAAAATCATGTTATACTTACTCTATATGTTAATTTTAACTGCGACGAACTAAAGTATCTAGGTGGTTGAAATACTAAATATTCTCCTGAACAACCTACAAGGCCAGCATAAGTCTTCTCACGGCATAAACCCACTACTTCTTGACAATGATCATCTGATGATACCATCTGTTGCAATAAAATATGTATATTAGAGCAAATGTAAGCAATAAATAAATAATAAATAAAATAAATAAATATGTTGGGACATTAACACACAGCGCCATCTAGTTCCATGATAAGCTATGAGGCTTGTGTTATGGATACCAGATAGTTGACACAACACATATATAACTTTAAATACATACATATTATAAATATAAACACCCATGACTGGAGTACAAACATTCATCATTACATAAATGAATGCCCCCAGCGGGACTCGAACCCGCGACCGCTGGCACAGCAAGTAGGGTAGTAGCACTACAAACTGAGCCAAACGTGTCGTCATAAATAAAAATAAAATCTATAGTTATTAAAAATATCATTTTTGTTATCAATGACAAACAATAATAAATAATAATAGCTTGTAAATCTATACTAATATTATAGAGGCAGAGTTTGTTTGAACACACTAATCTTGAACTGCTAATTCGATTTGAAAAAATATTTTTGCATTACATAGCCCGTTTATGAGGAAGGCATATATATCATCATGCCAAGGGAGCGAAGCAGTAATATAGTATAGTCTATCCATTCCATATAAACCATTAAAACATACATAGGGACGAATCTGAGCAAAGCGAGCGTGAGTCACTAATTTTTTTATAAAATTGATTATAATTTAAAACAAATGTGAAGGTTTTATTAATAATAATGAGTTTTAAATAATAAAATCAACTCAATTCAAGGTATATATATTATTACTTACAATAGGAATATTGAGGTATCGTAGAGCTGTTCTTAGACATGAGTGTAATCCTGTTGGTGGAACCCACCATACTTTTGGTGGTGGTGTTCCTTTAGTTACAATGTGTCGTAATACCTACACAAATAAAAAATATACAATATAATTATCTACCTGGAAATAAATAGTAGCACAAGACCAATAATTATAATTGAATTTTAATCTTTTATGAGAATAAAAACATTAAAAAATATATATGTAAGGAATAAAGACTCCATAGGTTTAGGTAGTACTAAAGGTAAACAAACCATAAAACACGTACCTTTAGATGACGTTCTTCCTCGTTTCAATTTTTTTTTGCGATCAAAATCTTCATACTTTAAATTCTAATTATCTTAAAATTTAATTTTAGTAATTTTATTCTTGTGTAATAAGATCCTGCGTTTATTATGAAACTATAGAAGTATACTACTCAAAACAAAATAGGGCCTATGTAATTTTTCTTACACAGAGTTTTCATAAATAGCTATTTAAATTTGGGATTTAGAAATTGTCTAAGCATCAAAACAGTTAAAGCTTTCTTTTTTTTTATTTAATCACGATATCGTGCATTTTATGATACGTGGCAAAAAAAGAGCGCTTAAAACTTCTATCAAAATCATTTAAACAGTTGTTTTTATAGATATGGTATATTATACATGCCACGTTTTGATAGCGTGTATGACCACCGCGGCACTCGGTAGATGTCTTTATTTTCATCGAGTATTCCTTCCCAACAGACTTTTAGAGCGTTTATGAGCTCTTGTTGAGTATTCATGTTGCTGTAATTTTCTTTAACTTTTCGTTTTAACTGGTCTCATAAATGTTCGAAGGGGTTGAGGTCAGAAGTCATCACTGACCATGGCAAAACTGAAATATTGGCGTCAGGAAAAGCTCTACTTGTAGTACGGGCTGTATGGGCGCGAGCGTTATCTTGCATCAAAACAAAATGATGGCCTACTCTTTGTTAATATAGGATTATATGAGGTCTGATCACCTTCTCAACATAACTGGCAGCGGTCACGATCCCTTCGTTCAGAATTACCAGCTCTGTTTTGCCAAACAAACTTATACCAGCCCATACCATAACACTTGAGTCCCTAAAACGATCTGTTCTGTGGATGCATGTTTCTGCAAAACATTGTCTGTTGTCACTAAAACCTTGACCTAAGTTTCTGTAGAGAGCAAAGTTAATTATTCATGATCCAATACTAATGTTCACGTGCAAATGTTTAGCGTGCTGCAGGATGACCCAATAGTAAGTTTCAGCAGCTTAACCCGCACTCTAGACCATTGTCCGTCCCCATGGAGAAAGTTTCGGATGGTTTCGGATGGTCCCGAAAATTTAGAATTGCTCTTCGAAATACACGGTGACGTATTGCTACAGATCTCTGAGATTCTCCTTCTTGAAGCAAAAAGACCTTTCTAGTGGCCGTTTCCATGTTCATATGACTGCGAGATCCAGACATATTAATCAGAACATTTGTTCTAATTATTATGCCTGGATCTCGTTTTATTCAGTATTAACTGAGGCTTAACAAGTTAAATAATATATAATTAATAAGCTTTCTAAGAAAATAAGTTTTTTAAATTATATTGACGTAGCCTATTTTGTTTTGAGCAATTTACATATATTAATTTATACCTTAAGAATAATTTATGACTTAAATTTATCATGTAAGTATAAAGTATCGTAATCCAGCTACTGTAAAGAACCCAAAATGATGGGGCCCATAAAACATTTGTAGAAATGTAATGAAGTTGGTAACCTTACAAAATTTAAGAGTCAACTGTAACGTAAGCGCGGCAAGAAATGTGACTGACATTACGTTTAGTCGGTTGCATGTATATGTATATTAGTGGAGAGCGATGCAGTTTTGCTTTCGGAAAATTTATTATTGTTAATTAAAAAAGAAGTGGATATGTGCCTGGTTTCTACCGTTTTAGTATGTTGCTTACGTCTCCATCACTTAAAAAAATGGATTAATATCCTTGAAGAAACAAAGACTCAAATGTGCTTAAATATGACGAAAAATCATGGCCTTAAGATAATTATTTATACAAGTTATTGTAGGTAAAACTGCTGAGATGATAAGTATGGTGTGAATTTAGGTATAACTGACAGCCCACTCTGCAGGACCTGCATGAGGGCAGATGAAATGGCTGCACATGTAATTTTATATTGTCCAGGTGTAGCGGCGTACAAGGCTCTACATCTTGGCACCACTAGTACACTCCCGGAGGTTTTCAGCAAGACAAGACAAGATTGCTGAAATTCCTGCAGGAACTGGGCTGGCAAGAATAAAAACGAATGGAAAATTTCCCACACACGCTAAATAGGCGCGCAGACGTCGAGTTGCGGAAACAAGCCCGAATATACCAATACCATGGTGTGAACTATGTACAGCATTATTAAAGAATATAAATGGATATATAAAATCAACAACAAAATCAAGCATAATTGACTGCTTGTATTATATGAACTTGGCTACTAAAGATAAAGCTATGGAAAATGTTAATAATGATGACAGCTTGTAGAGTAGATTGATATATAAATACTCTTAAACAGATTGGCTTGAATGCTTATAGACAAACCGGATAATTTGAAAGTAAATGTGTCATTTGGACCATATATGCAAAATTACAATAAAATATCTCTTTACATAACTAAACATTCAGTAATTAATTTATTTATGTGATTTAATCAATAATTTAAGAAATCTTCTTGTATACACTAATGCATTTTTTATTTTGGATAAAAGTCTTAAATTAGTCCTAAAATTGAATTTTTATTCAATTTCATTGATTAAAATAAAATTATAAGGTTATGCATATATGAAGTATGCATAAATAATCAATGATAAAGTGACTTTTTAAGTAAAAGAATACACATTATTCTAACAAAATATTAAACTGAGATAGTTGATCAATAAATAATTTAAAACTATATTTCATTTCCATCAATTGGTTTAGTTGAAGCCAGACAGCAATTTTTTATTTTGAAATGGACATAATATAATTTTGAGAAGTACCTACTGTTGTAAAACAGTAGTAGTTTTGGTAACAAAACTGGAGAGATAGTTAATGGATAATACACATTACCACCCCAGCAAAAAAGCTTATACAAGCAACAGCATTCAATTCAAACTTATTCACATGTTTTAACATCTGGATATTTTCAAATTTAAATATATTACACCATTAAATTTCAATATTAAAAGTTTATAAGCCTTTACATAATATCATACATGTCAATTTTGATGTTGTTTTGATTGTGGTTGCAGATGAATTCAATAATTAATTAAAAAAATGCAGTTATTTCATTGACAATATGTATTAATATTTTTGTAATAAAAGGATAAGCCCTCATGAGCCCTTTGTTTATCTTTAGTTAACTACCTGAACCTATGGGGTAAAGTTAAAAACTGTTTAAATAAAATCATACTTACAGAATTAACTCTTTGTCTGTAAGTGGCTTGTGTTTGAATCCAATGTTGAGGCAATGCTGGAGGTGTCGGATGGGCTCCATTGAAGCAAACACATAATGCTACTTGGTGTTCAGCTAAGGCTTGTGCCAATGTAGTTAAAAACTGAACACAACGGGCCCATTGTCCACCACAAGCCCAATCTATTTGCAGACCAGAGAAAGTTTATTTTATATTATTTTAAAAGAAATATAAATAAATATTTCAAAATAAAATTATAAATCATAATACTAATTGCTATTTAAATTACTAAAGTATATAAATTTAAAATAAAATCTACCTGCATAATTTTTTTTTGTTGTATTCATTATGATGATTTTGGTAGCAATTGAAACAAATTACCTGAAAAATATCCTCCGTAAAGACGGTCCAAGCATCCTTCTGCATCTAATACCAATCGAAAACCACCAGGATGCGTTCTAGCAATTCGAAACAGGTCGACACCTACTCCCTCATTTTCTAAAAATATTTGTAGATCTTGGATGCCCATGATTGTCGGCAACTGCAATCCCTTGAAACTTCGATCGAACACGTTCGTCTCGACTAATTATACGGCCTGGAAAAATATCGATGTAATGTAATTAATTTTCATTTAATACGTAACACCCTAGAGTGTTGGATTACAATTGCACACAATACGATATCACTGTGGCCGAATTTGCAATAAAAACATGTAAAAAACTGAATACATAACCGGCACGTTTTCTAAGTTCAATTTTTGTTTAAAGTATAATCGAGTAAGGGCATTGTTTATGAATAATAATAATTATATGCTTCACAATAAAAAATAGAAAACTAAATAAGGTACAAACCTTATTTCAAAAAACCATGCCAACAGCAAATTACGGCAGCCAAAAGTTGGAAGCGGAAGCCATTTGTAATTTTGTAATTTTCTAATCCTTCCTTGCTCGATGTTCGCTACCACAGACTATATAATAAAATACATAGGTCAAAGACAAATAAATATTAATGGCTATTGGCTTCTGAATGTGTATCCAAGCCTATATTTTTTGCTTACAATATAGTTTTTTTAGTCAATGATCAATTAATAAAAGAACTATACTGGCATATTCAAAAAAATGTTAATATGTTAAAATATTTTATTTTCATAATAATAATTTTGTAACAATCTGCAACATTATATCAGTTTATATAGTGTCTAGATAAATTATTATTACCATGCTGTCTGGAAAGATGCATAGCATCTGACATCTCTATATATAGTAGTTTATGCTGTAAAGTTTGCTTAAAAAAAAACTTATTCAAAATGGAAATATTAAGACTGTTATTAAATTATTTCGTTTACATAATACTTTTTTACTAGTTGGGGGTTTAGAAATGAAACTTGCAATTAGTAGAATTCGTAGAATTGAGTAGAATGTTTATTACACAAAAAATGTGACTCCTTGTATACAAAAAATGGATAAAATTTACAAAATAGATGATCAATAAAAGTGCGTACATTAAAATATTTACAAGCTAAAAATTAGATTAACAAATAAAAATCTTAGAATTATATAAAATATGATTGGTCTCAAATACAAATGAGATAAAAATAGCGCGAATCTTCTGCTGTCTTGGATTCTGGGTAATCGCACGGTAGCGTGATCTCGCGCGGGATGGTAAAGTTATAAATGTAAGTCGTAAGTAGTTGATGTGCGCGAGGCACCATTTGCCTCGCGGGCCGCGGCGCTCGCGCCGGACGGATCTGCAGTCTTGCTACGCGTAGTACTTGACTCGTAAAACAGCTCTTTTCAGAGCTGATTATTCTTGTTTACTATGACACCGACCACCGCATCAATACTGTCTGGTTTAAATGGGGATCACTATCGGGAGCTCTCAGTGATCGCAACATGCCCATCAAGCAAGTGAAGAAGAAAGTGTATAAAACGGTAGTACGACTAGCAATGACGTACGGAGCAGAGTGCTGAACCATAAAAAAGGCACATAAACAACAACTGTACACAAACGAAATGAGAATGCTCAGATGGTTGGGAGGTGTAACCCGTCTAAATAAAGTGCGAAATGAATATATTATCAGAGGATCATTTAATGTATCACCTATAGTTGAAAGCTAAAAGAAAACCGAATTTGCTGGTACGGCCATATCCTCAGACGAAATGACGACCATCCGATACATAAAGCCCTAAATATCCCTGACCACTCACGAGGAAGAGGACTACCACGCGTCACGTGATGATCAAATATACAGAAAGAGAGAGACAACCTAAGTACACAGGCTAGACAGAGTAGAATTCTTTGGCGCAATCATACAAGGACACCCAACCCCAGCTAAACTGGGAAGAGGGGTGGACAAAGAAGAAGAGTTCACTAAGTAAAAAAATAACGCTAATAAAAGTAACTCGTCGTCCATATTTTTTTTGTACTCTTTATAAACCCAAGAGTATTCCAACTATGCTGCCGGCCAGCTGCAAAGTAAACTCCTCATGTTATCCAATTACAGCACTAAAGCGTATTATGCGGCATAATGTTCAACACAGCAACGCTCCGCACAATTAAGCACTATAAAAAGTAGTGCTTTGGCGTGTTGCGCGCACGGATATCAACTCAGTGGCAGAAAATTTAAGAAGTGTTTTTCTGCGTTGTTCGTGCTTATGCGCCATTATGCTCTGTAATTGGAAAACAGGGTCAGATTTGCTAGAGCAAAGTTTCTGTTAAGTATGCGTGGTGATTTCGGCAGGCATTAGAAATTTTCTGAAAGAAAAAAATCTTATAATATGCGATCCACCATAAGCACGCAGTGTTTTTTAATTATTATATAAATGATTTTATAAAATATAATCGAGTACCTTATTAATCATTTTCACTTTCTTGTAATGATTATATTTGAAGTAAATATGTAGCTCTGTTACTAGTAATTCCTACATGTGGTAGTTACCATGGGTTAATTGGGTAATAAAATAGTTACTGAGTTCTCATAGAGTATGTAATCACTTAAGTGTTTTGTGGACTGTTTCTTGACATCTGCCGGCTTTGGGTCACCCGCTTAACTTTTCCACAGATAAAGCTTTGTTTCAACAATCCACTGTCGTCATTTTCAATCGGTGGTTGTGTATGTGTTGATTGGGCGTTGTAAAATAATAAAAAACAAAAGAATGTGTTTTTATTGTAACAAAACTAATAGTCACTATTGTTCCTAACCGTATTTTGATGTCCAACCACCCATGTGTACCTTATTGAAATAGCTTAAGATGCTATAGAGAAGTATTTCCCGTACAAGTGAACATAAATCTTGTGAATTGATTTGTCGGAAAGGGTCTCAATAAAATCTAGTGATGCCTGAGCAAAGTAATGATTATCGTGTTGTTGTATTTGGTGCAGGCGGTGTTGGAAAAAGTTCATTGGTGCTGAGATTTGTTAAAGGTACATTTCGGGAATCGTATATACCAACTATTGAAGATACGTATAGACAAGTAGGTACAACTTTTCCTAATATTGTAATTAAAGATTTTGTTATTATTTGTACCAATTATCTTATTAATCTAGTTTGCATCTGATATATGTAATTACTTATCTTTATATATTGCATAAATTTTAGTACATAATACTAAATTAGACTTATATTTTCTATAATATATTAGAGCAGTAACTTGGCGAAATCTGTAGATGAAATATTTGTTAAAAACAATTACTGTAACGTGTTATGTACACAATATACTATATAGACCGCAAATACATAGTTATTAAAAATTTTGTCTGTTGGTCTGTTTGTGTCTGCTCATTTCACACAAAAAGTAATGAGCCGATTTTAACAAAATTTGGTGAAGTGATAAATTATTACTTGGGTCATCATTTAGGATACCTTTGCCTTTAGGAAAGTCTTTCTTTCCCATGGTAAAACACAATGACTGGTTCTATTGAGTTGTCCTTAGAAATTTATATTGCTTACACTGGCTAAACCATAAGAGATACATCAAAACAATGTACTACAAAATTTTATGTCTTAAAAAGGTCTACAAAAAAGCCTGTATAGTAATTATGTCTATATCCTAAGGTACTCTTGCAATAACTATTTTTATTAAATATTAAATGCAATGTCACAACTGACTCATTGGCGTATCAAATGTTCAGCCCAAGCCAATGATGATAGACCAGCACCACAAAAAAACCAGCTTTATATATCCATTCTAATATTCAATGCAAAAGTAACTATCTGTCTGTCTGATGCCTGTCTGTCTATTTATCTGTCCATCTGTCCGTCCATCACCTTATCACGCTTAATTCGCTGAACTAATTTAGATAAAATTTGGTATGGAAATAGTTTGAGACTCTGGGAATAACATAGTTTTCATCCCGGAAAACATATATTTATTTATTTATTTGAAAGATATGTCAACAATACATTGTACCTACATTCTAAATTATTATATTATAAGATTACTTATTCTAGTACAAGCATTAATTATAGGCATACACAGCATTAATTACATTTCTGGCTTTAAAACAATAATATATAAAATTTTAAATACAATTTCTAATAAATATTTATAATAGATGAAATTAAATTAAAGAATTACACATATTAACTACTATAATTAAATAATCATAATATAAATTAATGTTAAAATTAGAATAATATGTACAATAAAAATAATTATTAGTATTTATAATTTGAAACAGCTATACTTATAAAATTACTTATAAAATTACTTATAAAATTATATTATTATATTAGTTCAGTCATACAAATATATATTTGTTTTGAAGTTATTTAGAGTGTCCTTAAAAATATCAATTTCAATGTCATTGTCGGTATTTAGTAAACTATTGTATGCATTAATTAAACGGTTTATTGGGGAATATTTGCCAAGGTTGGTCCTGGAAGTGTTAGGTGAAAATATATTTTTTATAGGAAATCTAGGAGTACAGTGCGGTACATTCACATTTATTTGACAAAGATTTTCGGGAGTATCCAGAACATTGTGGATTATTTTGTGCAGAGTAACTAGATCACTCACAAGCCTCCGTTTTTCCAGAGTTCTTATTCTAAAATGTTTCAACCGTGTCGCGTAGTCGGCTCTATAGGGACAAGAGTGGTTTTTATAGGACAAGTATCTTGTAAAAGAACGCTGGACACTCTCTATTCTAGCGATATGACTCTTATAATGGGGGTTCCATGCCGGTGAAGCATATTCCAAGATACTTCTTGACAGTGCATTAAATATTGTAATAATGCAATCAGTCCCTTTAAATTTAAGAGTGTTACGCTTGATGAAACCAAGCATTCTCCAGGCCCTGGAAATTATTTGATTTTGATGCTCTAAGAAAGTAAGTTTTGAGTCAATCATAACACCGAGATCCTTTACAACTGAGACCTCTTGCAGTTGTTGACCATGGATGTAATAGTCTGTGTCAATCTTCCTTCTATTATGTTAGTTATATATATAGAAGCGGGTGAAAGGGGGGAATGAAAGATTGAATGGGGAATCAATAATTTCTCAAGTAAGGAATAGTACCTGGGCGACCGAGCTTCGCTCGGGGTTTTTGGTTGAAAGTACAATTAAAAAGTACAATTAAAGTAAAAAAAAAAACTTGAATAAATACAAAAAAAAAAACAAAAAAAAAATTAAACCTTTGTGTCCGACCGGGATTCGAACCCGGACACTTATTCAATCTTGCGCTATACAGGTGGTTTTGGGGGCGATAAATCGATCTAGATTAGTCTTATTACGCGTGTTTTCGAGTTTTCATGCAGTTTTCTTTTGCATTATTCCACGCAAAATATAAATTGTACTTTAGGCCAATAACGCTGAGCGAAGCTCGGTAGCCCAGGTACTTAAAATAAGCCCCCCCAACGTGCGTTCACCTTGTCGTGTTGGGGGGCTCAGTAGTGTACTCGCGAAGCCAAGAAACGCACAGGGAGGTGGCCCGCTTCGGTGGGCGGTGGGAGGCGGCCTTCTTCGGAGGGCGGTGTACCATGCGGGTTGCTCCTGGTACTTCTCTGATAGCAGAGTGGACCGTGGAGCAACCCCATGGTTGTTGTGGTCTGCTTCGGCAGACCTGCCGTCGGGGCGTCGTAGTTGAATGCGTAAGCGATCCTGCGACGCCCCATTAAGACGGGGGAAGGTTTTGTTGGGTTTTAGTGGGTAGTACTGGCTTCGTCGGTGAGTCCCACACTTCGTGCGTAAATGCATTTCCCAACGTTAAAAAAAAAAGGTACTTAAAATAATAAAAGATAATGTAATAAGATCAATCCATTGTATTGCATAGAAGTTAAAATGGTCTACAGCTAGAAGATATTATTCAAATGGAATGATATTCATAAGTTATTAGGGTTATTTCTAGTATTTACTAATGTTATTAGTTTTTACTTCAGAAAAAAATTATGCTTTATTTAAAGAATTCTGGTACTTGCCAAGTATCCTGATAAAATCATTGGCCTTAAGCCAAAAATATTTACAATTTCAGCTGCCTATTTCACATTTAATGGAAATGGATACATTAATTTGTTAAGGCACACTTGGCTTGTAAAATGAAATATTATATTCAAATAGTTTTTATAACTTTATTTAGCACATTGAGAACTCAATGACTTGTAATCTTATACATGTAAAATAAAAGTATCTGTTCGGATTTTTTCGCGGATTTATTTAGATTTTTGGTTCCCAACGTTTCAAATGCTTTACAGCAATCATGGTCACGAAAGAGACTGAGGTGTTAGATGTCTCAAAGGTATTATATAGTTGTCACAGACAGCCTACCCACAAATAACAAAATAAATTAAAAAAATTTAAAAAAATGGCACCAAAGTACCTTATAATATTTTTAAATTTTAAACATTTTTATAATTTAAGTTAGTTCTATAATTGAATATGGAATATTATTTACTGAATTTTACTAAAATGCCAAATATTCGCGTAAATCTAAGAAAGTATTCTTATCTTTAACATTATTAAAATACCAGACTCAATAATGTCAATAATAATCAATATCGTATATATTAGTTATCTTTTTTTGTTCTTTTATAATTTAAAGTGTTAAAATTATTTTGTGGCTACATATAAAATAATTAAAAAGCCAATAGCCAATTCTACATATTAATACTATACTGCACATATATAATAAAATTAATTTATATTAACTCATATGTAGCTAGATATAATGTTTTATTAACAAAATATAACTCAATATTTAAAAGAGTTACTGTTGGGTTTCTCACTATCCAAGCCGGTGGTAGCTTCCCCACAATCTGACTATACTGTCACACTTTTAAATTTAATTGACTCTTCAAAAATGCTTGTATAAGTAATTGAATAAAGTATCATTTCAAACCACTATTTTTTTTCAGGTAATAAGCAGCAACAAAACAATATGTACTTTACAAATTACTGATACAACAGGATCTCACCAATTTCCAGCAATGCAAAGATTATCAATAAGTAAGGTGAGATTTAAAGTCAAAATGTTTGGTTTGTTTTTTAATTAAAAAATTTAATAATTTTTTTATTATACAAACAAAATTATATTTAATAAACAAAATTACAAAAAAATATTTTCGTTGTAAATCACTTATCTTTTTCTTTAATTATTAATTCTCTTATTCTGTTCCAGGGTCATGCATTTATCCTTGTATACTCTGTCAGCAGTCGACAATCATTGGAAGAATTAAAGCCAATATGGCAGACAATAAAAGAAATAAAAGGTACCGAGTTACCTAATATACCTGTAATGCTTGCCGGGAACAAATGTGATGAGAGTCCAGAAATAAGAGAGGTTTCTGCAGCCGAAGGACAAGCTCAAGCACAAACTTGGGGAGTATCATTTATGGAAACATCTGCTAAAACTAATCATAATGTCACACAACTATTTCAGGTGAATTAATTTGATATTCCTTTTTTTATTTTGAAATATATTTATGTGTATCTAGCTTACATTACATTTTCTTTAAATTATTATCTACACGTCATGTTATAGCATTAAGAATATACTTTCAAAAAAACCTTCATATGTCCAGTTTTGTATGATCTTAATCATTTTAACATCCTACTGCTGGACATTGGCCTCCCTTCAAAGCTTGCTAGTCTCAGATTTGCAGGTATTCTCACGATGATTTCTTTCATTGTAAGACAAGTGATATCATGTTGCAAATGATTCATTGAACTGAAAATATCAGAGGTTCCAGACCCTAGGATTTGAAGCAGCTATCAATTTCCCAAGAGAGTGCGTTACCACTGTCTTTTTATTTTTTGTATTTAAATTGATTTTATTTATCTTTAAATTCCAGGAGCTGTTAAACATGGAAAAGAATAGAAATGTTTCCCTACAAGTTGATGGTAAGGGTAAAAAGAAAAAAGAAAAGGTAGTCAAAGATGGTGGTGAGGCATCTGCTAGTGGGAGAGAGAAATGCCTGGTCATGTAATGGAAAGAATTACTTATCTCAAATATAAGTATCAAGTAATAAGCAACATTGCATAAAAAATATGACAATATAATAACATGTTCTCAAAATGAGATAGTTTAGAGTTAAGACAATGCATTTAGTAGGATTGTAACGACATAATGTAGTTTAGAAAATTGTAGCTTGATGCTTGATTATACCAGTGCGTACTCTCATCCAAAATTTACTTATATATCTATATGAAGATATATTGCTAAGTAAAATCGTAATTAAAATTGATTATAATTGCTAGTCAGTTATTATCTAAAAACAAAAAAACAAATTTGATACAAGGTAAAGATATATAAGCACTATGCTTCAATGTTTTCGCATATTACAAAAATCATAATTTGTCAGGTAATGCTTTATATCTGGCGAAAACTAATATTTTGCAAAAAAAAATCACAATACTTAAGAAAAGCTCAAACTGAAAATTTGGATATAGGTACACAATTATATTATTTACTATTTGTGATAAAGCGTTTTAAAGGGGTAAAGCGTTTATGGCAATTGGCAGTGCCAATATTTCGCCATTTTTATTTCTTCCTAACCTTTTATCGCACTAAAAAACAAGTACATATATATGAATAGAAGACACTTAAATAAATATAAAAGTATCAGCAATATAGTGACCTAAAGTGTCATGTTTCCGAGATATTTGAATGTAAAGATTGCCATATAGAAAAGATTTATTACATGTTAATATGTGCTAGTTGGATTTTAAAAAATAATTCCATACTTCTAATATAAGTGATCTTTTCCTCAAGATATTTTGGACGAGTGACACCTTAGGGCAATATTGCTGAAATTGTTTATTAGTTAGTGTTCTCTAACTAAGTTTATACCAATTATATTGTGAGCTACTACTTTAAAACTAAATTAAAATGACAGCAGGTGCAAATTCTTGTATAATTTCTTTATACGTTCGAATTCCTTTGAGCAGATTTTTTTTTTTCACATTGAGTTTCGTTTTCAAATGAGAATTCTTATTTAATAACTGGATGTCCATCATTTTTTTTTAGTGAAATTATGTGATTTTTTTCGGAAAAGATATAAAAATTGCGTCTTTTCATACAACACACCAAATAAATAAACTTAAAAAGCAAAATCTTACCTAAATACAAAATTTGAGCCACCATGGTAAATGAAAAATATACTTTTTTAATTGGACTATATAAATAAATAAGCCATAGTTAATTTATATTTAGGTTTTTGTAACTAACACTAAAATAAGAACACATACACGACTAGAAAGAGTTTCGAAGAAAAAAACTTGAAAAAAACAATGGCGAAGGAATAGATCCTTATATTATTATTATTCATACCAAATGTTGTTTATTACTTGTGCTTCAACGCGCTGTAATTTTGATTCTAGTCATATACATTTAAATTTTAAACTATTTGAATGTATTTATTACGCATTTAGTTAAGTATTTATTATTGTCATGCCTATTATACTATTGGTTCTATTTTGATGAATCTTAATGTCATCGCCGAAATGTATATTTTGCTAATATAAGAGTTACTTTATTTACACTAGTTGCATCTATACATATATTAAATAATATATAAGGGTCGTCTGTACATTGAATACTTAAAATATAAATCAAACTTTCATTGTTTATCCACGGTAGCTTTCTTTTGCTTAGCACTTTGACAGTTGACTTGTTAAGTATTAAATTATGTTGCATACCTTTGTATACTTAACACGTAGACATCAATAATTTAAAATATAGAATTTTTATCTTTGGCGTTTGTGTGCTAAATGTACATTTGATATATATAATATATGTTATGAATGTCATATTATTATGTATTTTCGAGCATGTGAAGTCGCGGGCAGCTACTAGCTATTAGCTATATTGACTGAATCGCAAAATTAACGTGATTGACTCCACGCGTTTGTGCGAAAAATACAACGAAAGAAGTCTTTAGAACTAAATGTTATTCAATTGTACGCTGATTTATAAACAATCGTGTTGTATCTAAAGTAAGGATGTTTCACATATTATGTAGTACCTGAAACTTGTTTTGCTTTATACCAAAAAATTTGCCATTAATTATAATGATAAGTGATCTCATAATTATTACGTAAGCAAAATTGATTCAGATATAACTGATTGAGTAAAATGTACAGATCTCACTCTTTGTAAAATAAATTAAACGAACCCTTTTGAGGGACACGCGACGTGATGCATGATCCAAAATTTTCTTTGGCTTTTTCAAAACTTATAACACTTCTAAAATGATCATAAGAAAAACTGAAATAAAATTACTTCACGAAGTATGAAATGAAAGCTTAGCCGCACCTTATCTTAGCATATTTGTAAATTGATATTATTCATTGTATTACAAATATTGTTGTTTTACAAAGAGTGATCGAATATTAAATTTTAAATAATTATTACAAAGAAATCACATAAACTTGATTTTTTTTTGCTGTCAAATATCGAAAGCATGGAACTGCATCGTTGTTACTGGATGTATTTATAAACTACAGAGCCCAAGTGTAATGTTAAGGCGAGTTGTCATTTAATGTGCCAAAACGAGGGAATATTCATATTTATGATTATTCTAAAAAAAGGCGAAAACCAGTTTAACCAGTAAAAACCAGTTAACAGTTAATGTAAATTAGAATTGATTTCTATATATACCGACCGAAATAGATATGTACTTATTTATTTGGAAAGTATCTTTCTTTATGATAATATTTTAAAGAAATAAGTCTCTTGTTATTTATAACTTAGTTTTCATGCACAATATGAAAAATTATGTGCATGAAAACTAAGAGTCAATGCTTCAATATTTCATAAGTACTTTAATTAAATGGTTGTATTAAAAGTTGACTACCCACTTCCGATGATATAAATCTCGCTGACATATTCTTGGGCATAGCTTATATTCAAGTAATATAAAAGTAAACTAATTTAAATTATTATTATAAACGTAGCTGTCGCTAGTTTTTAATGCACTTTATTTAATATCGTTCACTTACATATCCAATTATATAGAGACCCAATTTTAGTCGATTATTCTTCACATAATTATGCGATGTGAAATTTATATATAATTCTAAATGGGGTCGATTTCTGACCGTTTAGCCTATAAATTTTATTATTAATCAATTTTTATATTTATTCAATAGTAGATACCTCTTGTTTTAAGATATAAGATAGATGTTTGGATTGAAACCACGGGCGATAGCTGTCACTGATACTACCTACCTATATAATGACATTTAAATTTGTATAAAATGATTTTACTGAAAATTAGAAGTGTTTAAATTACATATTAAAAAACTAAATCATATTCAAATTTCTCTTATCTTAAAATTTTATAATATATTCTCGCATTTACAGTTATATGGATGCTAGGCGTGAAATTTTATATCAATTTCGTGCTTTATTTTCAGTTAAGTAAGAAGTAATAGTATCATTATTATAAAACAAAGTGGTGACTAAAACATTTCATTTCCAAAATATGGAACAGAGATACACGTTTTAAACTTAACTCGGGTGTTAAAAACGTAGTATAGTCACTCCGACATTCAATTTCCATAATATGGATTAATTTGGCTACGTTTCATTCACGCTCTGTATCCATATCTGCGCAAACGCATTAATTGACTTGAAAAATACCTACATTTCAAATTTAGAATTAAAAAAAGATTGTTAAATTGTTAAAACTGGACCAAAGTTGTTTAAATGTTGATTGACGTATTTTTACCGTAATTTATGTTTGATATAACATAAATATATCGTAATCATTGTTCATGTCATTAAGGTTGTAAGCTCCGTCGTGTACTTTTGTAGATGTCATGTCTAAATATTTTCTTACTACTGTAACAGTATTTATCTGAACATTCCATATGTACCTGGTAATAGAATAATTTCATAGAATCAAATAGTTAAGACCTGTTACTGTAAAGATGTTGATTTATTAAATGGGCAGCTCTATATAATTTCACGACGGAGCCCTTTTCAAATGTCTTCTATTCTATGTCTTCAATGGGGGGGTTTATTTCGATGTCTGGACTTGTACGTAAGTGGTGGACATATTAATTTCTATATTACGAAGTACCTGCATTTAGTGTTTAAAAAAAAACGATGCGTTGTTTTTATTTCCGGTTCATCTTTGTTGGAAATAGAAAGTACGTGATTCGCGTATTGGTAACCAAGGATGACAACAAAATAAACCTTCGTCTTCTTTATCTGTAGCTTATATTTATTTATTATATTAATTTATGTACTATGACTAAAATATCTATATGGAAAATATGAATGCTTACTCTTATCAGCACAAGCTTTATCAGTTAAACTTTCAAACTATTCTATGACTATATTATCATACTATCTTTGAAATTTCATAAAAGCACATCGAATTTACCAAAGTATCTAGTAATAAAATACCACAGCGAGGCTGTTTCTAAAATCAATATATATATTAACAGAATAATACTGTTGTGGTAAAATGAATTTATTGTACAAGTTTAAAGGGTAGAAGTATCGTAACTTAGGAGCTTTAGCAACTAATCACTTCTATATCGTATTATACTATTTTAAATTCCTTCGCAAATAGGTCTTAGAAAATAAAACACCAAGTGAATTTTAACATCTTAAAGGTGCCCAAATATATATGGCAATAATATTGAAGTAGATATTTAAATATTAATCTATCATTAGCGGGTCCTCATGATGTCATTCACACACAAAAAAATTAAATCTATAGAGATTAATCTTTGCATTCACACACATGTACGATTTTATTGAAAATATCCAAGATGGTTGATAATAATTTTTATTATTTTTCTAAAGGTAACCAGTTAATCAGTATGGGTGTATACCTTCCTATTCCTATAATTGGTTGTAAATGGTTCTGCATAAACTTTTTTAGTGTAATTAATGATAAAACGATTGTTTTTTTATTATCTGTTACAAAAAGTCCATATTCGTTATTTTTCTATTTAAAATATGAAAGGTTATATTCTATTATACCTACATCTCAATGAATTAAAATTGTGCAGCTTAACGCACCTTTAACACTTGAACTGTAAATTTCAGATTGTTTAAATTTCCATTCATGATCAGTATATAAGTACATGTCATTAGCATGTCACGCTTTACTGTTTATCATTTTTGAAATAGTGATTAAGTCCAATCACTTCTGTATTTTACTATTTAAAAGTTACAAAATTATTGCTAAAATCTAATTTAACTCTAATAATCGAATGTTCACATCAACATAGTGTGATTAGTCCATTTAGAATCTATAGGCTGTAGGATAGACGGACATAGTGATGCCTCAAGAATATTACGGTTAAAGCTTAGTTGGCTACGTGCGAACTGCGAGACGTTCAATGAACTTGTTGGCGGAATTTATGTTACAAAAAAATATATATTACTACATATTTTAATGACGAAAACAAGTACAATAATATGACGTGCAGTTTTATTGATTTACTAATCATTTGGTATGAGAAATCAAGTTGAAATGTTATTATTTAATCAGTAGGTTTTTGTAATGTAAATTCTGCATTTAGTGACTCCTCAGGGTGATCATAATTGTACATAATGATAATGTTTTGTTATGATGTTATTTATTGAGGTTGCGAATGTTTGTTGACCAATAGCGTTTAGATTGTAAGAACCCAAAACGAGATTAGAATTATTTAAAATTTGCTTCTTATTTGGATAATGTTGTATCTTTTTACATAAGATAATGCTTCTTATATCTGAACTGAATGTTTCCAAATATAAATTTTGATTTACTTACCACACTTCTCACTAAGCATCACAAAAAATAAAATAAAAAAAAGTAATTAGTATTGTTTATTTATTTACAAAAATGATTTTAATATAAGCATATTTACATTAGATGTACATCTTAAACCATAAATAGCATCGTTTCTTTAAAAAAATACAAATACAGTTTTAAAAACATTAAATTAATGACACACAAGATAAAAATAATAAATATCTATCACAGGTTAAAATTTGACAAAATTTGTTATTGAATAACAAACATTCCATTTCACGACGCTTTAGTTTAACTGACTTTTAATTTTAAAGCATCTTTGACTATAGGGATTTGCACATGTCACACATATTGTGCCACATAAGTATCTCTACAGGCTACAAAGGCAAAGCTTTATATAACCGCAAGTCGCAACGATAGGTACTCTACTACATTTGGTGCCGGTGGGTGAGTTTTCTCGTGATCGAGTCGCGCCCGACATTGTCAACAAATCAAGTCGAAAACTACAGTCTTGTCTACAAGGCAGCGCGTTTGTAAACTCATCGCTCACATCTCATCGCTTATCCAGTACATTTCTCGATTAATGGACCGCTAAAGGAGCGATTGATGCACGATTATAGGTATAAAAAAAAACGCTTTTCACCAAGTGAAATGTATGGGACTGGTTAAGAAAATTAAAAAAACTTTAATGTTTTATTAGTAACCATTGGCTAAGATTTGTGTATATGATTTAAGTGAAGGTAATAAAAATGTTAAAAACAATCTATGATGTTGATTAACGATAAAGTAGGACGAGACGCATTCGTTTAATGGTATCCTATAGGTACCTTATTAAAAAGTATATTTTATTATGGTTTAAATACATATATGGTTGAAGTAGTGCATAAGTTCGTCATATTTAGACATTCCCTATTCATCCACATAATTGTGGGAAAATAGAAAACCATGACTTGAAACATCTATCGAAGCAGATAAAAAATAGGTTTTCATATGAATATTGTCATATGATTAATTTATTGATTTAATTCTTATAGCACACATAGGAAGGAGGACTTTTAAAACTTTATTTGTAATGGTAAACCCCAGCTCTCCACCAATATTTGGCTTTCCGGGATTTTTTGTTATTTTAAATGTCTATATTGACCGGACTGCTGTTAATTCACGAACTATGGTATTTGGTTGAATGTGACACAAAGACTTCTTTTAATCCCGCGAAACAGTTATATATACGTGATAAAGGATAGAAGAACCGCTCTATAACTCTTGATACGATAAACCCGAATATTCTAATTGCTAGTAAAGCTAATATTTATCGTCGCAAAACGACGGAAGCTAGTAAGTTTTTTTTTATATTTTTCTACATTAAATTTTTGTAATTTACAAGATTAGATTTTCAAACACGATTCAGTATTGTAAAATGTAAAATCTTTGTTAGCAAAATAAAAATAAATGGATACTTTTGCCATGCCTGCATACGAAGAATAATAGTTTAAACAGCTTAACATAAAATTAATCTAACCAGTATCACCACCTCCATTGCAATTTACTCTCCCATTATTTGTTAGACATTCATTAGAATCTGTATAAGTTGGCAGTCGACCTGTACTTGCTGATTTTTTCATTTTAGGCTTACATGTTATTGACAACTTAGAATTAGGCTGCCATCTTTCACTTATTGCTGATTGTGCAGATTGTACTGTATTAAGCGCTTTTGTGTAAACATCTAAAAATTTTGTTAAATTTTCACCACTTATTCTATCTCCATTGTCCAATCTTGATCCTTGTGATGGTTCACTGATAATATTATGTATGGATCTTTTACGCTGTTTTAACCCAATGTTTATCATACCCAAAAAATTTAAACTAAATGGAATGTTTAGAATGTAGTTATATATTATCATTATTAATAAAAATATTAATAATAAATTAAAAATTAAGATCAAAAATCCATACATTAATTTATCAAATGGAAACCATAATCCATCTGCAAAAATAAAAAAGTAGTTACAAACAGTATTTAATATATTTTTGTAATATCATTTTTTTTCACATAAAAATAAAAGATTCTTACCAGTTACACCATGCAAAATAGTTTTAATAGTTTCATTTATAGTTATCATTGGTTCTGAGAGCAATGTAGTAAACATCCTTATGCCAATCTTGAGTGGGTTCATGTGTTTCAAGAAGATAAGTGGATCAGGAGGTGGCACTTCACAATTAGATGACCAAATATACCACTTGCAAGAATTAACAGCTGTCAAAAATTTGTCTAATTCTTGCTTTTCAGCTTCCTGAAAATAAGTCAATTTAGTTGAAACTTTATATGATAAAACTTAAGGGATTTGTAGACCAGGGTAGAAGCCTTTAAAAATAATAAAAAGTGAAAAAAATAATAATACTAGGATGAAACCTATTGGAAAAGGAGAATATTATAAAAATGAAAGGAATTTGTTATATTCTCTTTTTTCAACCGACTTCAAAAAGGAGGTTCTCAATTCGACTGTTTTTTTTTTGTTTGTTACCTCAGAACTTCATCATTTATTAACCGATTTGGACAATTTTTGTTTTGTTTGAAAGGGTATACTTCCAGATTGGTCCCATTTAAGTTTCAAAAAAAAAAACCACCCAAAAGGGTGGAAAAATAGCTAATGATGGAGTTAACCTACTTCTAATTGTCATATTGACTTGAAACTTTGCAAGTGTTTCTATTTCCGTTGATAGTACAGTGGTTCGGTATTGTTGACCTGATCTGATGGTAAGGCCTGAAGGATAGGTGGAACTCTTCAACGGCTAATAGTAGATACTTTGAGTTTGGGCTTATTTTGTCTGATTTGACAAGCCTAACACGTTAGAATTCTTACTTTGCTACTACTGTCTACACTAAAAAGGGAAAAATAAAAACTTTTTAACAAAAAAATAAAAACCGACTTCAAACAAAAGCACTAAAAAGTAAAAAATAAGTGATTGGTAGTTTTCATTTACTATACATACCTAATCAAATATTTTCGAAGTCGGTGTGCTTTGGCTAAGTAATTAAAGCCTACCTATTAAAAACATACCTAATCAAATATTTTCGAAATCGGTGCCAGCCCATACAAAGCAAAGCACACCGACTTCGAAAATATTTGATTAGGTATGTATAGTAAATGAAAACTACCAATCAGTTATTTTTTACTTTTTAGTGCTTTTGTTTAAAGTCGGTTTTTATTTTTTTGTTAAAAAGTTTTTATTTTCAATGGGTTTCATCCTACTATTATTTTTTTTGTTTCAAAAATTATCGACCCTGGTCTATTGGTACTATGCATTATTGGGGGTTTAAGTTAGAAATATACAATGTTTAATTTCTTCCAACATAGTTATAAGAGCTTTTTATGATTTTTGCTACTTAGTATTACAAGTAAATAAAGATTAAAAGATTATTACTTTTATATAAACCCATCATATCAAGTTATTTCAATGCATCTATAATACAATAATCATTGTATACAAGATGAATTATTTTTTACTATTTCATTATATGCTAAAAAAGAAAACCTTACTTTGTAGGAAATAAACACCTCATAGAGGTATAATCCCAAAATCATAAACATTATTACATGCTTGTGAGATAAATGTTTCCATAACCAAAATATTGTAAGAACTCCTGCTATAATACTTGTAGCCCAGGTTATCTGCATCTGAAATCAAAGAGTTATGCTACATATAAATATAGGTAGTAAACTAGAAATATTATTGAATATAAATGATTTTATTAAATGAACTACTTTGGCAAGTGAAAATTAAAATTAAATATTAATCAAAAATATTACCTTATATTCAATTAAATAGTACTGAATATATTCACTCCATGCCATAGCAATTTTTTGTGTAATAGTTGGCTTATATATAGCATCCTCTACATAACCCATAGAACGCCTAAACATATCTTCTGAGAGAGGTGTGTTAGATTTAATATAATCTTCAAGTGTACTCCATTTCTCAGGACTGTAATTCATTTGTAAGGCAACATCAATGCTTCCATCTTCGTTTTTCTAAAGAAAACGTTAAGCAGTTTTAAAGAAGCAAACCAATACAATTTAAAGAATAAATTAATTAAAAACATATTTATATTCACCTTTATTTGTCCGCCTTTTAAAACAATGGCTAAAATTCTTTTGTAAAACCATTCTCCTGCGCCTATATTGTTAGTCTGGGGTTTCTTTGAAGGAAGAGTTTTAAGGTCTGGGGGCACATTTTCTTCGATTTTCATCGTATTTACATTATTAACGTAGTCCCACGGATCTGGGCCCATTTGTATATCACATGTTATCCATGCGATATTAGTTAGAAATATTAAAGAAAAAAATTGAATACTCATGCTTAATAACAGTTTTTCGCTCTTTATTTACAGTTTACCTATTATTTTTTAAATGTTGTACTTATTGCCGTTTTGTAATTTAAATTTTTTGAATGAAATTGAAATATAAACATGACAAAAGACAATGCCCACAGTGGCACAGATTATTTAACGAAGAAAATGACATCATATTTGATATTTCATAAGTGTTGCTCTATTTATAAATTATAAGCTAACAGCTTACTTGCCTTGGTTTGTTTGTGACGCAAAATAGATAATAATGTAAATTAAAGACAATTAAAAACTATATTAATTAAAATTTAAAACATGTGATTTAATACATAAAACAAAAGAACATTTCTAAAGTTTTTTTGTAGCTTCGTAAATTTTAGAATGGGTAGTTCGCAGTCTATACATTAATATTATGCCTGATCCACACGCTTGTCAAGCTTCGTCAAGACATTCACAAATGGGGAAGAATTTTGTCTTTTTCTCCCGCCAGATGTCGCGATCACTATAGCCATCAGTAAACTGTAAAGCTCTATAATGTGAATAGATTTTTTAAATTTTATTTAAAATTTAATTAAAATGACAAATTGTACAGTGCCAGGTTGCAAAGAAAATGGATATTGTTTGTTCCTAAAAGACAAAAACTGATGAAATTGTGGGCTAAAGCGTTATGGCGACCAAAATTTACGAATTTACAATCTTTATATCTATATGGACATTATTTTGTATACATTGATTTTGAAACTGTTAAATCGTCTCCATGTGAATATTTTATTATTTTTATTTTTTGTACTTTTTTACATATTAATTACAGAGTCTCATACAAAACTTTCAACACCCACTAACTTTTTTGATTGTTTTTTTTGGGATGAATTTAGAAAAATGCAAAAACATGTATTTATTTAATTGTATTGAAGAGCATTAATACCAAGTTTCAAATAATTCTGATCATAATTAATTCTTTGCCCTTATAAACTTTATTACCTGTTTAAGGGATTAATTCCAAAAAAAAAAAACACATAAATATATTTCTTATTTTTATCCTAAAGCTAAACACCACTTATATTTCACATTAAGAATCGCAGACTTTCATACAATTTTTAGTCCCCTATTTTACCCACTTAGGGGATGAATTTCGAAAATCCTTCCTTATCGGATGCCTACATCATATAAGGAATACGTCCTCTAAATTTCATGTTTCTACGACCAGCGGCTTAGGCTGCGTGTTGATCCATCAGTCAGTCAGGACCATTGCACGATGCAAGTCTCCTTATCAATTCTTTCTTCGTCTGGTCTAAGTTTTAATTCCCAGGTACAATACATGACACAGGTAAGATGCGAACACAATAAAAGCAAATAACCAGGTATAAAAGAGATATCACAAAACTTAACCTCAGACTGACAATGAATGTAAATAGGCCATACGTGTGGCGTCCTTCTTTCAAGAAATGTTCCCCATTTTACTTTGTAGGCTGTTCAGATACGTCTTTAGTCAATTTAGAAATTATTAAAAGTAATCTGTTGTATTTTTTTTGCTTTAAAACTTAATTTTCAAAATTCAAAGCAAAGAGTGCAATAATAATAGAGTATTTATATACTATTTACAGTCTATATAATTTATATGTATTATTTATGCGTAGTATTTTTATATTCACATAATATTATAAATGCGAAAGTAATTCTGTCTGTCTGTTACCTTTCCATGCTTAATCCGCTGAACCGATTTAGATTATATTTGGTATGGAGATAGTTTGAGACCCTGGGAACGACATATGATAGTTTTTATCACGGAACCCACGAAATTCCTTAGGGGAGTGAAAACGGCGATGAAAGTTTGTATGGGGAATCATTTCTCAAGTAAGGGATACATATATTTTTTAATTTTTAAAGTAGGTACTTACTTTTCTATACCCTATGTATGTACATATATATGGTTCATTCTACACCAACCGTGAAAACGCACCCAGGGACGAACGAGCGTGAGTCGCTAGTAGTCTATAGCCTCTATTTTGTAATGACAGCAAAGAAAAGCCGAAAGACAAATTATTGACCATAAAGAACTATAAACTATTACGTAGTATATTATTATATGATCATTGATCTGTGCTATTACTAAAGGTGTTATTGACATTAACACTTGACAGAAGATGCCAAAATCAAATGCCAATCGGCAATCATAAAATTCAAATTTTTAGTCTGAACTGAGTATTTTTTTAACATTAAGAAAAGAAAATACATAAAGAAGAATATTTTCAGCAGTAAAATGTCTTCTATAGATTTTGACCCATCGATAAAGTTATGTCTAAAATATCTACATTCGAGCGCTTCTGATTCAACAGAACAATTGCGTTTAACTCTTGATGATGTGATTCGGCAGACGTATGGTAATTCAAAGACGCTTGGAAATGTATTACCGAAAAAGTACCTTAACGAAGAGAAAATGGAATCACCATCCAGATCTAAACACAAAAACGAGAAAAGTTCCAGCAGTGCAAAAACTGTTGCCATACCACAACAAAGTCCTCAACAAATACAAATACCAGAGAGGGAGAGTGATGATGGTTCTGTTATGGACTTTGACTTCTTACAAGAGGATTTAACCTGTGTAGTTTGTAGGCAAATAGCTGTGCAAGCTGGAAATCGTTTAGTAGAATGTGACGCTTGCCATGCTTTGTATCACCAGGTAATTTTTATAAATAAATGCAGTAGTATAATTTGTTTCTAATAATATTTATATATTTTTTATTTATAGGATTGCCACAAACCTGTTATAAGTGATAATGACATGTCCTCTGGTTGGCAATGTGCATCATGTTTATCATCTCAGGGATTTGCAGCTGGTTTTTCAAACAAGTCATCATCAGTATCCAAGTCCCCTTCTCATATATCTGGATCTACTACTCCAGTTAAAATATCTTCTAGCAGCTCTTCATCGTCTTCACCATCTAAAGTTGTAACTCCAAATATCAATATAGTGTCTGCAGACAAAAGAATACAAATAATGAAAAAGAAAGCTGCCAAACAACATGAGAAAAAGAAAAGCAAATAAAATTAACTTATAATGTTTGTTTTTCATTTAAACAAAATAGTTTTTACTTATATATTTAGTAGTATTTCAGAATTTAAAATTTTTTACAGTCATTAAAAACATAGGTCTGTCATGAAAAAGTTTTATAATCATTCTATGTATAACATGTAGGATTTGACATTTATATTCCATTTATAAGCTTTTAATGGTATCAAAGCAGAGAACAATAATTTTTATACCTAACATAGCTCATTTACTTTACCTTAAGAAACTTATGCCAATTTGAAAAGTTTTGTAGAGAGAATAAAATATGCCAGACAAGTGTTTAATTTGCATAAGCACATATGCGTATATGCCTCAAGAAGTTCAGCTAATTAAAATATAAGATGTAATAAGAGTGAAAATTCATTATTACATTTATTTTAAAAAAATGTTGGCACCTTTAGTGAGGAGGAACCGGGTGAACGTTTCCTGGTTCCTGCAGATGTAATTCCAGACTTACGTCTTACATACGTGATGAAAGAAGGTTGAAGCCAGTTGGGACGCCACCACGACGCCAGACTTGCTAGATGAAACGGAGATGAAGTGCAAAATTTATAAACGAAATCCGTATCCGCAATAAACGCGTTTTAAGTTTTTTATTGAAAAATAATTTTTTTTTTAGCTTTATTTATACCTTTATCTTAAAGTTTATAGACTAAATAAAACTTGAAGAATAATTAGAATTATTCTATAAAATTTTTTGTTTTATATTCAAAATTTAAACGCAATGTCATTCATAGGTATCTATCTAGTTAATGTGACGTGGTGACTGGTGTATAATCATACAAATATCGTTATTAATACTAGCGCATATTATTATACTCTTTGTACTAGCGAGTTGTGTCGTCTGAAGGCGGCTTTTAGGGTGCGCCCCTAGGTACTTTTTAAATGGATAATAAAATTAAAAATTTTAAGTGACCCCCGACACAAAAAAAACCCTCGTAAAATTAAAAAAAAAACTTTCTTGGCCTTTTGACTTAAAGTACCTACCTAATATCTATTAATATTTTTATGATGAGAGTCGCCGCGTCGGGGTACCGCTATTACTTTATCATTAAGTATCAATCTTTTTATTTGTATTCTGGTTTTTGTTTAAACTACTTAGCCTTGAGCCTATTGAGAGTATTCTTATGAGCCTAAACACGCTTAATCTGCTGTAAGTTTCTAAAGAATTGAGCATCCCGCAGTCTATTTGATGCTACAGCATCAGCTCAAGGATAGTATGTCTTCAAAATACAATCGGAGTAACAGTACACCAAACTTCAAATCAATCGGGTCTGTGAAAGTTAGTAAGACCCTTTTGTTAAGAAGGAAATGAGCTGATGATCATCAGTCGCCTAAACAGATCTTTATAAATTATAGCTAAGAACGAACCATCTCGATTACGTCAGCTTTCAAGCAAAAAACTGCATCAAAATCGGTCCGTTTGTTTAGGAGCTACGATGCCACAGACAGACACATGAAACTTATAACACCCCTCTTTTTGCGTCTTGGACTACTTGGCTATTGCGAGTGTACCTACCTTAGAAGATAGACTATATGCTATTGCGGACTTTTCTGTGGGCTTTTTGACACCTAGTTACAATATTCTAGTACAGTAAAAGCTCCTTCCTTATACGCGGGGTAGGTATACCTACGTTCCTTAATAATATACCGTGAATACTGAAACCGTAAACATGGGATGGTGGTTTGTATAGAAATGTAGGGATTGCTTTCCAAGGTATTCTATACTATAATAAAACTGTTGAGGTCGAATGTCTGTACATGGAAAAAAAATACTAAAAACCGAGCTAGGGGGATGTAAGAAAACAAATAGAACAAATCAAGATTTTTTCATTTCTCTTTTTCTTTGTCTGTTTTCCTGTTTGTACGGGCTAATCTCCGAATCTATTGGACTGATTTAAATGAAATTTTGCATGGTGTTACCTTATATCCCCGGTCAACATCTTAGATAATTTACATTACGGAAAATTAAAGAGTTCCCGTGGGATAGTTAAAAAACTATAGTAGGTAACTTATACAGCTTAGTACACACAAGCGCGGATTAGGGGGTCATGACCCCCCCCCCCCAAAGCCAAATAAATAAATATACTTTTTAAGAAAGGAAGGAATTAACGGATAAACATTTCGATTTAAAAAAAATGGTTATTATATGTATTTTGAAGATTATATTCCCCTAGTTTCATGAATATCAAAAAGTTTTTGCAGAAATCTATATACATAAATTCGTTGGCTCACTATTACAAGGTTCTATGTTAATTTTAATGAAGTTTAGTAATTTTTACATAGAACTTCGTTATTTTGTTACCGTAAAAAAAAACATAGAACTATGTAAAATTGAATATTTTGTAGTTATAGTGCCGCTATCTAGTGGTTTGTTTCTGCAAAACTGTAGCTAATGACACATAGAACCTTGCAGCATTAATAACTAAATAAGTACTAAAATTGTAACATAGAACCTTGTAATAATGAGCCAACGAATTATAATAAAATTGTAACTAAGTTGAATCTGTACATTAAACATTTTTTGGAAAATCTAATTGAAATAGATATTATTATCGATACAGAGTCCGAATCTATAGTTTTTAGAATTTTTGTCTGACTGTCTGTCTGTTACCGCATCACGAGAAAACCACTGGACAGATTTTGATGAAATTTATATAAAGAATATTTTTCGATAAGATGTCACAACGAGGCAGAAATTAACCCCCCCCCCCCCCCCCAAATAGAAAATTAGATCCGCGCCTGGTCAGATTTTGCTAAGTTACTGTTTTTACACCTAATTTAGTAAAATTTGGCATGCTGATAAACAACAAGTTACTTTTCATCCCGGAAAATCCCGTACAAAAACAGAGAAACATAAAAATTGAAATAAACTGGATTTGTTCTACTTCTCTTCTTACACCCCCCTGACTCGGTTATTAGCAATTTTTTTCTATGTACACACATTCGACCTCTACAATTTTATTACGTAGGTATATGTATAAGTAGATACTTATAAGACACATTACTTTTACAAGTTCGGCACATTAATTGCTCATAAATATCTTGTTTCTTACAAAACCCTATCCACTATATTTGCTAACGATACCTATACTATAAGCAATTCTATCAAGTATATGTACCTATAATTGTATTAAAATATCACTTTGTAGCTTTTATAAGCTGAAATACAAGCCAAGAGCTACACTGTAGTTTCCGTTGTTTTTCCAACAGCGTATTGTAACCAATGGGGTGTGTTGTGGATTCTGATTGGTGGATATTTTAGCGAGGGCGGATTGGGATAGATCGGATGCTGCGAAGACTTCAGGAACTTAACTTTATCTCCTATAATATGGGGTCGAGGTTCATATGGATACATGTAATTAGTAGCAACGCCTACCGACTTCATGTTTCGGAATAAACAATCAAAGCTTATCGATAGTTTCAGGGCGGAGTGTTGTGTGGGCGGCCGATTTTGTTAAAACTTGTGATTTGTATCATAAAACAATTATTTTAATAGTTACTATAATTACTCTAGCAATAAAATATATGTTAAAGTAAAACAAATAGAGAGAGATTTTACACATACAGTGAATATCAAGACACGCAGTAGCATGTCCAGCCAAGTTTGAAGCCAAAGGAACTGGTATACACCATATGGATTGTGATACTGCAGTTTTACACTTGTTCCTATTCAATTGATTAATTCCAATAATTATTAAATTGTTTTATCGAAATGAATAGTGGTAAAGCTCGGGTCCCAAAGTGTGCGAGATGTCGAAATCACGGTCTTATTTCAAGTCTTCGAGGCCACAAAAAGGCTTGCGCTTATCGAGACTGTCAGTGTCCGAAGTGCGGCTTAATAAAGGAACGACAAAGGATTATGGCTGCTCAGGTTAGTATTTTTAAGAAGAATATTGTGATATAAAATGCTGTGTAGGCATTAAGTATATGAAACGAAAATCTTATAGGTATTTTACATTGTAACTTGTACTTAATATTTAAATAAATACCTATACTCATTTTAATTCTTTAAATAAATAGGTAATTTATGATAGGTATCATTTATTAATATACCTACCACTTATACCAGCTCTATGCTCTACTAAACCTACCAGTACTAGACCTCAGATTTTTTTTTAAATTTGAAAATAGAAAATGGGAGCTTATATAGAACTAGCATTGCCCGCGGCTCCACCCGCGTTCAGATGACCAAAAACCAAATTCTTAGGTTTTACATATTAGCATACTTACATTGCAGTTTTTGTATTTTTTTCCCAGAAATGAGACATTTTCCCGCGGTAAAAAGTATCCTATATATTGACCCGGATAACCAGCTATCACCATACCAAATTTCATCAAAATCCCTCCAGTGGTTTTTCTGTGATGCGGTAACAGACAGACAGACAGAAGGACAGACAAAAATTCTAAAAACTATACATTCGGCCTCTGTAACGATAATAATGTTTATTTCAATAAGATTTTCCAAAAAATATCTAATGTACAGATTCGGTTTAGTTACAATTTTATTTTAAGTATAGATACCTATAGATAACCAATACTATGTTAGGTACATACATAGATATTCTATTTAACAATGAGCCTATATAATTTAACAAGTACCTATCTATACCTTTGTACCTACGCTCTTCAATTTTTTTGATACGTTAGGTTCAGTAGCAAGCTTCAAGATGACCTTTTATATAATTGTCTGCATCAGGGAACTCCTCAATTTGTGATGTTTTTGTATCTAATTTACCATACCCTTACGTTGAGTGTTATGAGTTGTAGTTTTTTTTGAGTGTTATTAGTTACATAATTATTGTAAAAAAAGTGTTGTTAAACCTTTATCCATATATAACTTTACCGATTGCAATCGAATTATAATAATCCTCTTTGTAATGAAAACGATCTGAATGAAAAATTAACGTTCATGAGTAAAATAATAATATCTAAGATGATTTTTAAGGGATTTAAGGACCAAATGAGACTTCTCTTCAGTCAATCATGATTCAGTTGACTTGATTAGTGCACCTACGCCATGAGTTGTGTAATTTTGCGAGATGGGCGTCATTAGCATTGGTTCGCAAGTTGTCTAGGGGAAGGAAACCTTCAAAATCAATGTTAGAACTGTATTTCTTTAGGCGCAAGTAAGTTGCAAGCTGAAATAGGTTGATATATGCGCATGGATTTAAACACCCAAGTCAAGGTGAGGCCGTGCCGAAGGCTGAATGGCATCGGATGTATGTATTAGCGTTATGTCGTGATTCGTGAATATACCACCTCAGGGCACCAGGACGATATCTGTTGTATTATGAGCTCTTCCCCTTATAGAAAATGTTTTTTATTATTAATTTATTTAAAAATAATAATTTTTAATCGCACAGAAGTACCTACCTAACTTTTATGACGATCTCATTATTTTAAGTTTAAGTTTAGGATTGCCGGAACATATTGGTTACCTAATTCAGAAATAACACACACCGTGAAGGCGTTAATGTGTTTTAATGTAGTGAAATCGAGACCAGCTAATGCGCTGCCGAGTTTATTTAAACAAGTGGCACATGTTTACCGCGGACGCCGGATGAAACATCGATCGGTTTGTTCAGTAATGCATCGCTGTCGATGTCCTACCACTTTCATCCTAAATTTATTAGCTGGCAAAGTATTTTTTTTATTATGTAGGTACGTTTAGATAGGTTTAATTTTGAAATATTTCAAATTGGGGAAAACGATTTGTGAATAACAAAATTTAATACCTACATAAGTTATAAGTTTGGCTCTTACTTCTGATTGATTGATAACTCGGCTGTTATAAAATTACTAATAAAAATAACAATACATACTATTAAAATCTGCGAGTAAAAAATTCAAGAAGAGGCATTTAATTTATTAAGTTTCTTAGAAGGTTTCAATGTTAATTTTGACTTTCATCAATAAAAACTCGGAAGTTATAAATATTCCACGTAGGTTTTTATTTGATTTGCTGCGATCGAGTTCTGTTTTCGTTTTCAATGAGGTGGCGATCGCCCCGGGAGTGACGTCCCGTCTCAATCCCCTGGGTGACCGCTTACCAAACACAAACAGTGTCTGTTTGTGATTGATTTCTCGCTAAATTAATTTATATATCAGCTTACCGGTCTACTCGCTCAATGTAGTGAAACAATAGTAGGTAACTAAATAAATTACGGTGATATCTATTTGAAAGATCTATTTCATACTTATTTCAGTAGCACGTGTTTAAATTTTATACCGTATTCATTTTAGATACATATAATAAAATTTGAATTTTTTTCTCTGTTCGTCCGATTTTCTGTATGTGTGTTTTTCACGCAAAAAGTATTGAACAGTTTAGAATACATTTTGATACAGAAAAATCTTTTATTACCAAGAGAAAACACAATAACTGGTTTTGTAAAGTCGTCCTTAGAAAGTTGTAGGTCTTAAAAAGTTTTACAGAAAAGTCTGTAATAGCATGTGCTCGTGATAACTATTTTTATCTACATATGTACCCTATACGTGTGTTATTAATTATTATGTATTTTTAACTGTGTAAGTCGCTACTTATTTCTAATAGGTATTAATTAGGTACTGATATTTTTTATTTTCCCCATGGTAAATGGGTTTGGATAGGAGAATATAAAAACTTTGACGTAACTAACATGTCTATAATTTGCACATGTGCAGAAAATTTTATGCATTGTCAATATTCCATGAAATGAGAAATATTTATATTACTCACTCTCTTTGCTCGGGTTCGTCCCTAGGTTGCTTCCCCATACAAACTTTCACCCCCTTAAAGGATCATTTACGGGATAAAACTATCCTATGTCCTTCCCAGGGTCTCAAACTATCGTCTTACTAAATTTCATCTAAATCGGTTCAGTAGTTTCGGAGCCTATTCGATACAAACAAACAAAAAGAAAACAATTTTTTTCTCTTCATAATATTACTAAAGATTCCACAAAGTGTAAGAAGCCTATCACAAAATATACTGCATTCTATGATATTGAGTTCGAGCGGCCGATGCGTCGCTGTTTCTAGCATTTTCCGCAGTTGTAATCACTTCTATCATCTATGTAAAGTTTTATAATAAATTATAAAAAAAAAGTATGTAATTACGTTTCTTTTGAACTGACGTATATTCTGGTATAAATTTTACTTAATAATATTCATGTTTTTAAGAGTTTTTAAGATTTTGAAAATGAATTTTTTTTTGTAGAAATCCAATACATATTTTCAAATTCCGAGACCGCTATAAACTCAAACCACTATATACGATAATATATTATTATATATTTATCATTTCATTTGCTTAGTAATTCAATCCATGAGCTTGAAAAAGTGCCGTCGCGCATTTTATTACAAAACTTGCTTCTGAATTTTCGCTTTATTTCAATTAATAATGAAAATTTGCGAAAAGCGAGGCCACTATGAACCATATTAATAACTATTCTCCACCATACAATAACTCAAAATTGTTGAAGAGTTTCAGTTTCTCTGAATAAGAACGTCAAGGATGGGTATTAAATTGAACAATCACGGTCATAATGTAATAGGCCTCTTAAAACACATTACATATATATTTTTATGGTACACATTCTAATTTTAAATTCATTGTACCTAACGTTAAAATAAATCACTTAAAATCAGATAAGATCAACATAAAACAAAACTATTAAAAGATCATATTTACGAAGATACTTTTTTCGTTCTATCAATTACGCAATAAAGTAAATTCAAAAGAATTTATTATTTTAAAAGGTCGCCCTAAAAAGACAGCAGGCTGCAGAAGATAAAATTGCTCTACATTTAGCTTCAGTGGAAAGTGGCACGGCAATGGAGACATTGCCTCCAGGCCGCATATATGGTATGCGAGTCACCGGCCCATGTCCAAGCCCTGGCCCGGAGCCAGATTCTGCTGTGGATGATCAAACTGTAAGTTCAAATGTGATAGTTTAAACAACCCTTAATTTAATAAAATATATTTGCATAGTCGCTAATGTGAGCTTTTAATTATTAAATAGTAGATACTAGATTAATACAATAAAATCAGAACCCAAGTTCTTTATAATACTTTTGTACAGATTATAGAAAATATTGTTAAAAATAAACATAATTATATTTTAGCCGATTCACATCGACAGTGAGACAAGTGATTCACTACCAGATTGCTGCAGCGTAACTCCGGACTCCGTCGGAAATGTCAATATTGGATTACGATCATGGTATCTTCGCATTAATTATTATATTTGTTTTATTCTATAACTATACTTAAAACCAGTAATTTTAATTATTATAATATTCGAAATAAAAATTATATTACTTTTAGTATAAACTAATTAGTTAATAAAATTTTAGCGCAGCAGTTGACGAAAGCACAAGTAACGTAAGCTCGGCTGGACTAGAAATGTTGCGGAAGCTTTTTCCAGGGAAGAAGCGTTCTGTATTAGAATTGGTGCTTCGCCGTTGCAATCACGATCTTTTAAGAGCTGTAGAACATTGTAATGCCATACATGTGAGTGTATGTACATTGTATTTACATGTTCATTTTTCCGTCTTCATATTTTGTTTGTAAGATTTTTTTTCGCTTAATAATTTAATGTTAAAATTTCATTTTTATATTTTAATATAATAGATAATGTTGGATAGCCGAAAAAATTACAATTTTTGGGAAATATAATTATTATAGTGTTAATTTTTGTTCTCGTCTGGTGAGATAACAATATACCACAGAAAGATTTTTTTGTGTCAATTGTGAATATAAGCTATCTCGATTTCGTTTTTTACTCATATTAATATCAACTAATGAAATAAGCATGAATGAAATAAGTGTTTTTTTTTATTGACATTATATATATTTTTTAATTTCATGAATTACTTTGCAGGCTCAACGTGATAAATCAATGCCTAGTGTGAGCTCTACTTCAACTATTAGATTCGAGACGGTATCTAGTTCTGAAGAAGTTGAATCTAGATGGTCTGCATTCCGACCAGTTGGCCCTCGAGCACCATTGCTACCAACATTAGTGATGGGCCGAGTTTGTGGATCAGAGTGGTTGGTACCACTGCCCGCACTACCAGCATTATCTGCTCCCTTATTATTACCGCTGCCACATCCACCGCCTACATCTTGTGCCCCAGATTGTAGACAATGTAATAGCCACCATTGAATGCCATATTAATTTAGTGAAGTCGTATATAATGTACGTACCTACATATTCTTGTTGAATATTTTATGTTATTCAAAGGTATTAAACTGTTTTAAAACATTTATCGCCTATAATGATTAATATATTAAAATATAATAAATGTATAACAAGATTCCTTCACATTGAACAGCCTTAAGTAGGTATTTTCATTATTCAATTTTCTGAAGCTACCTCTAGAATCTAGATATACACATTGACAAATCCTTATTCTATATTAATAGCACTCAATAATTATTATTTATTCCCTCCTAATTTCCTATAGGACGAGAGACGTGATAAAAAACCTACATATTTAGATATTTAAATGGGTCTAATTTAAAAAAGAAATTTTAAGTTATAGGTATAGAATTCGTTTCATCTTATTGAAGAAAATATTATTTTTTTAGCCGACGGTGTTATCTCCAGGGATAGATATTGATTGACAATTAGTATTTTCACTAGAAATCGTTTGTAGCGTATTTAAATAATCTAACTTACTTTAAATAAATACATACTCGCATGTAAGTTAGGTAACCATGATATAAACTTTTTTTAAATATATCATATTTAAATAATTCGTTGTAACGCAGCAACAGGGGGCGATGGATCAATTTATTTTTTATTTTTTTTCGAAATTTAGTTTAGAGTCGAAGTTATAACTGATCTATAAGCTCACATTTCAACCCAGTACATAGAGCAGTTTTTCTGGAATATTCATTTATTGTAAAATAATTTTTAGTATTCTTAAGGCGCCTACCAATTAGAATTATTTCAAACTTGAAAAGGGTTAATTTTTTGGTCTCTTTAAGTCGCATTTTTTAATAGAAATAAAACGTATGTACATATTTGCATATAATATACAAATTTTCTTGATCATATCGTGAGGAGACAATCCTGGCTGCAGTACTGAATAAATATTAGTTTACATGTGAAATTAATGAAACTAATATATATATATATATATATATATATATATATATATATATATATATATATATATATATACTATAACGAAAGTAATATTATGTGCTACTTAATAATTTTTGTCACATCAGTTCATTTTTATTTGATGAGGTATTCATATTTTAAGCAGTTGATAAATTTTATGGGTACAATGGTTTACAATAAGTTACCTTAAATTTTGTATAACTTTCTTTAAGTCAACGACGGATGAGTTGATGTACGCAGATGTTATGAGACATTTATTGAGCAACATATGAATAGTGATTCTGTTTCAACAATACCATGGTGTTTTTTATTTAAACGAAATGTTTTACAGTGTTATTAGGTATTATTGTAAATATATTAATGTACCTAATATTTAAATTAAATGTGTATAACAACATTTAATCTTTTAATTCAGACGATACCTATAACTTTTTATTTATGATTTTCTTCCTGCTGGAATGCTAATTCAGTGTATAGGTATATGAAAATATTTAAAAATATGCAATTTTTGAATTGAAATTGTTTGCAATGTAATATTTTTTAGAATCTTTAAATAAAATTAGTAAGTAATGTTCAGAAACTAATATCCCGTTGGAAATATTCGCCTTATTACATATAATATTATGAATTATAGTTTAGTAATTCTATCTCTCGAGACAATGAAGATAGCTTAGTAAATTAATATATATGAGTTAAATAAATAGAATCTTGGACCCTTCATGCTGGAAGCTATTATCACGGACAATAACAAATTCGTGACAGTAATATAAATGAAGACAGATATCTGTGGCACAGGCCAAATACTTTGTATAAATATTGCAGTGTTTATTCAATTTGTTAACTTGTAGAAACAATAAAAATTTAACATTCATTACCATTCATATTCATTACCATTAATTTATTTTAGTCCATATGAGGTTATGAAATAAACAAAGGAAAATATTATGTAAGAGGATAAAAAGGAACAACATTTTTTTGTAAGTTTATATTAACTGCGACTACTCTTACGAACTTGTTGGAAATTACCTAATCCATATTGTGGTATGATTAGTAGTGTATGATTAGTAAAAAATCTTAATATCATAAATAAAAACTTAAAACAAATTCGAAAAAAACGAGATAATTTTTTTTTGTTTCTCGTGCTTTAATTTCATTTTTTAGCATGTGAAATTTAAGGAAAAAAATATTAAGTTCGTTAATATTCATGTTAAGAAGTTGCTCAAATAGATATAAAGTACTCGAAAACTTAAAAAAATTGTAGCGACCTCTAAATATTAAAATTTTGACTTGAAATTTTCAGGATCTTCATAATTTTTCATGTAAAAAGAAATGAAATTACGAGAAAAAGCATTTGAACAAAAAAAAAACGATTTTTGAGGATTTAGGAAATTTAAAAAAATCTCTTAAAACATAGTAAACTAACATATTTTCACACGAGACATGAAAAAAAAAAATCCTTTTTTTTGGGTCGCCCTAATATATATATATATATATATATATATATATATATATATATGTATAAATATATTTATATATATGTATATATATATATATATATATATATATATGTGTGTGTGTGTTTTCTGTTTCTGATCAGACAAACCGCCGAGCGAATATCGGACGCCCAGGCACTATTTAATTTATAAGCAAAAAGCACAAATATACATTTTGATTTCTGAAACCCAAAAGGAACATTTACTTACGTACGAGTATCTACACCCAGCAATGCGGGCGGTGACGGCTCATTTATAATAAGTAGGTACAAAGAATAAATAAATATATTTCTAACTTTCAATTAATAGAATTTGAATTACCTACTAAATATTCGTGTCATACAAAAGTTCATTGAATTGTTAATCAACTTGTACTGCGCTTGGTATTCATGTTTAATTACCGGTATATGTAAAATTGGTACATATAGTGTAAAATTGGTTTTAGTTACAATCGTTATTTCTAACTTATTTACAATGTTATGTTTTTTTGTTCTATTAGTGATAATTTTTTTGTACATGTTTTGTGATGTGAATTATGTGATTAGAACTACTTTCACAGTAATAAGTAGTCGTTTCTACCAACGTAAATATTCATTGAACGCCGTTACTACCATTTATGGTAAGTAATATTCATGATTTTGTATTTAGCCTTTTTTAATGTTACACGGCTGGGCAAGAACCTGCGCTCACGCATATGACGAGGCATTCCCCCTCATCAGGCCGAAGTTCACCACGCTGGCCAAGTGTGCATTGTCGGACTCCATATATATTTCGGAAAACTGCTAGAATCTCTCAGACATGCAGGTATGTTCAGGAGTTTTCGTTGAGGTGAGTTGGTAATGATGAAAATGATTCGTACATGAAAAAATCAGATCAGAGATACAAGACTCGGGATTTGAACCCGCTTCACATGGTATCCGAAGCAAGCGCGTTATCCTTGGGTTACCACTGGCTTTATACTCATGGCATAGGACATTAAAGACATTAAATGAAGGCAGGTGAGACTTCCTTTAGACATACAATTAATGACTTATAGCATGTACAAAGAAAAAAATAGTGGCAATAGGTACGTTTAAAATATTTCAACTGTGTTTCCTGTTATATTCAATTTTGGTTGTTATTTATTTTGTGAACTATTTGAATATGTTATTAATGATATTTATTTGTTAATTTAAAAATTTGCACTAGTTTCATAAATATATCATAATTTTTTTGTCTTAATAGGTATATGCACATTTCAAGATTGTGATGTGTTCTTCAAAGCTATACGCATAGCGAGAATTATTCGAGAACTTGACTTTGCAAGATATCATTTCTATGACCGAACTGGTATTTATGATCGCAGTAGAGAAGTTGGTATACGATCACTACAAGGATCCACTTTAACAGTGTCTTTTGACATTGTACCTTTGTTTGTACCATATAAAATAAATACTAAGGTGCTAAAATATATTAATTTCAGAATAGTAAAATTATATTTTAAAATATTAAATAAAAACCAATCGTTAGATATTCCAGTCAGTTAGTCATCCTTTTATTTTAATTAACTCTGAAAAACATTGAAAAGAAATATTCAATAATTTAACTTCATATTTTATGATTTCGACTTCAAGAACATTCTAAAAACAAAATATATATTATTATTTTGCAGTTAGTGTACTGGGATGAAAGGTCTTTATTCCTTGAGCATGAAGTGATAACGTTACATGATGGGAAAATGCGGTGTTTAGTCGTCTCCCGCCAATTTGCGCTACCAATTACAAATAACTCTAGTAAAGAAACTACTGTCAATCTTCTTAAATACTTACCAGGATCGTCTAGAACCCCTCAATGTCCACAATATATTAAAGAATGGTTGTTAAGTATGAAAATTAACAGTGAGAAATTAAAAAAGATGTCGATTTAAAATTTGTTTTTTATTTTTTATTTAATCCTCGTATTTACACGGCCAGGATGAAGTTAATACTATTTTCTTACCTAGGTATAAAAATGAATACATGTACATTTTTATATATTTATTTATTTATAAAAAGCAAATTCGAGTTAGTTACCCCATTTATAACTCAAGAACGTATGGACCGATTTTTATGATCTTTGATTTGTTAGATTTATTTCCACCCCGCATAGCAGAATAACTATTAAAACATCAGAAAAATGGACGAAAAAAGTTACATGATATTATAATATAATTATAGTTATAATATTATTATAAAATTACATTATTGCTGGTTTATAACTTTTTATATCTATTTAAAACGTACCTAAGGAGTAGGGACGCCCCAGAGCGAAGCGAGCCTAAGTCGTTAGTTTGACATATAAAAGAAAACCTGTTGGAGGTAGCAGATTCGACAATCTATCAATAATAGGTATATAATTATTTTGGTCTGCTTAGAAACCGCCAGCTAACGCGCATTTTTTACAAACTTCTTGCAAATGTTTGTTAGTTGTTATGTTTCTATGGGTAAAATCTTGCTAGCTGAATAAAACTATTTCTTCTTATCCTACAAAGATGAAGCTTTACATGTTGGTTCGGTTACGACAATGACTTTTATGAGAATTATGACCTGGTTCTTCATCTAGGATTAAAGACGAATCAACTTCAAGAACGCTCAACAACAACAACAGTACCTACAGTCACGCAATTTGATATACCTACGCATTCAATTATTATCGCCCGTTCTAGAATATACAACGAATTTTCTTCTGTGTCCAGGATTAGCTCACTCGTACTCGTAGGAACAAAATGGAAAAAATGTAACATCAACACAAATTAAACCTATATATAACCAAGGAAGATAAATAATAATAAATAAATAAAATAATAAATAATTTTTGTCTGTCTGTTTGTTGCCGCATCACGAGAAAACCACTGGACAGACTTTGATGAAACTTGGTATGATGATAGCTGGATATCCGGGTTAACATATGGGATACTTTTTACCGCGGAAAAATATCTCATTTCTGAGAAAAATTCAAAAACTGCAATGTAAGAGTATACTAATATGTAAAACCTAAGAATTTGGTTTTTAGTCATCTAAATGCGGGCGGAGCCGCGGGGAATGCTAGTACAAAATAAGTATATAATAGTGCGTGTTATTAAAGATAGACAACACTAGACTAACAATGTAACGCTACTATAGATAATACTTATGTATGTAATATGTATAGATAAACAGCTTTAATCTGTATATACCTATATATTTTAAGAGTATAAATATCTAATCAAATTATTAACTAGACGTAAAAAATTAAAATGTATAATTGATAACAATATAGCAGTATATTTTTATTTTTATCTATCGACCCACTTAATGCTTTTGTGTATGCCTACTCATTTTTGATAGATTTTATGTTTTTTTAAAACCTACGTACAATCCAATATAATCAACTATAATCCATAATCTAGAATCTAGCCGTAGTTGTCATATAAGTATTTTTTATGTTTTTTTACATATTTATAATATAGATTTGTTTATATAATCATATTTTTTTAACTTAAATTATTTAGTCCGGCTGATAAACTCTATTCTATAAGAAAGTAACATTTTATTACGAACAAATTATAGTGATCTTCGTATTGGACGCGATGCCAGTTTACCGTTGTTCGTCATGCTTATGACGTATACTACAACTTACATACATACCGGTTTGTTGCACAGTAGGTACTTCTCTCTCATTGATATTGGACGTATACAACTTTAGTGATCTAAAATAATAACACAATGTACTGTGTCATTGCAACCATAATAGCATTACTGTACATTTTCTGGGATGTAAATTACTTCCTTCGAGTCGCATTTACAATAGGCATTGGGAGACTTTTCCAAAAGAAATCTGGTATAAAAGATCCCACAACTATTTATGGTAAGTGATTATATGATAATTACTTATTATTAAGTTAAAATAACTTATAAAATGATATGTTTTAAGTTAATTTGAATTTTAAATAGATAAGTTTCAGTTCTAAATTGTATTGCGCTTCTTTATAGCTGTAAATTTCCATCTTAGAGCCATTTTTTTTATGATGTTAGTAATATTCCACTAGAACCACATATAAAAATATGAACCTTGTGGAGCTTAAGTTATAAGTACGTAGTAATCTATAAAGATAAATAAAATTGAAGTGTCTGTTTGTAATGTCAAAATAACAGCTTTTTGGTGAATGCATGTGAAAGTATATTATATGGTACGGTAGGTACTTATAAGAAAAACACAATTCTTAAATTTTTTGTCTGTCTGTCTGTTTGTTCCGGCTATGTATTGAAACTGGCTGGACTAATTTCGATAGGACTTTCACTGGCAGATAGCTGATGTTAGGTAAAAGGAGTAACTTGGATGCTTTTATTTTAGAAAAATAATTGGGAATCCGCTCAATAAAATTAAAACCTAGGGACTACGCACCCGAGCGAAGCGAGTTTAATAATTAGGGTGCATCCATTACTTACGTGAGGCTTTTAGGACAGGGGAGGGGGAGGGGTACTGGGAGAGCATCGAACAAATCCAAAACCTCACTCAATCTCACGTGGGGGAGAAGGAGAGTGGTCTCGGCAAATATCACGTAATTTTTTTCGCAAGAAACAGTGTAAAATTGCAAGAAGACGGTTAATTCAAGTCAAAAATGTTTCTCCACTAAGATATGGCCAAATTATATATATATATATATATATATATATATATATATATATATATATATAATATTTATTGCGGTTTAGTTATGCACTGATAGAAGTATTTATCAATATTAATTAATTCATTTTCATTCGAAAAATCGCTAAAATTGTCACACGTAATAATGGATGCTCCTCTAGTCGCTAGTTTAAAATAAACAAGTGCAGTTGCATTATTTAATATTTATTGTTTATCTTCTAGATTATATCTTTCCATACCCACTTATAATAAGTTATATTCAATACCCTAAAAGAGTAATTCAAAAATCTGTATTTGTATTTGTACGTTAATTTCTTTGCGATTAACACAAAAACTAATTAAATGTTGTCCGATAATGTTATGCATACTCAGTCTATATTTTTATAAAAATTCTTTTCTTATGCAGAAACTATTGCCTTGGTTTTGATATAGAGTCGCAAAATTATATGTTGAGTTATTTAATTGTACTTTTTGTCGGGTAAATAGAAAGGGTTTCTCAGGAAACTAAGAAGATGTTCATAATACAATTATTTTCTTATGCAGGAACTCTTTTATCTATTTTGATACTAGTTAGATTATTACCGAATTTCTCAAGTCATTAAACAGTGTATCTCTTATCCTAGAAATTAAAATGGCCCCAGAGATTAAAATTCCCGGGAAAAGAGCTGTTAACGTTTCGGAGACTTTTATGTGTTTTAGAACGAATAGTGTTCTTCTGGAAGATAGAATAAAAACATGGTTTTTCATAAATTCTGATCCGACTATTTCTCAATAGCTACCTCCAAATGTAGCATAATTCCTATTCCATAAACCCGATAGGTACCTACTACGAGGCAGGGAGTAAAAGATTTATCAAAATACTCTGTGTAATAGATAGAAATTTCTCTATTAAATACCTATTTGAAAAACACTTGATAAAAAATCATTAAATCTTCACAAACAATGAATGCCACTAGTTGAATGCGAAAGAAGTAGCGCAGCCAGTACCTAAGTGTACAAATATTATTATCATTTCACATGAAATTCAGCCTTGATTGTTTTTTTGTTTTGCAGGATTTTGTACAACACAAGATGTGGATATCTTCCTTAGACACATGAATAACGCGCGTTATGTTAGAGAGCTAGATTTTGCAAGATTTCATTTTTATGATAGGACAGGTATCTACCAAAATATCAAAGCAGTTGATGGACATGTTCTTCAAGGCGCTTCTAGTATTCGGTACAGAAGAACTATACCTATATTCAGCGCCTATAAAGTAGAAACAAAGGTCGGTATTTTATATGCTAATTTATGAAATGAACATACCTAATGTAAAATATTAATTATATTTACTTTGTGAAATATTACGAATATTATTATTGTTATGTATATTGTTATTTTTATAAACTCCTTGAAAAACTATAATGTGTGAAATAATGTAACAACAAATAAAATGTAATAACTTTAAAATGATAATTGAAAAATCGGACAAAGCGAGTCTGACTCGCACGCCGAGGGTTTCGAAGCATTTTTAATTATATATTTATGTTATGTTTTAGCATACGTAATTAAAAAGCATAATATTTACCCATCAACAGTATTACGTTATCCTAAGCTGAAAATTTAAGAATTAAGAAATGCAAATAAATCCGCGACAAAATCCGAAAAGATAGTTTTATTTAAAATTAAGAATTAAGATTTTATAATTTTGTGTATCTGGTAATATTTTTTTTAAATGATACCGAGAACTAGCTTTTTGAGAATATTCGAACCTAGGTCAAAAACATACAAGGTCTTTTATTGGACCATTTTTAATGATAGAAATTATTCTAAAATGATACCTAGTCATTTTTTTTACAGCTTGTATACTGGGAAGATAAAACTCTGTATATTGAACAGAAGTTCATCACACTAAATGATGGTTTCGTGAGAGCAGTTATACTTTCGCGGCAGAATCTTATTAATGCAGATGCATCTGCACTTTTGAGCAATATTCCGGGAGCCGAAACAAAACCTGAATGTCCTGAAGAGATCACACATTGGCTTCAGTCTATAGAAATTTCTAGCGCTAGACTAAGAAAAAAGGATTAATATTTTAATATTTTGTATCTAAACTTACTTTTTGAATTAAATGATGGGTATTATAATATGTTTACTTATTTTGCATGTATTAGTTTAGTTAAAAAGCGTGTGTGTTAAAGAGCAGGGAAAGTATTATATTACTATGGCGCTTATTTTGCTCTGTATTTGGTTACTGTTTACACAACTTGCACATTATGAATAGCTTAGGGAGATCAGCACTTTTTTAGACATTCCATATTAAAAGTAGTTTAACTTTCATTTTAAAAGAGATTTATTTAATATTTTAAGCTCAACAAGGATAAAATATCCTATATTTTATAACAAAAATGAAATATGAACATTTTTGAAAGTATAATTCTACTGAGTTTTAAATTTTTATGTGTTGTATATTGTGTTTTGAGGTTACCATTTCGAATTATGATTTCTCCTTCCTGTGGGACCGCAAGACCGACGGCATTACGTGCTTTCCGAGGTACGGGAGTGTCACTCTTTCCATCTGTGGTTTCAAATTGGTTCAACTACAATCAATTTGTAATAGATTTGTTACAGTTGGCATCTAGAAAAAGACTTATAGCACACTTCTTCAATACTTGATATACTAAGAATGTTTTGGGTTGAACTTACACAATCCTGTAAATAATTGCAATTAAGTAGTAAGTACCTACATCAACAGACGGACATAAGAGTATTTTTTTTATATTAAGGGTCAAAAGCGTAATAAGTAGTTTAAAATATTGTCGGCGTCACTTGTAACACTGACGGGATATTTATGTCTAAAAAAAGACCACACAAGCGCTTCAAATGTACATACCGACTTAACTGTCTATAGATGGCTTAACTTATTTTGAGTTTTGTAAAAGGATGCTATAATCAAGTTGGACTATACTTATATAGCTAACACACGTATATAATAAAACTATATAATTTTATTATTATCATAGGGGGTTAAAATTGTATCGCTTCCCCCCCAACGTGCGTTCACCTTGACGTGGTTTGGGGGGGCGGGAGGGGAGGTTGGGTCAGTAGTGGCACGGCAATCCAGCAGGACGCGAAACTAAGAAATGCACAGGGAGGTGGCCCACTTCGGTGGGCGGTGTACCATGCGGGTTGCTCCTGGTACTTCTCTGATAGCAGAGTGGAATGTGGAGCATCCCTATGGTTTTTGTGGTCTGCTTCGGCAGACCTACCGTGTGGACGTCGTAATTGAGTGAACGTTTGGAAAAAAATATGAGTGTAAAATTTTTACGATGCGCGTGCAAACTGACAGCCAAAAAGTGACATGATGAAGTTATCTACATTCCTTTTACAAACAGAGATTTGTGATATACGGGATGAAATCTTTAGTTATTTTTTTTCTGTTACGCTAAAGAAGTATAACTTCGTACGTACGGACATAAGTACTCAATATACGCACACGTTTTTTTTCTATCTTTAGGGAATGCTTAAGATGTAATAGTAGTAATAAAATAAAAAATGAAAAAAAAAATACTGTTCAATATCGCATCAATTTTTATTGCATAAGAATATTAGTCTGAATGAAAAAATTGGTTAAGATTTATTTTATTCTCCCATTGGCTATCTAAAGTTCCCATTTATGCTATAGATTGATGTTATAGGTTTTTTTAATTATTATTAGTTATAAGTATTTTGTTAAAATTATCAAGATTGCTCAGTCATGTTGTATTAGTGGCGCTAACCACCGTGTGTGTCTTGTCGCGTAACAATAATAAAATATCCATTAGTCCTTGTGACTATAGCGGCCTCACGGCATATTTCTTACTAATTATCAATATTTATTTTGTTAAGCTAAAAGACATGGGTAATTATGTAAACATAATATTAGATATAAAAAAAATATTTCTACTCCATTTAAAACGCTAGCCGAAATAAATAAATCTAATATTAAATCTCGCTTCGAATTCGTCCGCTTCATTATAGGTTATAGGTATTACCTTTATATTTCAATTTAGTCTACAGTCAGCAAATGTGATCTCATACAATTTTATTATACGTATATCTATAAATATTTTACAAGATAATGTTGTAATCCGTCTATATATGTTACGGACATAACTGTACCTATATTATTTTGAAAATGAGCATTATGAATATTGTGAAAATTTAATGATATTTTGTATGTTCTATTACTATTGAGGTATACTTACTGTTTAAAACGCCTTTCAGGAAACAAAAAAAAATACAGCCGAATTGAGAACCTCCTCCTTTTTGAGGAAGTCGGTTGAAAATACGTCACAATATTACGAGCAACCCCGGGCTACTAATGCTAGTTAAAGGGGTAATTTTTAGTTTGTAGACTATAATTATAAAGTAAATATCCTTTGAAAGGTCTAATAGTGGTAAACAGTAACAGTAAATAGGTTCTATTTCATTAAATAGCATTATGAGCACGAAATGATTCATGACATGTATTTTTGTTATTTTAAGTATAGTTAACTTGGTATCAATATCTCGTCGGTTCCGAAGGATAAATATCGAGCAACTTATATTGTAGGTACTTTTAGGGTATCATTATAAGCTTGTATTAATATTATGTGTCGATAATTGCATGCAAAAATATTTACGTGTTTATTATTTCACCTGTTCGCAATATCTCTATAAAAATGATGTACGTGTGAAAGGACTTAGGTATCATGGAATTTTGTTGAAATGATTTAAAAGAACCCTAATTATTTCAGCTCACTGTTAAGCTATATAAAAGGACGCAACGCTGTGTGCGTCACATTCTGACTATCTTCAAATCCAAAAAATAACATTAAAAGTATCATTTCAATAATTATAATTATGTTATTTTTACCAGAAGTCCTGATGCCTATAGAGATATTATTGCAAATATTAACTGACAACTATCTAAATTTATCTTATTGCGTTACAATTGTTTCTGAAGAACATATATTAATTAAAATTCCTAATACTTTTATGCGTATATCTGTAAATGATAATGATACGCTTACAAATCTCATGCTCAATGCATCAGAAATGGGTTGTTCTGATTACATAGTGCAAGTAAACAAGCCAGAAATATTTATGTTAGCGTTTGAAGATGTTGTGCACTTGGGTAATGTTAGAAAAGGCGACAGGAAGATAATTATTCTACCAACCTTACAAAATCTCATCAATAAAAGTTCACAAACGTTAACAAACGTTTTGTCAATGAAGGAAACCAGATTTGTTGCTAATATTCTTATTATTGTGCCATCGGAAACAGTAAATCAATGCTATACTTACGACCTCATTACCCACCAATTTATTGGCAAACATGAAAATGAAAAGCCGATCACTTTAGATAGATGGAACTCCTGTACAAGAAAGTTTGAAAAAGATGCAAATTTATTTCCACATAATATGACTAATTTAGACGGAAAAATAGTTAAAGTCACAGGGTTTACTTATACGCCGTATGTGTTGTTAGATCTTGATCCCAATATTGTACCTAATGGTCGTGATGGCTTGGAAGTAAGGATAGTCGAGGAATTGTGCAGGTTTTTGCAATATATTTTTAATATTTTTTGCCGTAAAGACAATAATCTTGAATAGAATTATTTCTCTTTACTAAAAGAGATTATCTAACAATGTCTCTAGATCTATATTTATTTATTTATTATAAAGGCTTACTAACTAAATTTACATAAAACATATATGTATTTAACATTATATGATACCTATTTGTATATAAACTTAATTTAAAAGTATTCACAGCTTTTTATAGAAATATTCCATTAAAATTTTATGTGGTTACAAGTATATAAGGAGTCATTTCAGTTGTACAATAAACAAAAGAAGAAAAAAAATATGTGGATATATTAATAATACTTGCTTCGTGCAGGTGGATTAATTGTAAAATTAAAATAGTTGGAGACGATGGAAGAGAATGGGGAGAAATATACGACAATATGACTGGTGTAGGCATTTTAGGAAATGTATTAATTGATCGAGCAGATCTTGGCATAAGTAAGGAAACCTACCTTTTTTTCAAAATTATTTTATTAATTTAAGTAATTCAATGTTTACGTTTATTTTCAGCTGCACTATACTCTTGGTATGAAGAATATGTTGTAATGGATTTTTCAACTCCATTTTTGAGAACTGGCATTACATGCATAGCACCATCACCAAGGTATAATCCACTGTTTCGAAAAAGTTTCTTTTTCTACCCATTTCCTCCCACTTAAGAAGATATTCGCTTTATATAGGAAACATAGAGTGGAGACCAACTTATCATTATCCGATTTGTATCGGCTGGCACCGACTTCGATAATATCTGATTAGGTATTATAGTAAATGAAAACTACCGATTAGTTATTTTTTACTTTTTAGTGTTTTTTTTGAAGTCGGTTTTTATTTAGTTTTTTAAAGTTCCTTTATTTTCATTTTTAGTCTAGACATGTAGTACGCAAAGTAAGAAAAAGTATTTTAATAAAATATTCGCTTAAGCCGTTTAAGTTAGTTCGATGCCGATTTTTAGATGAAGACAGATTAAAATTTATTTGTAACACTAAAAATCAGGCTCTATAAGCCAATTCTAACGAATTGGATTTGTTAAATCAAACAAAATAAAACCAAACTCAAAGTATTTACTATTAGCCATTGAAGAGTTCCACCTATCCACCTTTGCAATTGCCATCAGATCAGGTCAACTATACCGAATCACTACATTATCAACGGCAATAGAAACCCTTGAAAAATTTCAAGTCAATATAAGAGTAGGTTAAATTTTTAAATTAGCTATTTTCCACCCTTAGGGGTGTTTTATTTTTTTAAATTTAAATGATACCAAATCGGTTTATAAATGACGGAATTCTGAGATAGCAGACATAAAAAAAAGAAATACAGCCGATTTGAGACCCTCCTCCTCTTTTAAGTCGGTTGATAAAGAAATATTAGCTTGCTATTTGCGACTTTACTTTAAGTCGCAAATAGCAAGCTAATTTTAAGAAGCTTTTTTGTAGGGAGTAATACTCGTAAGTGTCGGCAGGCTTGTCGTAGTAATATTTACAGTATAAATATAATCACACATATAAAAGTAAAAAGCAACTTTCTGTCTATATGTAGATATGTATATGTATGTATGTGCGCGCTAATCTGAACGAATATGGATGCAAAATTTAAATTACATCAAACGTATTAAGTATTAGACTTTCTTAGATAACGTCGGGAACCAAAAATCAAAATAAATCCGCAAAATAATCCGAAAATATAGTTTTATTTAAAACATCAAACTAAAAATTTTCATCATAATCAGTCTATTCTTGATTGACACCGCGCTGGATTGAGTAATATTAAGAAAATAGGTAATTAAGAATTATTCTTAAGAAAAATAGATTTTAATTTTTTGTCTTACGCTTAATCTTAAATTCATTTCTTAATCAATCATTAAGTTTTCCAGAGTACAAGTAAATTAAAAAACAGACAGATAAATATCAGTAATAAAGATTATTTATTACTTATCACTACATAGTATAAAACTACGCAAAGGATTTTGATGCGGTTTTTTAATAAATAGAGTGATTCAAGAGGAAGATTTTAGTATATAATTTGTTATGTTTTCGTATACATTGGCTAAAATATAACGATATTTGTTGGAGGCGTCGGAAAAAAATTAAGCCGTCTAGGAGCTTTCAACGAAAACGCTGCCCTAAACCCTTTGAGATATAACAAAATAATGTATGGTGGAATTGTGTATTTTATATAGGTCTACAGAAAAGTCCGCAATGGCATATGTCTATCTCTTAAGGATAACATACTATATCCATTTTAATTGAAAACGTACCTAGGTACGAACCCGAGCGAAGCGAAGGTGAGTCGCTAGTTTATTCTATAAATTAAACTTTATAGAACATATTTTTTGTGTGTTTCAGATTATTAGCTAGTTGGCAAATGCCATTATTACCTTTTAAATTGTATATGTGGATTAGTTTGTTTTTCACATTTATATATGCATCTTTGGCTTTGATGGTAGCAAAAAGATTTTCCTCAACTAATGTTTTTTTGACTACTTTTGGTATTATGATTACACAGGTAGGTACATAATATCTTTAAATATATTTATTTCATTTACATTTTTATCCACAGACACATACATAAGTTTTAGATACAAAAAGAATGAGATGTCATAGGGGTAAAAATGAGAGTAAAGCCTGAAATGGTTTTATAATTATCTTATTTCCCCGCTGTGCCCATAGCACTTAGCAAAAAACATTTTGTGTTGTCTTTAGATAACTTATGCATTACAACAGTTTTAAGTTAGAAGTGTCTAAGTATAATTAACTAGCGGACCCGACAGACGTTGTCCTGTCTACATGTCTTTAATTTGAAAATTTCAAACTTTTTTTAATAATTTTTTTGATGAAAATTATTATTCAAATTGTGAATCTAAACCATTCCCAGATCCCCTTGAACATACACAAAAAATTTCATCAAAATCGGTGCAGTCGTTTGAGTGAAGTTCAGTGACATACACACTCACAGAAGAATTATATATATAAAGATATAGATGCAGTAAATACATAAGATCAAGTAGTTACGAGTAAAAAAATAAAATGAAAAAAAAAACTAAATTCTACCGTACATATTAAACTTCATGCGATGGTTAAAAAAGATAAATCAAATCGATTTATAATGATATATTGATCGATTGATTTGATTTAAAATGGCCATAATGTATAAAGTTGTTTACTTGTCGCAATGGCACAGGGCCAAAGAGTAAATAATTTTGTAAAAGCAAAAAAAATGTAATGTCATCGTGAATATAATTATAAATAAAAACTAAAATTACAGTAAAAATTACAGCTTTGATATAAATCTAAATTATCTAGTCACAGCCTGAGTCAGGATTTTCATCTTGGCGCATACGCAGCGTCGTCGGTTGGATGATGATGACTGGTTTAGTTTTGGACAATGCTTACGGAGGAGGTCTGGCTTCAACATTCACCGTACCTAGATATGAACCCACGATCGATACAGTACAGGATATTGTTGATCGTAAACTTATATGGGGAGCTACGCATGACGCCTGGATATTTTCAATAACACTTTCCCAAGAGGTTATAACTTACATCATTTCGTAATGATTTGTAAAATCGTAACTTTTTTTATAATTTATTCGTTCTCTTCTATAGCCTCTACTAAAGAAAGTAGTAAAACTGTTTCGTACGTATCCATCGGACGAGTTGAAGCGTAAAAGTTTTACAAGGAAAATGGCATTTAGCATTGAAAAGTTACCTGGTGGTGAATATTAAAATATTTAATTATAATAATATCTTTTAAACAAATGTCGTTAGTATTTATTTAACATATGTCTCACTAAACTTGTTTCAAAGGCACTTTTGCAATTGGAGAATACATAACAGAAGAAGCGTCATTTGATTTAACAATTATGCTCGAAGAATTTTACTTTGAACAATGTGTCGTGATGATGCGGAAGAGTTCATTTTATGCAAATAAACTAAGCCAACTTATAGGACGACTCCACGAGTCTGGCCTTTTATTAGCATGGGAGACACAGGTTTTTTTTTTATTATTTTTATTTAAATAAAATACTAAAATGCTAAATGATATAACAATTATAATTACAGATAGCTTTGAAGTACTTGGATTATAAAGTTCAATTGGAGGTTAAGCTTTCGCGTTCTAAGAGAGATGTTGAAAATATTGAGCCATTGGCTTTAAGGCATGTCGAGGTAGGTTTTACTTTAGATTTATATTATACTAGCGACTGACCCTCGCTTCGCTCGGGTTCGTCTCTAGGTTGATTCCCCGTACAAACGTTCATCCCCATTTTCACCTTCCGGAATAAAAAATATCCTGTATCCTTCAAAGGGTCTCAAAATATCTTCTTACCAAATTTCATCTAAGTCGGTCCGGTTTAGTTTTGTAGTTTATTCGTTACAAACAATTAAAAATACAATTATTTCCTTTTTATAATAATAGTGTAGATAATATTATATTATCAAAGGAAAAAATATTTTTAATTTAATTACTGTGTTTTATTTCAGGGAATTTTCATTATTTATGCTCTAGGAGTAACGATTTCTTGTATATCGTTCTTCATAGAAATTATTAAATATAATAAAAATATTAAGCGGAACAAATATATCTAAGATTTAATATTTTAGAGGGAATTAGTACGTACTAAAAACTATTTATTATTATTATTATGAGTTATATATGTATGTCCTTGATTAATTATGTTTTATAAAATATTGTTTATTTAAATGATAAGTATGTATGTAAATCAAATGTCTCTTCTTCTCAATCTTTTGTAACTTACACCTTACTTAATACTAGTTTTTTTAGGTTTGCTAGTTGTAAGTTTATTTTATGTATAGGAAAGAGATTGAAAGATCTAGATTCATGTGAGGGGAATACCTACCCGTGGAAGTTCAGTTTATTATTTATTATTAATAATAAAAGAACCTTTTTTTTGTTGTGTGACAAGCAACATACATGGTAGGTACCTACTAAGGCTGTCGTGGGTTGCCTCCTATGGTAGTTTCTTTGCTTCAAGTCCGGCTGAATTTCCCGACACTAAGGAGCCCATGAAAAGGTGAATAAATATCGAAGGAAACTTTTATGCTCCTCTAACCCCTTTTCGATTTTTTTCAACAACCTTCCATGTATAATCGTCACCTTTGTTACTTATGAAAAATATGATCTAGACCCAGCGATGTATTATGCTATGCGTTGCCTGTCAGTAATGTATTAAAATTTTATTTAAGTACATTTTGCAAAAATATTTATTATATTTTTTGTTTTTATTTATAATTAATATATAATTACTCATATTGTTAATTTTCGTAATGAAATGTTATTTTTCGTTAGAGTTAATATAATTTTTGAACGTATGATATGTTCCTTTTGGTTGGTACCATTGAGTGTCAAGAAAAAATTGCTATAGGCAACACTATAAAAGAGTTGCCTATAGCAATTTTTCCCCCATATTATGTTGGGACATTAACACACAGCACCATCTTGTTCTATGGTAAGCTACGAGGCTTGTGTTATGGATACCAGATAGTTGATACACTCACTACCCTCATATAACTTTAAATACATACATATTATAAATATAAACACCCATGACTGGAGTACAAACATTCGTGCTCATTACACAAATGAATGCCACTAGCGGGACCCCGCAACCCGCGACCGCTGGCACATCAAGTAGGGTCACTACAAATTGAGCCAAACGTGTTGTCAAAATTATGTTTGAGAATTGACATTTATCTTGATATTTTTGAAGTATAACCTCTTTAGGCGTGACTGAGGGGTAAGTCAATACGTGGAAAAATGAGTTTTTTGGAAGTGAGTCGTGGAAGTGAGTATCAAATTTATTAATAATATTTATAAAAATATATATATATTACAATAATAATAACTTATAAAAATTCCGGGCAAGTGTCAGTCGGACTCGTCCACCGAGAGTTCCGTACAAATATGTAGGAAATCTGTTTAACTTTAATTTTCAACTTTTTTATTTTTTTTAATTCTTCCTTTATTTGTGCTGTAAGACCTAGTTTTTTGCCAAATTTCGTGATTCTAGGTCAACGCGAACTACCATATAGGTTTTCGACCCAAAACCTATAGGGTACTTCCGGTTGACCTAGAATTGTCAATTTTATTTAAAAGCAAGGTCTTATAGCACAAGTTAAGGAAAGAATCCAAAAAATAAAAAAAGTTGAAAATTAAGGTAAATTTTGGTACTTACAAGTTTTCGCGAATTTGAATTTGTCCATATCTTTTTATTGTGTTGAATTAGGATTTTGATTTTTATACACCTAATAGGGACTATAGACCTCAGTATCTGGTATAAATTTTAACTTGCTAGGTCCACCCGTTCCTGAGAAAATTGGTAGTGACACACGGACAGATGGACAAGAGATAAGGTTTCCTTTTTTAGCTTTTGAGGTACGGGGTACACGTTTTTAGGGTTTAAAATAAATATTTATTACAGTGGGATGAATGTACACAAATTAAATAAAAGCTATTATGACTAATGTGTAAAGTGTGAATGAATGAAAGAATGGGTGAAAGGGACAGATCTTCTACATTGAATTATTACAAAAAAACTACTAATTACTATTTATCTACTACCTATGAAATACTTTAAAATAATATTAAAGTTTCTGGAAGAAATATTTTAATTAAATTATGGATATAGGAATAGGAATAAGCAGAGTTAATATTAATCATATGCATTATTATTTATTTATTAATAATTTAGTTTTTTTAATATAATAATAATTTAGAATTTGTTCTTCGGTAATAATAGATATTCTTAATTATATCCATCACAACAGCCATGCTAACTTTGAATGGCGTTTCAATAGTGAGTTTAAGATACCTACACTTAGAGTATACATGAGCTATAGAGGCGCGCTAGAACGTATGAACTGTAAGCATGGGTATGAACAGTCTCGAAATAGCATGGGCGACGCTATTAGTCACGATAAGTCACGCGCACTGGTTATTTCTCCTGTTGCTATTTATTTGGATTTATGTAATCATGGTGAAATGTGCAGTTCCAAGGTGTAAAAATGATTAACGAAAGCAAACTCAAACGAACAAAGACATTTCTTTTCATCGGTAAATAATATTTTTATCAGGAAACGCTCATTTTAACAAAATTACATAGGCGTGAGCGGGTGTTGCATTGTAAAATATTAATTATTCAAGCGACATTATTGTTGTATGTGAAATTAAAAAAAAAATGTTAAAATTAATTAAAAAATAATAATTATATAATAATTACATTACGGGATTTGGCTTTAATTCCCGTAGTTTGCGTTGAAGTCTCGTAGTGTAGTTATTATATAATTATGAAACGCGAAAATTTAAAGAGAATAATATATAATTTTAATTTAGTTTGCTATTATTTAAAATAAAAACTAAATATTAAGTAACACTATTCCTACATACATTTACAAATGAAAGATATTAATTTGAAATACTGTAATTTTAGATAATGAAGTCTATATGTGTGTGAATAAATGTAGTTTATGTTAGTTAATATACTTCTTTTTTAATTAAATACTAAAAGTTTTACTAGGCGCATAACTATTCAACCGCTTCATCTACGAGTATGTATCAATAGGTGTGTATAGAATACCTGCTTACGTTTTGCATAATGGACAATGAGCGTTTCGCGCGCTCTATAGCTTATGTATACTCGTAGTAGTACCTACAACCTACATATTTAAATAAAATATATAAACCTATTGTTTAATAAATGAAAGTAGAACAGCACATTGGAAATATCTGTATTCTCTCTATCTCTTTAGTTGTCGTATCTTTATTCCAGCATTGAAATAAAATGAAAATATTATTTTAAGAGTCTTTCATATTATATTTAGGGAAAATTTATTTTTAATCTTACAACACTGAATCAACAGTGCTGCCAATAAATAAAATCGTTTTTGATTTTACAAGTGTAGTAGGTATGTGTAAATAAAAATTTGTAGTGTGGGTATCGCGGGAAAATCGATCGATACTGTGCTTAGACAAAATATTTCTACAACTTGTGACACTATATAAAGATGTTTTGGTGAATTAAATTTCATATTATTTTTACTTATTCGCAATAATGGCTGTGTATAAATTATTCTTCTTCTTTGCGTTCGTTGTTGTTGCAACTGCTGATTTTGTTTGGAAGCATCACAATAACGAAGAATTACCATTAGTGTTAGAAGAAGTTCATGAAAAATGCCCAAATATTACTAAGGTGTATACTTTAACAGAGCCGTCTGTTAAAAATGTTCCGCTTTACGTTATCGAATTCTCTGATAGTCCAGGATTTCATCAACCTTGTAAGTTATTTATTAAAAATGATCATATCAAAAATATATTAATAGATATTTATTAAATTACAATATTTTTTGTAATAGATAAACCTGAAGTGAAATATGTTGGAAATATACATGGAAATGAAGTTTTGGGCAGAGAATTGCTACTAGGTCTCGCTAATTATCTTTGCGATGAATATAATAAGCGCGATCGCCACATACGAACATTAATTCATAACACACGCATACATTTATTGCCATCTATGAATCCTGATGGTTGGCAATTATCAACAGACGCTGTAAGTTATTCAGTAACATCGTTCTTTTCTGTATTAAAAAAAATAATTATAATATATTCATATAAAATATTTTAGGGTGGTCAAGATTATCTTATTGGTCGTTATAATAACAATTCTGTGGATTTAAACAGAAACTTCCCTGATCTCGATGCAATAACATTTGAGTTGGAACGTCAGGGCATTAGCCATAACAACCATTTACTTAAAGATTTGACTCGTCTTGCTGCTCCGGTAAGATATAATTAATAATACAAAAGGAAAAAATATAATTTTAATTTTAAATACAGTCCAAGTTGAAATATAAAATATATATGTAAGTATTGTTCCGCCTTGGCTAAGGCTGAAGCAAAAAACTGACTGAGCTGAGTATTATAAATTATTAAACAACATATGAATAAGTAAGGAACATCAATAATGTTAAAAGTAATTAATATAGCTTTAGAAGAAGATTAAGATTAAAATTAGATAAATACATATATATTTTTAGCTGGAACCTGAGACCAGGGCTGTAATGAGATGGATAATGTCAGTACCCTTTGTATTAAGTGCTGCAATGCATGGAGGAGATTTAGTAGCTAATTATCCTTATGATGAAAGTCGTAGTGGAGCACCAGTTTCAGAATATTCTGCTAGTCCAGATGATGATACTTTTAGGTAAACAATTATACTATCTATGTTTTATGATTTTTGTATTTTAAGATATTTTTATTTATTGAGATATATTTTTATATATTTTTAAGACTATTCTGATTGGTTTTATTTAATTTGTTTACAGTTGTAAGTGAACTTATAGTAATAATTATTTCAAAACTTAAGCTTTCAGCTCAATAAGTAACTTTTGCAATTTAAATATGATTTTGTATATCCAATGATACATTATAATTACTACTTTTTGTGTGATGGTTTCGTAAAACTCAAGCTCTTATAACCAGATGATCTCAAAAGAGTGTAGATAATATTTGAAATTAATTAGAAATACTTGCTCAATAACTAAAGTCACATTAAATTTTTATTTAAAAATTTTACTCAAATAGAAAAATCAATTAAGAATCGAAACCGTGATTTTTGCCACCTTTATTGAAAAATTAAATGAACTAAGTAGTTACAATTAGCATATACAAATGAACTATACGATTTTTGTACATAAATAGTTAATTATTATTTATTATATATATTTAGCTATCAGACTATTATTATAAATGGAAAAGTTTGTATATATGTGTGTATGTATGTTTCTTACTTCTTCACGCTGAAGCAGTTTGACGGATTTGGATAACATTTACACAGATATGACCTACTGAGACTTTGACCTTTGAGTTATACAGAATATTATTAAGGCCGAACCACACTATAGTGCCGATTACGTCCGTTCTCGGTCCGATTTCGGACTGGTAAAGTTTTTTTATACAAGAAACTTTGCTGGAGTGTGATTCGACTGGAACGTGTTACCCATAGTGTGATTGTTCTCATTGCTTCTTGTATAACAATGCTTTACCAGACCGAGAGCGAACCGTGATCGGCACTATAGTATGGAGCGGCCCTCAAACACCTAGAGACTTCAGGCTGTCGCTAGTATATAATAATATAATACCATTCATTCATACCATTTCATTAGGTTAAACTTATTTGAAGTGTATTTGTCGTGTAGGGAGTTAGCATTAGCATATGCGAATGCTCACGCGGACATGGCGTCGCGCAACCGGCCGGGCTGCCGCGCCGTGCCGGCGCTGCCCACCGCCTACAACTTCGGCAACCAGGGCGGCGTTACTAATGGCGCCGCCTGGTACAGCTTGAAAGGAGGTGAGTTTATTTGTTCTAGAGGAGGTAAGTTTATTTGTTTGAAAGGTGGGTTTGTAGATATTTGTTTAAAAGGAGGTTGTTTCAAGTTATCTAGCTTCGTTTTCGATTGTCTGTTTGATTTTCGTTAAAGATTTGTTTTGGTTATACTTATTTTAAGCAATTAAAGTTATTGGTTAAGATTTTAGAATTTAGATTATAGATCTGTGTAGGAGAAAGCGTTACCAGGTAGCTTCATGGTACAGCCTTCTATTTCGTTATTTTGATTTATAAGGCACATATGATTGGGATAATAAGTGTGATTGGGTGGGTGAAGAGTTTGTTACTTTTCAACCGACTTCAAAAAGGAGGAGGTTCTCAATTCGACTGTATGTTTTTTTTTTTTTTTTTATGTTTGTTACCTCAGAACTCCGTCATTTATTAACCAATTTGGACAATTTTTATTTTGTTTGACAGGGTATACTTCCAGATTGGTCCCATTTAAATTTCAAAAAAAAATACCACCCCTAAGGGTGGAAAAACAACTAATTATGAATTTAACCTACTTCTAATTGTCATATTGACTTAAAACTTTGCAAGTATTTCTATTTCCGTTGATGGTACAGTGGTTCGGTGTTGTTGACCTGATCTGATGGCAAGGCCAGAAGGTGGATAGGTGGAACTCTTCAACGGCTAATAGTAGATACTTTGAGTTTGGGCTTATTTTGTTTGATTTGACAAGCCTAACACGTTAGAATCCTTACTTTGCTACTACTGTCTACACTAAAAAGGGAAAAATAAAAACTTTTTAACAAAAAAATAAAAACCGACTTCAAACAAAAGCACTAAAAAGTAAAAAATAACTGATTTGTAGTTTTCATTTACTATACATACCTAATCAAATATTTTCGAAGTCGGTGTGCTTTGGCTAAGTAATTAAAGCCTATCTATTAAATACATACCTAATCAAATATTTTCTAAATCGGTGCCAGCCCATACAAATCAAAGCACACCGACTTCGAAAATATTTGATTAGGTATGTATAGTAAATGAAAACTACCAATCAGTTATTTTTTACTTTTTAGTGCTTTTGTTTGAAGTCGGTTTTTATTTTTTTGCTAAAAAGTTTTTTTCATACTGTAACGGCATAACAGAGTTGAATAAAATTCGGAAATTGTACGAGCGGAACCGCGGGTAAAGACTAAACGCTAGTCATAACATATATGTAATATACTTTCTTAGAATTACGCGCTCAAAAGACACTCTTTGAAATCATTAACAAAAAAATAAGAATACGTATTTGTAAACATTTGACATTTTATTTAAAATGTCAAATATTCAGATTCGTCTTTTCGAATTTTTTCCCGGGTTTGTTTTGATTTTTGGCTCTCGACGATTCGAATGCTTTACACTAGCAATCATGATCACGAGAGAGTCTCTACTGAATTCGAAAAGATAAAAACTATCTTCTTTTTATTTATAAAAACTAAAAAAAGACCGACTTTCAGGCACTAAAATGTAAAAAATAACTAAACGGGGATTTTCATTTGAAACAAAAAAAAATACAAATCGGTTCAGGTGTCTTCGAGTAATCGGTGAAAATATAATAAAAAATAAAAAACATCCGAGGAATTGAGAACCTCCTTCTTTTTGGAACTCGGTTAAAAATAGTCATAAACTTTATACTAAAAAATTCAAATGTATGCTAAAACTTTTATTTATGATTTTTTTATAATTTACAGTCGCATCGATAACAAATTCTATTTTAAAATAGGTATGTAGTTTAAATATTCTTCAAACTGTATCTGATAAAAAATTCAGCCTTCTCCTAGTCAAGCTTCAGACTACTCACGTTCAGAGATACGTGGAACGTCTTACATGAGCCATTGTTGGTAGTGAATTTTCTTGAAATCGGTGTAATTGTATACTATTTTTTTTTATGCAGATTTCTTGGGTTTGGATCGATAAAAACGCTGGTTGCGCGTTTTTATCGACCTAAACCTAAGCAATCTGCATTTTATTTTTTATTAGCGCAGAGTACATACATATTTACAGGCGACGTACGTTCATAAAACGCGCGTTGTCGGTGCGTTTACAAAACGTGGTGTGCATCCGCCCTTAGGTCACATTATTTAACTACCTTACATCTTTTTATAGCGTTCGTTACGTTAAGTAAGCTTGTTATTGTTTATATAACAGGAAACATAGTATAATTGCTCCAACACTGACATTTAATGTGGTTAGCCATGAGCTGCAAACTTGTTTTTGTAATGCTAATTCTACACTTATTGTATACATTTTTGGATTTAAATTGTCATAAATTAACTTTTGTGGGTAATAACTGAATTGTTCATTTGCTTACGGTTTGTACGGGTGCCTATATATATACCTACTACTAAATAGTAAATAAAATTTTAATTTTATGTACTTGTAAATACTAAATAAAAATATCTGTCTGACTGTCATTTTTTTATTACTAATTTGCTAATATTATGTCGGAAATATTTATTTGCAAAGACACCAAGGTAATTTCATTTAACAGTTTTCCACTTATGTATACGTAGTAATAGGTACATAATTAATTATTAATTAGTTGAAAATATACTAAACTTTGATTATTTATTAGAAATATCTTTATCATTTTTCAGTTTTTTTAAATTAAGTATTTAACACCTCCAGGTAAATTTCTGAATTTTTTTTAAAATTCTAAGAAATCTATTGTTAACTGTCAACGCCGGCGGGTCCGCGCTCGTGGAGGGTTTTAAGTACACATATTTCTGGTCATGAAGTGTAGCGATTTAAATCTCACAGCAAAATATCACTCTTGTAATCCAGCGGGACTAAAGCCATTAATTTCACGAATTAGCAGGATAACAATCACAGATAATGTATTGATAGATTAATGTTATGTCGATTAGAAATTATTTATGCATTAAAAGTTAATAAGATATGGTTATAAAAAAGAATTTAAAGGATTTGTTCACAACTTGTTAAACTCGCATATTTTTCTGAAATATTGAGTATGATTAGTAGATCAGGTTATACCAACTAGCTGATCGAAATTCATGTGGTAGTTTTCTTATAATGTGCGGAATTTTATACAATTTTCAACCGACTTCCTCAAAAAGAAGGAGGTTCTCAATTCGCCTGTATTTTTTTATGTTTGTTACCTCAGAACTCCGTCATTTATATTATATTTATGCTTTGTATGGGCTGGCACCGATTTCGAAATTATTTGATTAGGTATGTATAGTAAATGGTAACTACCAATCAGTTATTTTTTACTTTTTAGTGCTTTTGTTTGAAGTCCGTTTTTATTTTTTTGTTAAAAAGTTTTTTCATTATCTGTTCCGCAGAAACTTGTCTGATTTTTTAAATATACCAAATTGCATAATATGTAGGTATATTATTATGTCATACACCTTATAATTTGGTTTATTTTGCTTGGTTTTCTGTAATGGATGTACCTACATATGTATAGTCCCGTGCCAATTTAGAAATTGTCATTGGATTTTACCGTCATGATATTCTCAGCAGCTCCGTGATAGAAAGTTGTATTGGGCTTTCGTTTATCAAATAGCTCGAAAATGTTGTCTTACCGTCCCGTCCGTACTATTAGAGTGAATGGAGGCAGAGAGTGCGACCAAGCGTGAAACACATGCTTATTCACATACTGGTGCACACATTTGTGCAGTATTTATTATTAGCAGGTTATTATTATTATTAACTATTAAATCTATATACATCAAAGTCAAGTCAGTTTTTCTCCATATTATTATGCGTGACCGACGATCCATAGGATCACACAAGCATTAGTGATCCCGCATTTTCAGATTGGAATCTTAATTTGTAATTTGTTTATGGATGATGGATCGAGTGATTTGTTAGTGCATTAGCACTATTAAGTGAGCAGATGCGACAAATAACCTATAATATATGAATAAATAGTCGTATACTATTGATTACATACACGTATGTCTGTCTTTTAGACTTATAGCAGAAACAGTTTACGAAATGTGTTCAAAACCTTCATACATATGACACGTAATTACATTTAGTGCATATTTTTGTAATTTTATTATTATGCATATTTTTATAATTTATTGTAATTCTAATTTAAAGTTAATATTTACAAAACAAATAAATAATGACAGATTAAAAAAGTTCGAATAACTTTTGTATAAAATCAGATTGTAATTTAGTTATTTTAAATAATTCAACTTAATTCAAAACAATTAATGTCTATTTGTTTATAGGAATGCAAGACTTCAATTATTTGGCAACAAATGCATTCGAAATAACGTTAGAGTTGGGCTGTGAGAAATATACACCTGAGAATGAATTGGAAAAGGAGTGGATACGGAATAAGGACGCATTACTCGCGTTTATTTGGAAAGCGCATACCGGTGTTAAAGGAATTGTTAGCGACGATTCTGGATTCATACAAAATGCTATCATATCTGTTGTGAATATCACTGGATCCGTACCGAGGCCTATAAGACACGATATAACTACAGGTGAGTTGTTTTATTTATTAGTTTAACTAGCATTACCCGCGGCTCCGCCCGCGTTCATATGACCAAAAACCAAATTTTTAGGTTTTACATATTAGTATACTCTTACATTGCAGTTTTTGTATTTTTTCTCAGAAGTGAGACATTTTCCCGTGGTAAAAAGTATATAGGAATATATTGACCCGGATAACCAGCTATTACCATACCAAATTTCATCAAAATCCCTCCAGTGGTTTTTCTGTGATGCGGTAACAGACAGACAGACAGACAAAAATTCTAAAAACTATAGATTCGGCCTCTGTATCGATAATAATGTTTATTTCAAGAAGATTTTCCAAAAAATATTTAATGTACAGATTCGGCTTAGTTACAATTTTATTATAATATGTAGAGGTTGTTGTTTGTATTTAACGCTGTTCCATTATATTCTTAGCTTTTATTCCGGTCTCTAACTTAAAAATACGTACGTCTACGTTTCGTAACTAACATCATTGCAAATGAATTTAGACTTTAACTCATTTAAGAAACTAATTGAAATGAATTAAAGATAGCAACCAATATTATCTGCGCCATATAACATATAGAGATCCGAATTTCGACGGCATATTCTTAATTGTGATCTTATTTATAAACAATCCAACACGCTACTTATCCATTATCATATTGCTTTACTCATGATTCTTTACTGGAACTTTTTTCGTTGATTTGTCTTTATTTCCACACAACAATGTTGTGTAAAAAGACGCCAAATCAACGATCTATTCAACATGTAGGTCTATATATTATGTATTTTTTTGGATAGAAATAGTTTACCGAGGTGTGACGCTGGGAACCATTTTAATATATCTGAGATAGATATCTAGATAAAATGTAATCCATTAACGTCTTCGTATGCTAAGTGCTAATCGAATGCTAAGTGAAAAGCGTTCGCGTGTGAAAGCGAAACCCGGATCTCACCTCTGAAATTTTCATGTGAGACTCGTTTTCAACATGATACCTTGATGAAGAACCTTGTTTGTTCGATTAAACGTTAGTTTTTGAAAATTGTGTATATTCCACCAACCCAACCCACATTTGGCTAGCGTGAAGTATGGCCCAATCCCACTCTCATTGTTGGGAAGCCCTTGCCCAGCAGTGGGATGTTGAAAGGGCCGAAATTTTATTATTTTCAAAAATATTCTTAGGAACGGCGATGATGTATTCGTATCTTTTGAGTTATATGATATAATATCTTTAGTAGGTGACGTAACCGTTGAATATATATTTTATATATAAATTTATACTAATATACAAGTACGTATATGTATATAATATTATAAATGTGAAAGTGTGTTTGTTTGTTTGTCCTTCTTTCACATCGAATTAGAGTGACGGATTGGCGTACTTTTTTGTGTGGAAATAGCTGGAGAGCTGGGGAGTGATATAGGCTACTTTTACTTTTGAAAATACGTTATTATACAACCCACAACAACTCATCATACCTATATATATATATATATATAATATAATATACATATATAGTCTATCTATTCCATATTAACCGTTAATTCGTACCTAAGAACGAATCTGAACGAAGCGAGGGTGAGTCGCTAGTTATGTGATAATATTAATGTTATCAGCTGCAGTGTTTATATTATACCTAACCTATAACAATTTGTAAAATCCCAAGTGCAATAATTATATTAAAATAAATAATATTCGGGGATGTTGCACTTATAATAAATATGCAATTTAGTGTTTAAATTATATATTTATTAAATTTATATAATATTATAATGATAGTATTTACTGTGTAGATATGTTGAATAAATATTTTTTTTAGATATAGTTGTATTTTTTAATGTTTAAGAATCGGGACCGAAATTGATATTTCGTATATTAATTTTCTTAATTAACTTAGCTCGTGCATTGCTTGGTAAACTAGAATAATTAAGTAAGTAGCAGCTTTATTTTCACCAATTGTGTTTTACGATCCAATTAAAATGTCGTTTAGGTAGTTACGTCCAGTTTGCCGTAAATTAAGTTCTTAAAATTATATTTACCTTACTATCTATACATATACGAGTATATACAATGTACATGCCTACATTGAATGCTTAAATATTTTAATGTGGAAATAAGATTAACAAAAAGGTAATAATCATAATAAATAATTGAAATCATTTTTATTATTTGAATAAACCTAAAACGAAATCCTAAAACCTCGTAATATATATCCCATTAATTATTACGAGTTTTTGGGATTCCGTCGTCAAAAGGCAAAAGCCGAACCCTTATATTTTCATCATGTTCCTCTGTCCGTACATCACAGCAATTATATTAATAATAATAAATAAATATGTTGACACAGCACAATCTAGTTCCATGGTAAGCTACGAGACTTGTGTTATGGATACCAGATAGTTGATACACTACACACATATAACTTTTAAATACATACATATTATAAATATAAACACCCATGACTAGAGTACAAACATTCGTGCTTATCAAATGAATGCCCACAGCGTGACTCGAACCCGCGACCGCTGGCACTACAAGTAGGGTCACTACAAACTGAGCCAAACGTGTCGCCAATTTCTATTTCTATTCGGAGATTATTGATATTACATATTTTAAAATTGGTGGTAGAGTGTTAAATGTGAACTACCAGGTGACCTGATATCATAGACAACGGTGAAGTCAAATTACGAAAATATAAAAGTGTTTCGTATATTTCAATAAGTACCTATTTAAAAATGAGATAGCTCTTTGTTAGGCGACTATGTTAAGTCTATACTTGTTGAGTCATATGGTTCTGAAGTCGTCAACATTGTGTGTCAGATTTGATACTATTGTTCTTTAACAGCCGATATCTTGGGAAAACTTGCTAACTATTTCGAACTTCATAATAAAAATAATGCTAGTGGTTACTATATAATAAACTTTCATTAAAATCATATTGACAATGTATCTGTCTAAACACATTATAAACATCCTGTTTCATTACTGTGACCGATATTCACTTGTTTAACGTATCGAAGTTCAAACAGTCCAGGAAATGCATTAATTGATAGCTTGTATTTTGTTGCGAAGGAGTATATTTTAATCAAAGTATTGTGCACTTGTGAATTGTGCAATGTGGGTTGAATTTTGAGGTTTAAAAGATAAATCACTATATTATACATAGTTATTAGTTACGCATACATTTTGAGGATATGTATTTTATCCTGTACATATTCAGAACAATAAGTAAAAACTTGTCTTAACGGTGAAGGAAAATATCGCGAGGAAACCTGCATGTCTGAGAGAACCTAGCAAGTTTTCAAAAGACATGTGAAGTTCGCCAACCTGCACTTGGCCAGCGTGGTGGACTATGTCGTGATCCCCCTCGTACTGAAGGGAGGCCCATGCTCAGCAGTGGGACGTTAAAAAATGGGCAGAATACAAGTAAAAACAATAGTATAGCAAATTATTTATTAAACCTTCATTATGTTTATATGTACACTACCGACTCATCCTCGCTTCGTTCGGGTTCGTCCCCTATGCATATATAAATATAATATATACAGGGTCATTTTTATAGGATAATGCATGGAAGTCTGCCCGATTTGTTGACATTTATGATTAATGTTCCGCTCCCTTAGATAAAAGCATGATGATATATAGCCTTTCTCAGTAAACGGGCAGTCTAATGCAAATCATATCTGATTAGTAGTTTCTGAGATTAGTGCGTTCAAACAAACAAACTCTGGCTCCTTATAATATAAGTATAGAAAAGTATAGATATATAAGTTGTTTATTAATAAAGTATAAACTGTCGCCTCAATATCTCTAGAGTATGCTTTTCATACGGATGCGGAACTGTTCAGTGACAGGTGGTCTGTCGCTAGTTTGCCTTCCTCTACTTTGGTTTCGAACATTCTCACCCTAAATGTCAACATAAAGTTCAATTTACCAAAAGCTTATTTTATTCACATAAATATTTACGAGTACTATTTTATCCGTATGTAATTTTAACTATATAAATACATTTGCATATAGAACTTTGTAAGAATACTTATTTACTAACTAGCATTGCCCGCGGATCCGCCCGCGTTCCGATGACCAAAAACCAAATTCTTAGGTTTTACATATTAGTATACTCTTACATTGCAGTTTTGTATTTTTTTCTCAGAAATGAGATTTTCCTGCTGTAAAAAGTATCCTATATGTTGACCCGAATAACCAACTATCACCATACCAAATTTCATCAAAATCCCTCTAGTGGTTTTTCTGTGATTCGGTAACAGACAGACAGGCAGAACAAAAATTCTAAAAACTATAGATTCGGCCTCCGTATCGATAATAATATCTATTTCAATAAGATTTTCCAAAAAATATTTAATGTAGGTACAGATTCGGCTTGGTTACAATTTTATTATATGTATAGATAGAATAGTATGTCATATTTTTTTTATATAGATACTCTTAGCATTATTCAAGGTATCTATCTGTCTGTAATCCTGTACGTAATGTCCTTATCTGGCCAGAATGCCAACATCTTTTGCCTCGTGCGTTGAATTATCTAATGAACGTTGCGTTTACTGTTTGTCAATTACTGTTTATGTAACATTAGAAGCGTATTTAGGTGGTCCTTAATGCCATTATTTGCTTCCTCTGTCGGACTATAGTTAGTCACAAAATTAATTCCCCGGTACGTGGGCGGACCAAGTAATTCATTTTTGTTGTTTATTGACTACTTCGTTCTACCCTTTAAGGCCCTCAGTTTTGTTGTTTAAAACATCATAATTATATTTTATAGGCTCTGGTTTAAAATTTTAAACGTATGATTTTACTTACTGACTGCCTCGCCCGCATTCATGTATGTATATTATATTATTTCCACAGCCGCCTATAAATATGACCCTCGCATTATAGCACATTGAACCGGATCATCATCAAACAGCTATTTTTTTTATTATTATTGATAATTGCTTATTTTTAAGCTATTTATTAGCTGTACAATAATATATTCTAAAGACAGAGACTAAACTCTATAAACAGTCTTTCTAATGGAAATTCAATTTATATAATAATGTGATTCGATTCGATAGAACGGAATTCTACCGTTCTTTATTACTTAGTTTCAAGTGTAACTATACATTTTTTTTATTCTTTATTCTTTATACAATACCAATTGTGAGTAGATAAATACGAAAAAAATTACAATACTGAGATTTAGCAAAAGCAGTTAGCTAATATCACGGTAATGTTTATGCATAACATTATCGTGGTAATATGAAGCTTACCATCTTTTAATTATTATATCACGTGTATAGCTAAGAAGTGTGACTTATGTATTTTGTATTGTATATTTACCGCGGGCTCCTAATTAATTAAAAATTTAAGGTTTTATTAAATCATGAACACGGTTGTGTATAGTGTACTTTTTCTGGAGATAAATGTTTTGTTTTATGAATGTTTACTACATACTACATCTAAGGTACTAAAATTATTAAATTAGATTGTTATTCTATAACTAGCATTGCCCGCGGCTCCGCCCACGTTCATATGACGAAAAAGCAAATTCTTAGGTTTTACATATTAGTATACTCTTACAATGCAGTTTTTGTATTTTTCTCAGAAATGAGATATTTTTCCGCGGTAAAAAGTATTCTATATGTTGATCCGGATAACCAGCTATCACCATACCAAATTTCATCAAAAACCCTCCAGTTGTTTTTCTGTGATGCGGCCTCTGTATCGATAATAACGTCTATTTCAATAATAATTTCCAAAAAATATTTAATGCACAGATTCGGCTTAGTTACAATTTTATTATATGTATAGCTAACAAACGAGAGACTTCAATAACACGTTAGTAAGTTCATATTTTTAGTAACCCATTATTAGGGAAATAAAATAAAAAATATATAAAATATATTGAGGTAAAAGATGCTAAAATAAGGTTTTAAATTCATCTTGTTTGTTTCTTCGATGTTATCTTGGAAGGTTGAGTAGGTATAGAAAATTGCCGTGGTTCTTTTATATCAATAAGAGGCAGATATTTGTGGACAGTGTATCTTTATCTAGTATTTTTCTTTGGTCATCGGTTAACACAGTATGATGTCAATTGGCTTATTTCCAGAAAACACATTTACTCAAGGGCATTTAACTGCCTTATGTCGTTGACAAGTCAAAAAACATTCTCTCTCCAAGCGTATACCTAATTTAAATAGGTTTATACATGAGCTTTTATTATATAAGTACATAATATATACATGCTGGTTTTTGACAGCTCAGGTGTCTATGTGTTAATCCGGAATATAAGCTATCTTCCTATATTTTATGTATTGTGTTCAGGCGTTAAGACGTGAAGTAGTGACAACCACTCATTAATTCAATTACAAACTTTATAATTTTATAGAAGTAAATTTTATAATATAGCGATAAATCGAAGATAAGTAAGTAATTTTTAGCAACATTTTGAAATAGAGCGACGGCTCGATTTGATTTGTTTGTATGTAGATCGTCGGAGAGTCGTTTTTATCATGGAAAAAATACCTTAATTCTACGGGAAAACCGTAATTTGATAATAAATAATAATAATTGTGTACATGGATTGATTTTTTGGATCGATTGGTTTTCTATATCGGCTGTCGGAGGGCTCGGAAGTGTCAGAAGAATGGTTTTCTTTAGCTAGGGGCGAACCGAACTAAGCTAGGACGCGTAGTGACTGTATATTTCTGTTAAATACATATTTTAATTGTGTAAATTTGTTATACAAATGCTATCTTTTTGTACACATTTTGATAATATAGTAACACTGATGACTCTTTCATGAAACATGTTGCAACACACAAATATCTGTCGGGTTAAAAAGTATCCTATGTCAATGCAATAAATATTTTTCCGTGTTAAAATTACGTCGAGCTGTTGCACTGTTTCAACAAAATTACTTTCGCAATTACATATATTTAGGACGTAAATCTATATTTAAAAATTCGTACAAATGTTCCTGATAAGTAACTCTACTTGATATCGTTCCTCACCTTTATATATTCTAAATATATCTCTAATAAAATTTAGCCGTAAACTTTTCGTTAACGACTACGTTGAACGTTACGTTAAACGTTGAATTCATGAAATTTATGTTATTATTAATGACTAAATGTTAAAAAAACTTAATTTAAATATATACTTTAAATTCACATTGAAATACAGCTTATCCCAATTGGGTATATCTTGATATCGTCTCTTAAAATTCATCAATTCAAAAAAAAATAGTAATGAGACCTAGCGCTTTTATTTAAAATATTATAATTTTTTTGTGTCAAAAAAATATAAGTGTACCGTCGTAGTTGATAAAGACAATGTAATCGTGTTTGTTCAGTCTCAATGTTTTATCTCCAGGATCATATGGCGACTACTATCGCCTCCTGACCCCCGGGCACTATGAGGTGACGGCGAGTCACCCCGGGTATTTCCCGGTGTCTCGTATCGTCACTGTTCCCAAACACCAAACTTCTGCTAGAATTGTCAACTTTAAACTTGAGGTAAGTTTTAATTGGAAATTACATAGGTTTATTATAATACATTATAAACATATCTCCGAAAGCCGGTTATTTTAGAATTTTGTCACATAATAAAAAATTAATTATTAATAATTTTAAAAAACATTATATTTATATTTTTTTTAATAATTATTATTTATAGAAATATATATTTACTATTAATAATTTTATAATAATTATTACGTATAAAATGAATATTTATTACTAATAATTTTATAAAAAATATTATTATTTTGATTTGTTTTAATTTAATTGCGGTATCCTGCCACAGCGGCGAAGAAATTTTACTTCAACCGCGCGTAAAGGTTACACTCACGCATTTTTTATTTATTTATAGAGCATAACCAGATTTATTATTGCCAATTTTAAAATATATTAAGCGTAATTCTAAACTTGATTTGTCATATATTTTAACTGAACTATCTTTTCGGATTTTTTCGCGAATTTATTTTGATTTTTGTTTTCCGACGTTTCGAATGCTTTACAGCAATCATGGTCACGGGAGAGACTGAGGTTTTAGATGTTTCAAAGGCATTAATGATTATATAGTTGTTACAGACAGCCTATCCACACCTCAAAATAAATCTGCGAAAAAAATCCGAAAAGATAGTTTTATTTAAAATTTCAAATATTCGCTTAAATCTAAGCATGTATTATATTTTAACTGCTGAAATTAATGATTAGAAATAAAAATAGCATTATCTTACACTTGGTTATTACAATTATATGAAGAAGCTTGATAAGTTGTCAAAGTGAATTTGAAAAACAAGTTCAATTTTAACGCCTCCATGAATAAGGGTTTACGTCATTCGGTGGGATTACTCTGACGTCAATCGGGTTCTCTCAATTGACTCGTGGGCGCTTATTCTCATTTCAATTTATCGTTTGCCGATCGATTTTGTTATCGAAGTTTAATATTATATATAGAAAATCATTTTATAGTATAGATACTGACAACCTGGTGGGTTTAGATCAGGGTATTTCAAGTTACGTGAATCTGTAAGGGTTGAAATGGCCACTTCAGATCCCAAAAGTTTACGACAAGATATTTTTTTTTTTTACTTGTCTTTAGTCAAAATTAACACCGATTCTACTACGAGTATATTTGAGCTCATGGAGCCGTTTTTCATAATAGTGTTAATGCTAATTTTGTATTAATGATGCACTGAATTTGTATACTAAATAATGATGAGCGAGACAAAGAGAAAAGTGAACGCAAATTTGTTATTTTACTGCTTAGTTTTTTATTAATAAAATCTGTTATCAATATTAAAATAATTAAATAATTAAGTAATGCCATTTCAGAATTCGATTTGTGTTCCGAGTTGATTTTCCTTAATTTACCAATCTGTACATACAGATAAATAAAATAGAAGTGTCTGTTTGTAATGTCAAAATAACAGAGTTTTACTAAATGAATATGAAATTATATATGATACTTAAAAGAAAAACACAATTTTTAATTTTTTGTCTGTCTGTTTTTTCCGGATAATCTATGAAACGGCTGGACTGATTTTGACTCGACTATCACTGGAAGATAGCTGATGTTATAAGGAGTAACATAGGCTACTTTTATTTTAAAATAAGACTTCGGGTTCCGCTCAAAAAAATGAAATCGTACTTAGGGACGAACGTGAGTCGCTAGTAATAAAATATAAGAAGAAACATATGAGAAGTTATTAAGTGTTTCGTCCGTCCGTCGTTTCGTGTACATAAGTTTTTTGATTAATATATAATTATTCATTTTTTATTCTCATAGCCGACTACAAGCTGGTTTGATGATTTCTCAACATTCGGGCTGTACCCGCACGGGCTGCGCGACGGCCAGCCGCGTATATACAAGCGTTCGTTATACGAGCAGCTCACTAATGCTTTATTGGACAAAAAGGAAACTAAACATTAAATTATTTTAACGCTTAGTGCACACAAGGATTTTTAATTATTCTGTGGGATACATGCTTGATTTTCTGTAGGATAGTGTCTAATTTGAAATTTTATAATCGTTATTTATTTCATCTATATTAATTAAACAAAAGAGGTTGTAATAAAAAGTTTTTAATTACGATTGTTTTAACATACAATGGCGTGAACGTTGAAACTTCCTCGTGTGTACTAAGTGTTGTGGCTAATATTGTAGATAAATTATCAAACAATAACTCGACGGACAAAGCGATATAATCATAATGTGCAAGACTTCATCTGAACTTCCTTCAACTAAATATGGTTTTTAAAAATATTTTTCTTAGTATTGTCTATCATTTCTCTTTCTAATTTTTTTATATATTTTAATAATTATTAATAATATTTTTTAAATATTCATCTTAGTGCTTCATATATTCAATATTTTAATATAGTCAAGTCATTTTCATGCTCTTGTAAATTATACAAATAATGATTAAATGATACTTAGTATGGAAATGTAGATTTTTCAAAAACGCATTCCATTTTTTAATTTTAGTAGTAACTGTATGTCGTAGTACCTATGCATATCTATAATCCTTTTGAAATTGCCATATTTAATAAATATAAAACTTGCTATTGTAACTTGCCATAAATAACGTTTACCATTCCATTGTGATATATTTTGTTGTAAATAATAGTTACCACTTTAATATAACTTTGTTGAATTATCAAGAATTTTTACAAGTCAAAAAGTTTCCAAAAAATTTTGTATTTGGGTGTGTGATACCATTTCTTTGATATGAATTTAAATAAAATATCATAACAATACTATTAAAATAATTTAAAAAGAAAACTTTCTCAATGTCTATTAAATAAAACTATCTTTTTGGATTTAAAATTCAAAACGTCGGAAATCGAAAATCAAAATAAGTAAATCCGCGAAAAAATATTTTTATTTAAAATGTCAAATACATATTCGCGTAAATCTAAGAAAGTCTCTCAATATCATGAAAATAGTTTTATATTTTTATACAAGTATACATAATATATTCCGACCTCATATACATCGAACAACCTATGCATATTTAAGATATTTTACAATAATAAAATATCTTTGTCATAATAAAAAAAAACCGATACTATAATAATTCTGAAAACTTTTTGACTGTAATACAAATATTTATACTGTGTCATATTTTTCTAGTCTACATTCAATTTTACGGAGAAAAATTAAACCAAAAAACTAGTCACGTGACTAACCGTGAAAATATATATATATACTGTTTTAGGAACAAAATTAACAAAGAAATTATTGTCTAATTTGAATTGCAGCTAACGTAATAACAATCTGTGTTCTATTCGACAAAAAAAATCCATATACGCTACGAAAAAAATATCGTATCAAAGACTTAGCTTAAATAAAGTAAGAATATAAATGTTTGTGAATTAATTAACATTTCACCATCACAGTCTTGTATAGAATAGTGTATAATGTATGTATATAAAGTTCTAAATGTACTTCCCCCAGTCTGTAGTAGTGTAAAACACTTTTAAATAAAATATTTATGCATCCCCATTGTTAGTTTTATTTTTCCTACGACTCACTAAAAAATTACTGTCAAATGTCATTTTATTTAAGCTAACAGTTTTATACATAAATTCATAAAAATAGTTTTTTTTGAGACCATTAGGTACTTTTAATGACCATGACCATTTATCTGTATAGATAAATTGAAGTGTCTGTTTGTAATGTCCAAATATAAGCTTTTAACTAAATGCATATGAAATTATATACGGTACTTTAAGAAAAATATTTTTTTGTCTGTCTGTCAGTTTGTTCCGGCTAATGTCTGAAACGGCTGGACTGATTTTGACAGAACTTTCACTGGCAGATAGCTTATGTTACAAGGAGTAACTTAGCCTACTTTTATTTTAGAAAAAGAATTAGAGTTCCGCTAGTTTAAGACCAGCACTACTGGTATTTATATATATATATATATCAAGAATGATTTTTGAATCCCTATATGTAACTTACATAGCATAGACACTAATGTTATGAAAATATAAATACAAAAACATTGTTAAAATTTGTTTATTTCAAATTCTTATCAAGTTAAACATTTATTATGAAAAAATATCAGCTAAACAGAGATTCTTAATTATTACAAAATTTATAATTTAAGTACATAAATACAATGGACGGATATTAAACACACGTTGAAGACGACACTTGGTCGCAACAAAGAAAAATTTGGCAAACTTTATTTTCATAATTTATAACAGTTGTAAATAATAAGTTTTGTGCTTTTTGATATGTAAATACAAAACAATAAATTCAATTTATCAGAAACATTAATTAAATAACAACGAAATTGCTTTCGTATAAAAAATATTACATTAAGTATTTATTTTGGCTTCATATTTTCATAATAGATATATTTCCGAATATCAAAAAACACGAATACCATATTTATTATATAGATAAAAGAAATAGACGAAAATGCTTAACTATTTTAAACTTAACTAATATTATACACATACAACACCTACACTTGTTCTTTCTGAAATAAAGCATTTTAAAAATAAAATATAATAAAAATTGCAAAAAGTTAATACTGTTAATTACTGTCTAAATTCACAGTATCAATGTGGTTAAGTTGTATTAAATGCACCTATAGTTGTGCCCATATTTTTATTAATTAAAAACATTAAATACTTTATACAAAATTGGCAGTTCCAAAGCGGAAAATCCGTTTTTAGCACCTATGGATTCATTGCAAAATATTGATTTATTGGTAGGTATATCAATTATTAAAGTTGAAATATAATTATTCGTCAACTCTTATATATACATATATTTGTTTCTAAATCAGATATTATTTTGTTTCTATTCTAAGGTTTCGTTGCATTATTCAGGAAATAACTTCTTTGCGAGACACACCGAGAAAATAATAGTTAACAAAGATTTAAATCAAATTATATCCATTTTTTTATTTTATGATTTAAATCTTTATTATACATATTATAATAGGCAGTCTCTTCCTGTCAGTTCTCAACTAAATATATTTATATTATGATTTCATTAAGAATATTTTCTTTATCATAAACAAACATAAATCACAAGTAGCATACATTTAAGTAAATGATATGTGATATATATGAAAATAAATGGCACAAGATTTTACTTTGAGGTAAGTAAAAGTAACCTCTGATTTTTTTTGAAATCGTCAGTTTATATATATTTATATTGTAAAGTTTTTTAAAGTCAAGTACGGATCATGCATTTGTAGTTATAACTATAAAATATAACATTAAAATATACCTACTACGTTATGTTATATACATTATCACGTTTCTTAATATGACGTAGATTTTTATAAAGCGCCATGAGATAATTCGTTCAAACCTGCAATTTAAATATATAATTAATTAGTATTTTTATAGCTAAGTTCTTACAAACATGGCTTTATTGTGATTTGTGTTTTAAAAGTCAATGGAATAGGAAATTTGAATTTATATTAAGTTTTTTTTATAAAATAGTAATAAAATAAGTACTTGCCTATAAAATCAGTGTCTATTTCGGTGCATACCGGAGTGTCGACTCCCCGGTCTCGATTGTACTATGGCGTAGTGGTCGCTGTTGTCCGATACTGACCTGATTAATTATTAAAAAGAATATTATCGGAAGTCACCATTTAGATATAATTAAAACTGTTCCTAGTCTCTCTGTGGCTAGCATCGAAATTCTTAGAATGCTGTTTCCGGTTCGGAATGCGGTCCTTGCGGCGGGAAGAGCCGGTTCATAACTCAAATAGTGGCCTTTTTAAAATTTGAATTTTGCAACTTACGGACTTAAAATATTTTTATATAACTTCTATTTAGAAACTAGGTAATTTATTTAGAAAAAAATATGTGAATAACATTTATATAATATGATGTATGAAAGGATTTTTTTTAATAAATTTAATCAATCGTGAAAATCCATTATCTTAACGATATACATTAAATAAGAATATAACAGTAATTGATAATAAATAATAATTGATGTTAATGTACGAAACGAATAATTAGTAAGTGTGTAACTACGAGTATGATATTAAATGCACAAATAAAATACTTATATCAATACCTCGTGGAGTGTATAGTGGAGGAGGGGTATCGACTGCCATATTGACTCCCGTGCCAGCTTCGGTAAGGATCATAGTCTTCTACCACAGAGGGGTCCTTTTCTATCACCTGTGAGTACATGACCGTGTTACCGTATACCCACACATATATATAAATATATACACCTAATATTCTCTTAAATAGAACTTTCAATTTTTTAGTATAAAAAAGCTTATTATTGATTAAAAGCTTTGTATAATTAAAGGTTGACTGTTCAACTCTGTCATATATCCATTTAAATATGTATTTGATGGCATAATCTTTAAATCAGTGTGGGGATACGGCGAACACAAAGTTAGTGACAATAAAGTGAATTTTCATTTTTAATCACAAATGAAACTCAATGATAACGTGTTTGTTATATACGAGTGATGTACCTGTTCAGTTGATACAAATATTTTTGATATGGATAAATTATTTCTTTATTATTGTGATATATGGATTTCGTATAATATAATAAATGATATGTTTAATAAATATTGTATAGAATTTTAAATTTCATAACTTTGGCTTAAAATGTAAAACGCATAGAGATAACCTTTTGATAATTTATAACGAAATTATCTAATTAAAAATAAATTAACATAAATATGCGCGTTTCTTAACACAACGCTATGCTTAAATGATAATTACAACATAGTTATAATTGTAAGTGGTCACTGCACAATTACAAGGTACGAGTACCTAATTGTTAAAATATTATAAGTTTTTATTATTATAATTATACCTTTACGTATCCATAGTACATAAAATAAAAGTATGTATGTATGTTTAATGAGAAGAAAACCCAAAAAAACTTTTTGTAATTGCAAAACTGGCGGCAAGCAGAATCATCCTCAGTTCCACAGTTCTCGTATCATATACACCTGCTAATACGTACATGTATAGGCTCAAAAAAAAATTAACAACAAAATAAATACTATAACTCCCATATGCAAATATATATTATTACTAAATAAAAAATAAGATATGCAACGTACGTCTGTTCTCGCACAGGAGCAGGTCATGGCTGTGCAAAGGAAGCAATTGATGAGCAGCATCACGAGGAACATCACGCCCAGCGCGATCGCTAGGTAGAGCAGCCACAGCGGCCGGATGCCACCCTCTGTGCAGGCTAGCGCTGCAACTGTGTATACATACGTATTAAAATTGACAGCCATAATCTTACTAGTCTATACATATAATAAAATTGTAACTAAGCCGAATCTGTACATTAGATATTTTTTGGAAAATCTTATTGAAATAAACATTTTTTTTTTAATTTTTGTCTGTCTGTCTGTTAACTTATCACAGAAAAACCACTGGAGGGATTTTGATGAAATTTGGTATGGTGATAGCTGGTTATCCGTGTCAATATATAGGATACTTTTTACCGCGGGAAAATATCTCATTTCTGAGAAAAAATACAAAAAACTGCAATGTAAGAGTATACTAATATGTAAAACTTAAGAATTTAGTTTTTGGTCATCTGAACGTGGGCGGAGCCAAAGGTAATGCTAGTATTATTATAAATTAGAAAGTTTGAATTTTATGTGTGTCAAAAAGCAACATGCGTGTGCTTTTTTACACTGAAACGGCTGGACAGATTTGGAATAAATTTAGTACAAAGATACATATGACCTGGAGTAACATATAGGCACAATATATGCTGTTGGTACGGGTTTTAAATGTATTATGATAGTCTTTTATCATATATTTGTTTTAAATAAAATAAAAATATTTTATTTGCATAAAGAGATTAAAATGTTGGCAAAGTTTGAGATTGAGGTCCCCTTTTAAGCAATAATAATAATAATATATACCATTGATAATATTACTGTAGATACATATTCCAGCGGCGCATAATTATAAAAACCTATCGTATCTTCGACGATGATAACTGTGTCCCTTACATCAAAATAAAAGTTTGTTAATTGATCTAGAATCTCACGGCTCGCGAATGTTGGACATGCCTAATTTCGGAGCCGCAAAGACAAACCACGAGTAGATAATAACTGTAATATATGTATTTAGGTAATTACATAGTACGGTCGCGGGTCGGTCCGGAAATGTATTCTCGCAGGAAGCTGCAAGCATCCTGGGCTTCATAAATATATAAATTAGTACTACGTTCTCGTTTTAAATTTTTGCTTTTTATATAAAAATAATTATCACAAAATTAGTACTCTCTAAATGATGTTTCAATACCTGCGCTATCATTGGGATCGAGAACGAATAAGCCTGTGGATGCTGTAACTGAGCCTTCTTCATCTGCAGGTTCAGTGCGTCCATCTGTAGTGCAGTCCGTGGGTTGACAGCTGCCTGAAAATGTATAGGCATATGTATAAATATATTTTTTATACACAAAAAATAGATCGCATGTACAGTTTGGGTCTTAATGAAAAAGTAATATTAAAAAAAATCGAAACAAACAAAACGAGAAACTTCATCATAGCCATATATAATAATTTATCACATTATATTAATTAAAACAACAGGTATATATTTGTAATTATATACTAGCTAAGTCAAGAGAGCGCATTGTGTTTTTTTAAGCGGATGGTAGTAATGATATTACTTATTGTTTTTAATTTTTGAATATTGTTCGAATTCCACGATAATGACTAAATTATATCCTATATACCTGATATTAATTTCTTTTTTTCCATCGCTTTTCAAATATTTTTAAATACCTATTAGTAATTCTACACGTACCTTTGCATATACCAATGTCACATTGAAAATTGACCTGCGATGAATCTGAAAATCGGAACATCGAGGCTATTGCCAATTCCGCTGCGCCATTTTCCACTTTTAATGCCACCGATTGTTCTTTTAATGGACATCTATAATGTAATAAAGTAATATTTAAAAAAAAAACAAAAACATATTCATTATTTTGTTATATTAATTGAAATGTTATAACAAACCCTCGTTTGTCCAGAAGGTCCACTCTATTGTTACGCATGTTGAATGCGAAGCAATTCTTCATGCGAATTCCGTGAGCACCTTAAAAGTAAAAATATATTTTTATGTAATAATATTTTTCTAGAATTTATTAATAAATTGAATTATGAAAGTAAAAGTACCATCAGACTTGGTTATCTCCGCACGAAGCGTGTACGGCATACCAAATGCCGCATTTAAAACTTTTCTCCCATCGCTGTTCAGCATTCGTAAGGACACAAGGGATGTTTCGTTTCTGTAATAATAAGTTTAGTATTTTTTACATGGATTAGATAAAAAAATAATAGAAATAACAATGTAAAGGTAATATTTTATCATCTATAGGGGAAAGGGGGGTACAGTGAACCGTAGTACACAGTGAATCAGTGGCTACTTCTCTTTGCCTATGCTTTCCATACACGAACCACAATAATGGAACGCATGCTTTAGTACTTACACCTCTACCCCGCCAGTGTCCATCACGCTCTCGCTGTTGAAGAATGAGTTACCGCCATTTGGCTATCCGTGAGTATCAAATCTATTTTTTTACTACTATTACTCGAGTGTTTTATTCACGAAAATGTTTAATATTGAAAGACTTACTTTAAATTACCTAAACAATAATCTACTATGCTTCAGAAATAAATAGTTGTTTGATTCGTATAGATTATGTAAGTTATAGGAATTTGTTGTTCAGTTGTTAGTGGTGCTTTGGGGAACAGTGGGCCATTTCCATGTGGGGTACAGTGGATTGGCGATCCACTGTACTCCACACTAAATTTCGAGTTGATTAGACTTTTATATTTATAGTATGTAATAATAAATTTGTTTTAGATTAACAATATAGCACGGCACCGAAAGAGAAAGACTCAAATTGGTCTTACTACTGAATAACTGAATAGACAAAATGCCATTGTCTTTGTTTTACGGGCAACAAAATAAGAAAAGTTGTAAAACTAGAAAAATAATCCATATGTAATCTTACATAGATATTATGCGAAAAGATAAAACACATTGGCAAGCTACGTTTAACTCCCAATTATGGGGTAAATAAGATTTTCACTGGAAAAAGAATTAAAAATAAAGAATATATCGAGCAACGTCAACAAGATAAAATTAATAAGCTTGTGAAAGTAGCAAAACATATTAGGAAAAAAGTTATGCAGTTCGATTCTAGTGACGAAGATAGAAAAAAACAAAGGAGTAGTACAAATTAAGAGAGAGAGAATCGACTAATAAGTACAAAGAGAATGAAAAGAAAAAATTCTGCGTCTAGTATAGTTAGATGCACATAAAAAGAAAGTATTTTACACTGGAAAGGGAAGGAGAACAAAAGTAAAGAATGGGTAGAGATAACCTGATATTCCAAATATAGCTTCAGTACCCCTAGAATATATAATAATGAAATTACCTCTGGCTACATTTTGTGGCACTAAACGACAACAGCAAGTCTATAAATGAGATCAATCTCAATTTTTCTCGCTTAAGTTTGCGTTAATTATTATTTTATTTTTTCAATTTCTTTTTGTATTAACGTGATATGTTTTTATTTTTGAAATTAGTTTTATTGTGTATATGTTTTATTTTGTTTCGTTCAAGATTTATGTTATCCAACTTCCTTATATAAATACTAAGTACATGTTTTATAAGATATCACTACAAGTAATGTGTTACTTACGACTGATAGAAAATAAATAGAGATTGGTAATTTTGTAATATTTTTGATTAAAAGTGTTCACATAATTCATAAATATTTTTATTTATATATTTTTTTTACAATATTTATTGATTCGCTGTAACCCAACAGTAAAATGTATGATGATTTCATGTGTTGATTCACTGTGCCCCAATAAGATCCACTGTACCCCATGCGGAGATCCAATGTACCCCATATATGGGGTACAATGAATAATTTCCCTCTTTTTAAAATAACCTTTGCTTTCAGAAAATTATTAGTATTATTGCTAAAATTGAACTAGATTTATATAGCCAACTTAACACCTCATTGCTCTACATATAAATATTGGTAATTTATACTTTATTCATATAGGTAAACTACATTTGAAAAAAAGTGATCCAGTGTACCCCCCTTTCCCCTACATATAATAAAATTATATCTGAGCCGAATCTGTACATTAAATATTTTTTGAAAAAACTTATTGAAATAGTCATTATTATCGATACAGAGGCCAATTCTATAGTTTTTAAAATTTTCGTCTGTCTGTCTGTGACCGCATCACGGAATAACCACTGGAGAGATTTTGATGAAATTTAGTTTGATAATAGCTGGTTATCCGGGTCAACATATAGGGTACTTTTACTGCGGGAAAATATCTCATCTCTGAGGAATCTATACTAAACGTTAAAATGTAGGTAGAAACGAACCCGAGCGGAGCGAGGGTGAGTCGCTAGTTTTTTCTACAACTCTAAATATTTGTGTAATTGGTTTTTATTGATATTTATCCGAGGCATTTATTATCACAGTTATACATAACAGTGGGTGTGCATGATAGCATAAATCGCTATTTATTCAGGCTGACCTCGCGTTTCTGAAGCCGGCCTTGCCACACGTGATGACATAGAACTTGTCGTCTGCCAGCTCGAGCGTTCGATGCACACGAACAGCTAGAGGCAGTGAACGTTCGTCGGTGCGCTGGGGAAAATCATAAATATATAACAACACAATAAGAAGAATTTTGATAAAAGAGCAAATAATACTTTCTTAGATTTACGCGAATATTTGACATTTTAAATAAAACTATCTTTTCGGATTTTTTCGCGGATTTATTTGGATTTTTGGTTCCCGACGTTTCGAATGCTTTACAGCATTCATGGTAGGCTATCTGTAACAATTATACCTTTGAGACATATAACACCTCAGTATCTGTATCCGTGACCAAAATGCTGTAAAGCATTCGAAACGTCGGGAACCAAAAATCCAAATAAATCCGCGAAAAAAACCGAAAAGATAATTTTATTTAAAAGAGCAAATAATAATATAGAATGTTAATATAGTTACAATATCACAGAATAACAAAAACAGTACCTAATGGGTCCTGTCTATGTAACATTGTTGTATTTTATAGTCATGTCAGTGATCCAAATGAGCTTAACGAAGACATAGAATAATGATATCATGTCATTTTCATGAGATCTTCGTACATTTATATGTTAATTTATATATTCAGTAAAAAAGTAAGTAAAATAACAAGTTATTTTTATTTAACTATAAAAGAAAAAGTCACAATATTCTTAACAAATAACTTTTGTTCACTATAATTCAAACCATAAAACTATGCTTATTGCTCATAGAAGTTCTAGCCATGAACAACATTGAAGCTGCGATAAAGAATGTAGGTTAATTCTCCAGGACATTGTTGGCACGGGAGTCGTTTAAGCATTAAAGCATGTAGAGCTGATAAGACACATCATGGTACACGATATTTACATAAATTGAAAACAATAATTAAAAAAAAACATGTATTTTATTACAAGTCATATAATATACTATTATATTATATAAATTTTAATCTAGAAGGAGGTTTATCGTGCTTGGAAATGTTTAGTGTTAAAATTAAACATTTAATAACAAACAATAAACTAAACAAACCTAGTTAAAGGTTTGTTCTCATTTTATGGTTACAGGTATCTTAGAGTAATCTCTATGTTTTAGTAATGGCGATAAATATATACATATTTTTTGTTATGAATGCTACATTTTGCGACTTACGTTATTCCAGGAAATTCCGCAATAATCGGGCGACCCTTGTACAGCCATCAAGTTGATGTCGAAAGTGACCGTCTCAGTTCCGTTGCCCATCGCCATGCATGCCGGTGTTCTGCAAAATATATTTTAAATTACCTAAATTAAAATTATTAACTTTTATATAAGTAATTATCGATTGTGTAATATATTATATATTTTACTCAATATTGGGCAATAGTTTGCGAGAAATATGCTTTCACATAAGCTTAAACATACCTGAATTCCCGAGCATGTGTTACACCGTTAAATGGTTGGCTGAAGTTTATCCTAATAGACATTACACCCGTCTTGCATGTCGCGCTTACTACCGGTGTAAAGTCCCCGCTACTTTCTGTATTCTGAAACGAATAGTAATTTTAGTATGTAATCTAAATAGTATCGTACCTAATGAACGTATTCGACAAAATAAAGTATCTTAATTATGGTTTAAACCATAGCCCAGCGTTCTATGCAAATATTTCTAGATAATTATGATTGAGGAGAGAAAATGAAGCACAACGGGTTTGGGCCAGTTTGCTGATACGTAGAACTGTAGGGTCGCGGCCTAAGGGCGACGAGAGCTCACGATTCTATCTACACGATCTCCTTGATAACTCCCTAACATTACTCAAAGCCAAGTACAACTATTACGCTATTACCTAGCCATGGAAATGAGTTGGGTACTCTTAGATTATACAGGGTAATAGGTTCTATGTATTAAAATTTACTTCCGTAACTACTTTTACTGCGTGATACTTACTAGGTACTTTGTTTTGAAATCTCTTACACATTCTTCTTATTTTTGTAACAATAATATACATTATAGTATATTATTCCCTCAACGACCGCGGACACGCCGGCGTTACAGTTAGCAATAGATTTCTTAGAAATTTAATTAATTTCTTAGAAATTTACCTGGAGGTGTTATACCTATCTATCTAAGTAGATCTATTGTTGCGTTGCAGTTGACCTAAAGAACATTCATAGTACCATACGAATAAAGGTCTGCCCTTAGAGGGCTGAGGTCAATGGACGTCTGACTCTCAGATACAGGTCACGTCTCGAGTACTTTAGTTCCATCGATTGTTTAAATACTTCGTAAACGTTTTCAAGCACTTTCTTGGTAAGAAAATATTACAGATAATTTTATTACTATAATAAGTACATTAATAAAAGGCTGTGTTTCTTTGAAATTTTTGAATTATTTAGCGTTATATTCAGCGTTTAAGGTGTAACACTTTCATTTAACTAAGCTTATTTATTTATATCGGTAGTTTTAATCAGAATCAAAAACTTGAACAACGTTTGACCAACCAACTTTCAAGGCTACATTTGCAATCAATACAGCTTTTGTGGTATTTAGAACAAATAAAACATGAAGCTAAACGAATAATTACCTATTAATATTATTTCGAAATTATTAAATAAGTAGGTACTGAATTCGATCTATTTCTTCCTCTTTTTATCCTTTTCAATTTATTGTTCTTTGTTATTTTATATAGGTTATTCAAACCATTTAATTAGTATATAATTTTTTTTAGTAAGTATTTATAGTATGCTGTCCCACCGTTACCTGTTGCCAGTACTTCTCTCTGGCTGGTAGAGCTCAAAAGATGCACGTACTCGTAGGTAGGTATAATTTAATTAAGTACGAGATATGCAATTTAATCTACATTGGTTCCATAACATAAAAAACCTTTTATGTAGCGTCTCTATCATTAGAATAACGGTTCCTTTTTAATGCATTAAAAATCACAATAAGTTGTAAAAGGGATATATTATTGTAACTGTATTTGTTATTGGCGGAAGTAAAAATATGTCAGACCTTATATTTTAACTAGCATTGCCCGCAGCTCCGCCCGCGTTCAGATGACCAAAAACCAAATTCTTAGATTTCACATATTAGTATACTCTTACATTGCAGTTTTTGTATTTTTTCTCAGAAATTAGATATTTTCCCGCGGTAAAAAGTACCCTATATGTTGACTCGGATAACCAGTTATCATCATACGAAGTTTTATCAAAATCCCTCCAGTGGTTTTTACGTGATGCGGTAACAGACAGACAGACAGACAGACAAAAATTCTAAAAACTATAGATTCGGCCTCTGTATCGGTAATAATGTTTATTTCAATAAGATTTTCTAAAAAATATTTAATGTACAGATTCGGCTTAGTTAGAATTTTATTATATGTATAGATAAACTACCTATTATGTTAAAGCATGAAAGTGCGAAATAATGATTAAATGCAAAGGTGTTCAATATAAACCGTTTCTTAAAATTGTCGGTTTCGTTATGGGTAATCATAGATTGTTATACCATGATCTAAATTAATCTAACATGAACAGATATCTCCCATAACATTTCTAGAAACCGTTATATTTTTGTATTGATCTTTGTGTAGTTATGTTGTATATTAAAAACACCAACTACCTATTTGGGATGGATATATTATAATTTAATACAAGTATACATAATGGTGAAAAATATAAAAAAAATACCTAACTATTGATGAAAAACGGTTGCGTGCTCGACATAGACTAAAGAAGTTTTTTAGATTCAGCATAGACAGATACAGAACATAAATTAGATGTTGCCAGTAGTCTACAATATACTTAAGTTAATACAATTATTAATAGCTATATTTTGATACAATTTCAACAACTATTATCTTTTATAATTAATTATAAGTAATATTGAAACACACAATATAAATTTACTACGTCATCTCATATACAAATATCAGATAACTATCAATTAATAAAAAAATTAGAAGAAACACACTAATTTAGTATGAGTAACCGAAAAAGTCTTGCTTGCACACCGAGGACTCCGTAGCATGAAATACTCGTATTATAATGTATAATCTATATTATAATAAAAGAGTAGAGGTCGACTGTCTGTACATAGCAAAAAAAAACGCTACAAACGGAGTCAGGGGGATGTAAGAAGACAAATAGAACAAATCCAGTTTTTTTTTTCAAATTTTTTGTTTCTCTGTCTGTTTGTCTGTTTGTACGGGCTAATCTCCGAATTTGTTGGACTGATTAAAATGAAATTTTGTATGGTGGTATCTTATATCCCCGGGCAACATCTTAGCTACATTTTATCCCTGAAAATTAAATAGTTCCCGTGGGATAGTTAAAAAACTATAATAACTTATACGGCTTAGTACACAAAAACTACTAATTGGATTTTAATAAAACTTTACAATAATATAGCTCATACATGACAATAACAAATTGGCTACTTTTCATCCCGGAAAATTAAAGGGTTCCCGTGGGACAGTCAAAAAACTATAGTAACTTATACAGCTTAGTACACAAAAATGGATTTTGATGAAACTTTACAATAATATAAGTCATACATCAGAATAACAAATAGGTAACTTTTTATCAGCGTGGTCCACGCTGGTTGAGTGCGAATTAGCAGACTTCACACGTCTTTCAAAAACTATTTAAATTTTCTCAGATATGCAGGTTTTCTCATCATGTTTTTCTTCACCGTATTAGCAAGTAATGATCATGTCAGAAATTGCCATATACATTTTTTTTTGTGAAAATCAAAATTATTTTTGCCCGGTTATTTTTGGTATCGAAAATATATATAATGTTAACCTACATACATATATTTCAAAAACTATTCAACGTAGGTATCTTGTTTAAAATAATTTTTATTTTGAAAGCTCGACTTAAGTATTTTTATAGAATTTTCCACATCATCTATTGACTTAAACAATAAAGTAGCATAAAACAACTTAGATCTTAATTTTTAACACCTATGCAGAGATAGCCCGCATAGGTAGTTACTCTATATAGCAAACTTTACTTGAAAAAATTTTAATCACGTGTACTGTGGTGGACTTTTACACAGATTAAAACTACTCACACGCACGAAATTCAGGTGTGTAATATAGTATCGAGTGTTAAAATATATAAAATTAGATAGGTTAGTGACTTTAGTTACATAACTTCATTATCTTTTATAATCAAAATATTCAACCAATATTGCAAATCCCTGCTGATATGATATGCAATATCTTGTTCCTATTAATACATTACATAAGAAAACGATAGCTTTGTCCCTATATGTATGCTATTTGACGTAATCAGTGGGCCGACCGGTTTGGTGGCACCAATATTTCTTGTGCCTTCGTCATCTTGGTCAATTTAGGACGGTTTTAGATTCGAAGCGCAAAAAAATCGGAGCTTGTTATACATAACTAAATATGGTACCTATATATTTTTTTCTTAATACAGGTAATATATGTATATTTTGGACTAGTGGTATTAATTGAAAACTACTTACGTTAATGTATTAAAACTATTTTAAGAAAACAAAATAGTATTTTTTTTTTAAATTGAGAAGTACATTATATAATCTGTTACAAATGTATTTTTCTTTTAATTTACATCAAGTTCTTAAGTGTTCTTTTTTGTATTGTATGAGCGACTCACCCTCGCTTTGGTCGGGTTCGTCTCTACTTACGTTTTAACGTTTAGTATAGATTTTTCAGGGATGAGATATTTTCCCGCAGTAAAAAGTATTCTATACATTGACCCGGATAACCAGCTATCATCATGCCAAATTTCATCAACATTCCTCCAGTGGTTTAAGAGTCAGACAGATAGACAAACATTCTAAAAACTATAGATTTGGTCTATGTTTCGGTAATAATGTTTATTTCAATAAGATTTTCCAAAAAATATTTAATGTACAGATTCGACTTGGTTACAATTTTATTATATGTATAGATTGTTAAACAATTATGTAATTTTTACATAGATTATATACGCATATTTTTTGCATTATTATATACTTTTCTAAAATTTTCATACCTTTAATGCTATTTTCCCTTCAGGAGAGCAGTTTGACATGCCCTGAATGACTAAATAATTGTAATATATTTTTTATAAATAAAGCATTTTAATGATGTTAAACAATAGTGTGTGAGGAAGTGCTAGTTTTCTCGGCATTTTTGTAATTTTTTTCTAATTTGTGTTAACATGTATAAAGTAAATGAGATTTTAAGGATGATCACAATGTTTTGTATGCGTAAATTCGTTCTCACGGATTTCCCATTGTTATTTACTGCTTGCTGAGTAGGAAGTGGTCAATGATGATGATGGAATATGCGACGAAGAAGCGATTGACGGAACTAATGGTATGTCATTATTTGGCGATTTTTTTTAAGATTCATCGCCTTCAAGTTCTTATAAAGCTTAATCTTATTATATATATGAAAGATTTTTTCTTATTAACAAGCAATTGTATATTACATGGTAGATTATTTATTTTCAAAAGTATATTCTTGTATATTTTCAACGAAAAGAAATATTTAGAATTCGTCAAGCTATT